GGAGAAGTGGAATGTCCAGAGAAGATGGCAAAAGGGCAGCATCAAGGTGGTGGTTGCTACTATTGCTTTCGGAATGGGCATTGACAAGCCTGACGTGCGATTTGTCATTCATCACTCTCTTCCCAAAAGCCTTGAAGGGTACTACCAAGAGACCGGACGTGCGGGCAGAGACGGCAAACCGTCCGATTGTATTCTGTACTTTGGGTACGGCGACGTCTTCACCCTGAAGAAGATGATCAATGACGGCGACGGTAGTGAGGAACAAAAGGAGCGACAGCGGGGCATGCTGAACCGCATGTCGACATACTGTGATGATCAGAAAGACTGTCGTCGAGTTACAATTCTCCGCTACTTCGGCGAAGCATTCAATGTTGCAGACTGTAACAAGACTTGCGATAACTGTCTTCACAAGGGCGTGTTTGAGGAGCGGGATTTCAGCGAGTTCGCCATTGCCGTTATTGAGACGATCAAGGCGCACAAGTACCTGACTATCAATCGGTGCGCGGATATTCTGCTGGGCAAGAAGCGTCCGAAGACGATTGACGACAATCTTGACGATAACCACGGCCTTATCAAAGGTCGCTTGGCAAAGCATGAGATTGAGAGACTGGTGGACAAGCTCCTTGCCGAATCTGCTCTTCGGGAGGAGAACACATTTAACAAGCATGCCAAAATAGCGATACAGTACATCTATGTGAGTCGAATGCTGTGTGCTCCATCAGGAAAGGGGGCCTGGTTAACTGACAAAATGAGTAGGTGGGCGTCAACGCCAACAAGTACATCAGCGGTCGCAGCAAGTTGATGATGTCGGTCAAGGTTTCCAATAAGGATAAGGAATCATCGGCACCGAAGCCGCGCAAGCGAACGAAGAAGGATTCAGCAGATGGCGGAGACAAGCCCATGTCTGGTCAGTCGCGGCTTCCGCCATCGACCAATGTTTCCTCCCCAGCCACGGGCAAAACTACACGAAGACCAAAGGGGAAGACTACGGTGCTCGATGAAGAGAGTGATTTTGAAGAAAGAGATGCCAACGCTCAAATCAACGGCTACGAGAGAGATGAATTCGTCGTTTCAGACGACGATTCCGATGACGGATTCGAACCAAGGCCGGCGGCCAGGAGACGCAAAGTCGCTGTCCCGCTTGGACCTCGTATCTCGCAGGAGGATCGCTTGCGCGAACTCGAGGACTGGCAGCAGGATCTCATCGAAAACTTTGTTCGAGACGCCAAGGTGCTAGAAGAGAAGCTACGTAACCAGCAACAGCTGAGAAAACCGTTATTCTCGGAGGCGATACTGAGGGAGATGGCCATCAACCGCACGACAACATTGGCCAAGATGCGAGCGATTTCCGGCATTGATGCCGAACGCGTCACTAAATTTGGCAGCAAATTCTTGCCGCTCATCAAGAGCTGCGAGGCACTCTACGAGCAAGCAGACGAGCAAGACGACGCCGAGGGATCGGCTTTGTATGCTGGCCAAGACGCTGACGCCATCACTATCAGCGATGAAGACGGTGAGGAGACGGAGGATCTCGATGTCGAGGAACGAGAGCAGCCTTCAAAGTATTTCCGCGGGGCTTCGGAGCACGATGAATCGGAGCCCGAGGTTCCTTCACCCAAGGCAGCACGTGCGTGGGAGTCGAGATTTGGGGCCACCGCAGGCCCTCGAGGGGGCTCGTACCGCGGGGGCGGTGGGCGTCGCGGTGGCTTTCGAGCGGGCAGCCGTGGAAGCAGCAGGAAGGCCAGCGGTTCACGGAAACAGTCGTCCGAGTACACGAGACGAGGCAGCAGCAGAGGCAGCAGAGGCAGCGGCGTGACGAAGCGCAGGGCTTCGGGCAGCGCGCGAGGCGGGGGTTCTGCTGCGACATCGGGCACCTCCCGGTCGTCTCTCATCTCAAGCTATGCCTATAGGGGTGGCGGCAAGTCGGGGGGCAGCGGTATTGGGCTGATGCCGACCTGAGTGAAGGCGGAGACGGAGACGAGGACACATATCACGAGTGCTGTAGATACGACGAGCACGGCTGTTTTTGGGGGCCTCTTAGGCTGTGTTCATGAAAAGAGCGGTGGTCATTATGGTTTGGCGTCTTCAAAGGGGGCACGGCAAAGCATGCCTGGACAGCATCTTCATAGGGCGGCGAAGAAAAGGGGCACGGCGCATTCGTAATGCCTTTTTTCTCTCTCGAACGATTCTCCAGCAGAGTTGCATTTTCAACGACATTATGACCAAATTGTTATGGATGCAAGGGTCGCGATGTGACATCTGTTCTGGCATGAGTGATGGTGGTGAGTCTACAGAATCAACACGCGTAGTCACGTATCGTGGATAAGGGGCAAGGGGCCAGTTTTCTGTCGTCCCATCAGAACTGTCACAGCCCGATTGGGCCACAATGTAGCAGACAAAGCGTCAGAGCAGCCTGCGACCGCTGACAAGGTCGCGTCGCCGGACCGATAGGCCTCGTGTTAGACCCAACCGGGTTGGACGCCGAGGTGTACTGCTTCTCGATGACATGGGGCACGGGCGGCGCGCGCTGCTGGTCTGTGTCTCCATGCTGTGTGCGTCCTGGTGCGAAGGCACAACGCCTTGGAAGGGGGGGGGGGGGGGGGGGAGGCAGTCAAATCGAAACTTCCTGGCCACAGCCGCGCCACTCCCGCTGTCGGACCCCTGAGAATGCCCCTGGACCGTCTTGGGCTGGGCGAGGGAAGGCGGCCTGAAGGACTGTTTGGAGTTTGGAGGCGCTTCGTTCTGTGGTGGTCAGTTCGCATTGAGGTGGGATAAGGGACGGGTTTTGTATCTCCGCGGAGCAGAGTTCAGCCTCCACCTGTCCCACGTGCCGGCGTCGACGGAGCCGCAGAACGCCCGCAGTGAGATACGGGTATCGGCGGTATCGGTGATGACAGTGGGATTCGCGCGATTGGGGTTGTCATGGTAGTTGGGGGGGGTTCTCAGTTGCGATTGCGACGAACTTGGGTACAGTGCATCAAATATTAGAAGATGGCTCGAGAGCGAGGAGAAGAAGGATATGTCTTCGTTAAGAATCTGGATCTCGAGGGTCTGGTCCCCTCTCTCCTGCCCCTGGAAGAGCAATGCCGGAGATCTGGGACGTGGGGGGAAGGTACTTTGGGGTAGAGGGGCTGACTAAGGGAAGACTGCCTAGATACCTGACCTGCCTGCCTGCCCAGGTACCTACCCAGGCAGTGCCAGGTACCTACGAGTAGGTAGTCAGACAGGGCAGTTGATCGACTTGGCCCCACGCAACCTTATCTTGCTGTCAGAGCCTTGGCTTATCGTCAATCATACCACCATCATACGCATGAACACCACGGGCCATCGCCATGACCATGCTGCGTAGAAGCCATCAGAAGCCAGAGAATGGTTGAATCCAGAAATCCATCGTCATTCTCGACCGACCTGCATCTGATCTAGCATGAGTCGTCGTGCGAATGGTCGTCGGGAACTAGACGCTGACTCGAAACCTAGATGCGGCTTTTGTTCATGGTTCCGGGAATACCCAGCGGCCGCCTTCTGGACGCCAACGCCACGACGGTGGCTCGAAGGAGGACCTGAACTCCATGAGAACAAGAGATGCGCCTCCCTCCCACGATGACCAGCTACAGCTAGACAGGGGATGGGCGCTAGAAGGATGATACCGGAGGCTGATGGACTCGAGCCTGGTCGAATCCGGCAACCAGGCGACAAAGCGCCGATGTCTGTCCTTGTCAGCCACTGGGGCCAGTCAGCGTCCCGGATCCCCTTATCTCTTGGCCAGGGTGGATCCCAGCCTCTCAACCTCCTCTCATCCAGCTCTGGCAGCTCTGAGACGACATGCCTATCTACAGATTCGAGAGATACACTGATAAGCTCCCGAGCGCCTCTGTCTCGTCCCTTGGGTCGCCCGTTTCCTTGTGTCTGTCCCACGTCGGATAGAGAATCTCTTGCCATGGCCAATGGAATGCCTCAGATAGTCAGCGATATCGCCCAAGGGGGCCCAACTATGGACTCCCAGCCGCGCCCCAGACAGGCAAGGACTGTTCTGAAGCGCCCGTTTCCCACCTTGGCCTCCTTTGTTGGTGCCCGTCTCGTGCGCTCCCTAGATCGCTATTGCATCAGGAACACCTGGATCATCGAGGATTAGTCTTGGAACAGACATCAATGCTTGGTGGCTGACGCTACGCACCCATCATTCTGCTCTTCGTTCTGCTGGGCACGCGCTCGCCGGAGTTCCTGTCCCTGTCGACGAACTTCCTCGGTTGCGAGGAGAACACAGAAGATCCCACGCTGGTGGCACTCGCTGAAGAACTCTATGTTGCTCTTCGAGTCGCATTTTTGGCTATCTCGAGACATCAAAAACAGGTTGGCCTGCACGATATCAGACTGTGCTTCTCCGGAATCAGCTCCAAGGCACGGTGTTGCCGGACTCGACGAAAATTTGAGCGCAGCTGCAAGCATATGCCGCCCTGCCACTTCAATCCCGTGCCCCCTACGTTCCGGCTATGCACTGTTATCAGTGATCGACGCCAAAGCCCGCAGCTAAGGCGACCCTGTCCACGGGTTGCCCCAGACTTCCCGCAGTGCCCAGACCCATAAGGACGGTTTGCCTTTCTCCGGACACATTAGGAGCCCCGTCTATCTCTCGTCCCACCTGGCCACCTGGGGGAGACATCAGAGGAGTGCTCGTGGCAGAGTCTAGATTGGCTTAGCGTGTGGAAGCCGCAGTCCTCGCCGGAGATGCTTTATTTCGGTTCCACGATTACAGCTCACCTACCGACTCTCTCTTTGGGCGAGCATTGATATAAGGACCTTAGAACGGAGGCCATGTTGTTGGATATTCGGCATCCAGATTCGACATTCAACAAGCGCCTTCGCATTTGAACTGCAGGCTTTCTATACTGGACTTCGACATTGCCTGAAGCCATTTGGATAGACACGCATCTTTCTCTCGAATCCACTCCGCCTTCCCACATACAGCATCTTCGGCGGCACTGCCTTGACGGCTCATCACCATGAAGATCAGCACACTCTGGAAGGCCCCTGAGGTCAACCCAATCACACTAAAGGTATGACACTCACTGCTCTCGATCGTTGAATCCCGCACTAACATGACATTCTCAGGCTCGCAGCGTTCCGGTCCTGAACCCCTTCAACAAATATGGCCGCGTCTTTCTCTTCAGCTGGCTCGGTTTCATGATTGCCGTGAGTCTTCTTCATCCGAGTCCGCTATCGACATTCGTCTAACAATCTTGGCAGTTCTGGGCTTGGTACACATTCCCTCCTCTTCTGACCGTCACCATCCGCAAAGATCTCGCCCTCACCCCGCAACAAGTCGCCAACTCGAACATCGTCTCTTTGAGCTCAACTCTTCTCATGCGTGTCATCGCCGGCCCGGCATGTGACAAGTTTGGTTCCCGCTGGGTCTTCGGCGGCATGCTTCTCCTCGGCTCACTGCCCATCGGCCTCGCCCCTCTCGTCAACAGCGCCAACGGTCTCTACGTCAGCCGCTTCTTCATCGGTATCCTTGGCGGCACTTTCGTTCCTTGCCAGGTCTGGTGCACCGGCTTCTTCGACAAGAACATTGTCGGCACAGCCAACGCTCTCGCTGGAGGCTGGGGTAACGCTGGTGGCGGTGTTACCTACTTTGTCATGCCCGCAGTCTTCGACGCCTTCGTCTCCCGCGGCTACAAGCCCGGTGTCGCTTGGCGACTGACCTTCATCGTGCCCCTCATTTGCATCATCACCTGCGGCATTGCCCTCCTCCTCCTCTGCGACGACACCCCGACTGGCAAGTGGAGCGACCGCCATCTTCACGTGCAGGAGAACCTCCAGGGTCACGGCATCCAGGAGAATGTCGTCACCGATGTCGTGGATGTCCCTGGTGGCATTGCCGATCGCCACAGCACGCCTTCGCCCACCGCCTTTGACTCGGAGAAGAACAGCACCAGCGACAACAAGAACTCGTCCAAGTTCGAGAACGAGGCGACCATCTCCCGCGATGAGATGCTCGTGACCGCCCAGGGCGAGACCATCCTCAAGCCGACCTTCAAGGACGGCCTCAAGGTCGCCATCTCTCCCCAGACCATCTTCCACATGGCCACCTACGCCTGTTCCTTCGGTGGCGAGCTCGCCATCAACTCGATTCTCTCGTCGTACTACCTCAAGAACTTCCCCTCGCTCGGCCAGACAGGTGCCTCCAACTGGGCCGCCATGTTCGGCTTCCTCAACGTGGTCACGCGCCCCCTTGGCGGTATCGTCGGTGACGTGCTCTACCACTTTGGCAAGCAGAACCTGTGGCTCAAGAAGGGCTGGGTTTCGTTCTGCGGCATCATGACCGGCCTGCTCCTCATCCTCATTGGTCGCATGAACCCCCATGACGAGGCTACCATGTTCGGTCTCATCTTCCTCATGGCCGTCTTCCACGAGGCCGGCAACGGCGCCAACTTTGCCCTCGTGCCTCACGTCCACCCCCAAGCCAACGGCATCGTGTCCGGCCTGACAGGCGCCGGCGGCAACCTCGGTGGCATCATCTTCGCCATCATCTTCCGCTTCATGGACAACGGCACCAACTACGCCAAGGGCTTCTGGGTCATTGGCTGCATGCACATCGCCCTCAACGTGCTCGTGTCTTGGATTCCCCCTCTGCCCAAGGGCCAGATTGGCGGCCGCTAGATGGAGATTTGGGACTATTTGTTTTGTCGATACTTTAGCGAGCAATGGGTACAGGATAGATCTTGGGGGAGTCTGGGATACACATAATACGGATTATGACGGGTTAAAAGGGTCTGTTCGGCTGTCTGGCCTTGATACAATATGATACCTTATCTTTCAACTGTTCTTGACCAACTGTTCTTGGTACTGCGTGACATGGCTTTTGGATCGTGCCCAGCCTTTCATGGCTTGGTCGAGATTCCGAGATGTCCCTTTTCTTGGCATCTCAATACCAAGTCGATGCATGCCGACAATTCTGCTTAGCGCAAGACGGCCTTGCCTCGACAATAGACCCTCGCCCGCAGGAACAACTGCACCATGACGACGAGAGGAAATGAACAGGCCCCCGTATTGCACCACACTACAGCCTCGAGGAAGGGCTACAACAGACTCCCTCCTCCGCTGCCATGGAGAACTCGCACCCGTCTCCGTATACAATCACCCCCAGACCTGCGCGGAACACAACGCGATGTGACGCACAACCGCCGCAGGGAGAGGGTGGGCAAAACAAAAGACCAGCACCACGTTCCTGCCCCAGGTCCCAGGAGGGAACACACCGCGAATCGCAAGACAACGGCCGCGGCCTGTCCGAGTGTTTGCGTGTCTGACGCAGGGAGCCGTGGACTGTCTGAGCCGCACGAGGGAGAGAGACAGCGGGGCCCGTTGGACAGAACAGGGCCCATGAGCCCCCCCCCCCCCCCCTTCCCCCTTTCTGTGGTTTGAAGCTTAGTCCCGGCGCCTTGCCCAGTGCAGTTGTCTAGAGCGACTCGACTTGTTCGCTTTCCAACCCCACCACCGCCGCACCACATATGGATTCTCGACTGGCGCGGAAACGTCCTAGAAGGGGCATCGCTCACCAAGCGTGCGTGATATAATACGTCTAGTCAAGACGAACTTCAACAACGGCCGCATGGCCCAATGGCAAGGCGTCTGACTACGAATCAGGAGATTGCAGGTTCGAGCCCTGCTGTGGTCAACAATCATCACCATCGGTGATTTCATCTTTTGCCCTTCGCAAAGGTGCATTTTTGAAAAAGAGTGGATGCGCGACCAGGGTATAGTTTTGCACCAGATAAGATCGAGTCTCACCAGCCACATGATGGGAGTGGCTGAACGCCTCTGACGCAGGCACGTCCCCAGCCCTTATTTTCCTTTTCCCTGGTCTCCTTGTCCAGGGAGAAGAGGTCTGGATTCTTGCAGCTTGGCATCCGACCAATAATCAAATAGGCGGGCCCCCTGCGTCTTGGAATTGGCAGCTAGCCCGTCTCTCGCGTGGGCGCGCCACGTCCTGTCATGTACTCTGAGAAGGAACCGAGACGAACCCAAGTTCTCCGCTCCTGTGTGATCGGCACGCTGTCATTCTTCAGGGTCGCCGATCGGCCGTTTTCTTTTGTCTCGGCTGACGGGACTTGCATTCTCGGAAGAGCATTCTTCGAAGAGGAGATACAAGTGTAGCCTCCATGGGGGAAGCGTTTGTCGCCGTGATGTCGCCAATACTTGGGTTCTAGCAATATAGCTGACGAAAGCCTGGTCCTCTGTTGACTACGATGCGCATTCGAGTGACCAAGTTGAAGGTCATGATGAAAGCAGACTCCGTCTGTCAATAGGCTTTCTGACTCCTCATCGCAGCGGCCCGCCTTGGCCAGGAACGACAATGACGGCCAAGCGCTTCTCGAAAAGTGCCACCCGACGGCACAGACAATGTGAATGACGAGAAAGACAAGCTCGAGGACCGCGGACCCGGGCCTAAGGGACCTGAAACAAGAGACTGCCCGCATATACATAGACACCCGCGGAAGAATGCCCGCGCAACGTTCCATTGTTGTTCAAGCATTCCTCACCCTCTGATCAACAAACATCATCACTACGGGCACGCGCACCACACACAATCGATACCAGCGGAGTAAAATCTCTCACCATTACAGGCTACTAAATCATACACAGTAGAGACAAGTGGAAGGCGGGGGAAAGACGCGACGGCCAAGCAGAGGGACATGTCTAAACAAGCAAAAATCGATTTTCCTTCTCGATGAGCCAGAGTAAATAAACGCCCCTACCCCTGTCGGATTAAGCTTGTAAAGTCTGGACCGGGACGGCGATTGCCATTCAATAGCGTGATCGTCGCGTCTTCTCGAACCCATTATATGACTCCATGTTCTCCCCATGTCAATAGAGAAGTAGCCTGATGTTGTTGTCCGTCCAGTGGGAATTGTAACAAAAAAATGCCAGATAAACCCATTATCGTGAGAATGCAAGAAAAGGATGCGTGCGCGTGATGCCAGACGAGGATGCCGAGAGAAGAAACCCCGAAAAGGGTATATAGGATGTCTTCATGCCGCGTCGAGAATAGACCCTGGCGTTCAAGGAACCGTCAACACCTACAGGAGGGCGGCAAGGGCGACACCGCCGAGAACGGCGAAGACGCCGGCCTTGGCCTGGCCGGCACCGTTCTGGGGAACCGTGACGGGGGCAGACTCGGTGGGCTGCACAATGACGGGGGTGGTGGTCGAGGCGACAACGAGAGTGGTGTGGGTGGTGGGCACGGGAACGGCGGCGCTGGTGGTGTTCTTAGGGACAACGACCGAGGTGGTGGGCTTGACGGCGACGGTAGTGGTGGTCTCGGGGCACGAGGTGGTGGTCTCGACGGCGGCCACAGAGGTCGTGGGAACGGCGGACAGGGTGACGATGGCGGTGCCGACAGAGGTGGTGACAACGACGGTGCTGCTGCCAGCGCCGTAGGTAGGGGCCTTGGAGCCCGAGCCCGAGCCCGAGCCGGCGGTGATGACGAAGGGGTTGGAGAACTGCCAGTCGGCGGCGTTGGCCTCCGAAGTCAGGACGAGGCCGTAGAACTTCTTGCCGCCAATGTCGGCGGGGACCTTCCACTCGTACGAGAGAGCCGAGTTGGGAATGCCGGCTGGGAATTGTGTCAGCGAACATGAAGGTTCGAGGAACGCGCGCGCGCGAGGGACGCGGGTGGAGAGACTTACAGGCAATGTCGAGGAGAGGGACCTGGGTCTGCTGGGTCTCGCCACCGATGAGAGCGATCTTGATGGTGACACCAGCGAACTTGGCAGGGGCGGTCCACTCAATCTTGTAAGTCGAACCAGCGGGGATCTGCTCGTTCGGGCTGGGCTTGTTGACGGGGTTGAAGTCGGGGTTCTGGGCGACAGCAGAGCTGACAAAGGCCACAAGGGCGGCAACGGCGGCGGTAGCGAAACGCATCTTGACTGCTTTCTTGGACGGTGGTGGGGTTTGGTGGTGAGTGTAATGTGATTAGGCTTCGGTGGGTGGTAGTAGGGAGGGGTGACGGGTTGGGGTTTAAAGAGTGACTATATAGGGTTCAAAAGAATGACAGGCGTAAAGCCGAGTAGGACCAAAATGCACACCGAATGGTTGGTATGGAAAGACGTTGACGAGGGGTGGTGAGAGAGAGGGAAAAAGAAGAGAGAGGCCTGGGGCTGTCTCGGAGTGGGAAGGGGGGGTATAGAAAGACGAGACGACGGAGAGGGCGAAGGCGGATGAGGTGAGCATGCACCAGCGACACCACCCTGCACTTGCGCCTGCCTGCCTGCCCCTGGGTCCCAGGAAACTACCAACGCCAGTGCCATGGCAAGCGCCATGATCGAGGGCAGGGGGGTGTGGTAGAATGGAGTGAACGGGGAGGGGAGGGGGGGGGGGCGAGGAGAAGGATAGTGGAGACCAGAAAACCACCATTGCCAATTCAATGAGCAGGCCGACATCATCAGTTCTACGGTGCATCTGGCGAGCCTGTTCAGACTACCTGGGTGGCCAGCGCTGGGTGAGAAGCGAAGAAGGGAAGCTGCGCACGACGTTGGTCGCGCCAGCAGTACCTGGCTTCTGCGCGCGCACATGATGAATGGGGTACCAGGAGATTAACGCGCGAGATTATCGACGCATGGTTGGCTGCAGGGGGGGCGTGTGCGACAGGGGGCTCTCGCGTCCTGTAGACCAAAATTGGCTAGGACCACCTTTCCGGCGGCGCAGGGCTGAGTCGCGCGAATGATGCCTCACTATGGCCGCCTTTTTAGGGGGTGTGAGATCAGGCAGCTCCAGCACAACGGGGAGGGAGCAGAGGTGCGCAGCACGCAGCACGCAGCACGCAGCACGCAGCGAAAACACCTCCGCTGGAATGTGCCCATAGTCATAACCGCCAAGGACGTGCTACGGCTCGCTGATGATGCCATTGCGTGGGACCCTTCTCAGGCGTCGGCCCAGCCTAACGCTCACTACCTGGACCAACCGTGTTACCTGCGACTGCCTGCGTGAACAGCTCCCGCACTAGCCCGGGTACGCCAGGAACGTGCCTTTCTAGTCCTGCCTAGTCAGAAGCTGGCCCACCAAGACCGTCAGCATTGGGCCAGGCACGCCATGCACGCCATGCACGGAACAGCCTAAACAGGACGACCAACGAGGCCATTCATCCTTCGATCCGCCTGGCCATGGCAGGAGATTGGGAAACGGCCCTTTGCTGTCCTCCGCTGGCCTTTGCTGGTATTCGCTGTCCACAGGCCCTTTTAGCTGCCATCCTTCAGGGGCCGAACACCCGGCGTCTCGGTCCCTCGTCTCGAAATGGTGACCGAGTCATCGGCAACGGCAACGGCAACGGGGCCAAGGCACTCAAAGCCCCCCTCTCCAACGCACCGCCGACTTAAACTTTCGCCTGTTTGCCCGGATTGTCGCATCCTGCCTGTCGTGGGGCTCGCACGCGCCCACCTACGACCCAAGAAGTCATTTCCAAGACTCTCGCTTTGGGTCCCTGGCCTCTTTCCCGTACTGCCAACGAACCACGGATCATGTCACATATGGCTTTTTCTCTTTCCTTCCCTGTTGCCTCCCTCTGGCGCACAGCCCCTTCACTGATTCCGTGCCGTTGGGGAGGGCGCCAGGGTGAGGCTGTGGCAGAAGGCAGGCCAGATGGCCACAAGGGGGGGGGGGGGGGGAAAATGAAGCTGGCGGGTATCCCCACTCACGATGCTCCCTGGACCACCTTCTCGTCGATTCACGGGTCATCCCCTCTTCCTCTCGCCAGAACACTCCCAGCTTCCCCGCCAGGAATAGACCTGTTCACTCAAACCCAAAATCCATGGACGAAGACGATCCTCATCTGGCGCATCAAATGCCGCGGCGGCGTCGCTCGTGGCTTGCGTCATCTTGGCGAGCAAAATATTCCGAGCCCTCCGCCTAAACTAAGAACGAGACGCCAGCTCTCCATCGTGATCAATCAGCACGAATCAGCGCGCGCCACAAGGGGGCGTTTCCGGCAGTTGCGCACGCCTCCATGTTCAATGCAACAATCGTAAAAGAAACCTTCCCAGCATGTTGACGAGGCCCCGCTTCGGAAACTTACGTTGGCATCAACCGCCAACATTTGTATGTGTGCCTTTGCGCCTTGACAGCCGTGTCGTGTAGGCGCCATACATGACGGAAGCAGCTCTGCCAACTCTCTGGATCTCTGTCTTTCTTTAGCTGTAAGCCGAGCCTTCCAGCCAGCCTCAAGAAGAGCTACCGTCTTCAGCCGCTGGGCGTCAGGCCAGTGGTGTCTCACAGACTTTGTCACTGACTGGTCGAACTGCCCGTGACACACACACACGCCTACACGCCGACTCCATGACTGCAGCCTTAGGGGCAGTTCCAAAGTCTCTTTCGACCCCTTGAGCCAACCGCGTGCTGTGCGTCCCCTGCGGTGAAACCACACCATGCGGAGAGCGCTATCGGTGCTTACTTTTTCCTTGCCGTCAGCCACACGTTTGCAGTGACTTGGTTGACTGGCCCTAGTCTCACAGGACGAAGAAGGGAAAGACACAGCAGGGCGGCCCAAGATCTGGGAAAGCGCCAAAAAGAGAGGCTTGGCTGCGTGGCATCAAGTGCGTGGTTCTGAACCAAGTATTGACGCACACTTCAGCCCTTACCCAGCCACGATGTGACAAGGGGGGGGGGAAGGCCATAATGTGCGGAGGGACGGATGGCCAAGCCTGTCACTGTCAGCCTGCAGCAAACAGCTGGCAGTGCTTGCTCCCGTTCTCATTCTTCAGGGTAGGCAAATCAGCAGGCATACAGGTGGGCATTTCCATTGGCATCGCAAACTGAGCCGTCTTGGCCAAGGCGGCCCTGCCGTGTATCCGTTCGCGCTCGCAGCAGCAAAGACGTCGCTTGTCCACTCTGGTGTGGCTTGGCTGCTGCTTGAATGGCACCGCGTCTATGCAGCCTTGTTAGCTTGGCGGTGCGGACTGGGTTGTGTCTACGTCGCTCTACTAGTATCCTCCTCAACTGCTTCCCATGATCGATGGCTTTCCAGAATGTGGCGGGACTAACGAATTGTGGCCAAGAAGGAAACATTGAGGCCCTCCACTTCGTTGGTTCTCACTTGTGTCTTGCCAAGTCTTGCGACGAATGAGGCCCGTCTTCCAGATGTGATCAGCCGCACCCGGTCCCAAAAGCCCTGGGTTGATTCGCGAACATTCAGCCCTCAATGTGTGAATATCCCGAACGCCTGCATCAGCCGAGATAGGACCAAAGTCAGGCTCGCTTCGAGACTCTGCTGAAGAAGCAATCAAACATTTGAAGCCCTGCCTCCTTCGGCCCCTGAATCCTTCGTCAGCATGGGACTGTGCCGCGAGGACTTGTCTTGACCACGTGACCCGTGCCCATGTTCCGCCACTCCAGTGCATCGCCAGCCTTGGAACGCATACCCCTACCTGGTACTGACTAAGGTAGGCTCCTACGATCGGAAGACACCTGAAAGGTACGGCCCCTACTACCTGCCCCGCCTTCAGTAGGAGCTTCCCCGCGCTCCCAGTGTGCATCATTACTGACTAAGGCTGCACCACTCAATATCAAACGTCAACATGACCTCGCACTCTTCCATCCAGCCTCGTGAACGTTTGTCAAGTCTGATCAAACCGTGACACTCCTTGAAACTACTAGTTCTTCTCATCGGACCCAAAAACAACACCCTTCCCTCCTCGTAGCTGAAGACAAAGAAGCTTGCGCGCCCCGCTAGAATGTCAGACCCAATCACCGAATTCGTGACCTTCACGCCGCGCGACCTCGCCTCCCATCCATCCGCCCCCTTTGGCGCCGTCGCGAGCACGCTTCTCGCCACGCCGGGCGTCGAGTCTCTGCACACGGGCCCGCAGCACGAGGACCCGGCCACGCACCTCCTCGCCATCCACTGGACCTCGCACGCCGCCTTCACGGCCTTTGCCGCCTCGGACCGCTACACGCCCTGGCTCGCCGACCTCAAGGCCCTCCTCGCCGGCCCGCCGCGCTTCCACCAGGTCCGCCTCGCGCATGCGGCGGCGGCGGTCCTGGCGGCCCCCTGCACCGAGATGATGACGGCCTACGACATTGACAGGCCGCTCTTCCCGGAGAACCTGCGCCTCTTCTCCGAGCGCATGGCGGCCGCGTGCGCGGCGCAGGGCACAAGGGGGTGGCATGCCAATGCGCACGGCGAGGTCACGACGCCTATTGCCAGGGACGTGGACGGGACGCCGGGGCCTGCTGCCGTGCTGCTCATCGGGTGGGATAGCGTGGAGGATCATGCTTTGGCCAAGGGGGGCCCTGGACGTGAGTTTTTGTTCGCCTGACTAGTGTCATGAGTTAGGACGCGAGAGGCAAATGTCCATGCTGACTGACCATGGCAGCCATTCTCGACAACATTGAGCTCATCAGGACGGGGCGAAAGGACGTCACATTGGTGAGTTGCCTCGCTTATTATACTTGCGGACACAGGGGCTAAATCTTACAGCATCACTACAACCTCAAGCAGCTGTAAGACGCGGGCCATTACATGCGCTTCGCCCGTGGCCTGGCATCACTGCATACTCCATCCCACTTGCCGCCGGCGAATGCCGCCTACCTTAACTGTAATATGCCCCTGACAAGCCTGCTGTCTCTGTCAGTAGCCGCGATCTGGATCACTTACCAGTGCTACGCAAGCTTGCTTTCGGCAAATGCTCCGGGGCTCGCCTTCCGACGCTCTGCCGCCGCCAAGTCGGCTCTACATCACGTCAGCAACAGTCCACGTTTAGTCCATGTTGCAGTATGAAAATGTGCTGGGTTGACTTGAGAATAAGGTGCGCGGGTCGACCCATGACCGACAGAACTAGGGTACTGCATGAACTTTGAACATCAAGGGACGTCGGTGAGCTTACGACGTGGAACGGTAATTGCGCACGGCAAAAACACAAGTGCGAGCAGCAAGGGGAAATCGGCGTACTTCCCCGTGCAAGAGTAGGACTGGGCATGGGAGACGATGTGCAACGCGAGGCAAGGCAGGGCAGGAAAGGGTTAGAGAGAGAAAGGCGGCTATTAAAAGGAGTATCTTCTCTAGGAATCACTCCATCCAGTGATCGCAGAGAAACGCCTAATACCCGGAAGTCGCCGAATCGCAATGTACCGCATGTCGAGCTTTTTTTTCTTAATCTGAACCGACATGACATCCTGGTGGCACCGCCGCCACCAGCCCAAGCATAACCGAAAGCCGAGAACAAGAAATTGCGAACAATGTGAGACCCATAGCGGGACCGTTCGATCTGAGAAGGTTCAAAAGTATATCATGTAACGTCGTAAATTTTTAGACCCGGTGCTTCTCCGATTCTGCGTGCGCAATTAGTGACAGACTCAGACGTGGGAATTGCTGCTGCCAGATTCAACCTACCGAGGCGCGAGTACAGCATGTAAAGGGCCATGCGATTCGTTTCGTCCGTGCCGGTAATGGTCACCAGACGCTCGTTGCTGTTGTCTTGGGGTTCGTTGATCTTGATCACACTGCCGCTGATCTGGCGTATCTCGTTGATCTTCTGGCCGCCCTTACCAATGATGGCGCCAACCATATCGTTAGGAATGAAGATTTGCTGCGTCAGAGGCTGACCGGCCATGCCGCCAGCGGCGGGACCACCGTGCATGGGCTGCGCGGGGTGTCCGCCGTGGGGCTGAGGAGCCGCAGGACCACCGTGTGGCTGCATAGGCGCGCCGCCGTAGCCGCCAGCCTGAGCACCGTATTGCTGAGGAATGGCGGGGCCGGGCTGGGCGCCGTGAGGGGGATATTGCTGGCCGTAGGGAGCGGGCGGCATGTGGTGCTGCTGGGGATGTTGGCCCCTGGCATCATGGCGTCTGCCAAAGTTCTCCCTGTTGCCGTAGTTGCCGGTCGTCGGCTGGGGGCAGTACGGCACTACCTGCATGCCACCTGGGACAACACCGGCTGGACCGCCGCTCCGTGTCGCGTAGGCTGAGGCGGCCGGACCGCCAAAGCGGTCATTCAATTGCTCCAGTAGAGTGCTTCCCACGTAGTACGTGGCGATGTGGACAGCGTCGGCCACGCCCATGACCACGAGGGAACGCTCGGTCGACATGGGGAGGCAGGAGTCAGAAGCGTTAAGCCGGGCTCCGGACGCCTCCTGAATCTCACGGATACGAGCTCCACCCTTACCAATGATGGATCCGATCAGGATGTGGGGGATGAGGAGTCGAAGGGGGTACGTCTTGGACTGCGCGCTGGACGGCTCGTCCAGGGGCTCATTGTTCAGGGTTCGGATGATCAGACCAAAAGCCTACAGGGCGAGTCAGTTCAAGAAAGTTCTTCAGAGAGCCCAAGTATGGTCGCTCACCTTGGCTGAAGCGTCTACCACGCCGCTAACGGTCAGGATGCGCTCAACGGCACCCTTCTGGTAGTCGCTGACCGTGCACTTGGCCCCAGACATCTTGCGAATGTTGGACACGTTTTCGCCTCCCTTGCCAATGACCGTCGCAGCCTCTGGGCTGGAGATGACGGCGCGAATGTGGATCCAAGCCGTCTCGTCATGCGTCGAGGCATTAGGAGTGGACGATGGAACGTTGCCGGCCACGGCACTAGCAATGGGCTTCGGCTCGTCTGCGGCCTCGCCTTCGGTCTCCTCCTTGGCGCCGTTGGTGGTTTCGGAAGGGGCAGCCTCGGTGGCTTCGACAACAGCGCCGGCGTCATCCTCTTCCTCGGGCTTCTCAGCCATGGCGACCTCGTCGTCATTCTTCAGAATCTTGTCCAGGGCAGGGCGCTTGGCATCGGGCTGGTCGTTGCTGCGCGATGGCGACGACGTCTCCTCGAGAGGGCGCTTGGCCGAGTTGGCGGGTTGCGTGGGTGAAGCCGACATGTTGGGCTAGGTATTAATTGCGTCTCACACACGAGATTGGTTGGGCTGAGTACGTCGGAAGTTAGATGTTCAGAGAACAGCTTTTATTGGCCTATCTACACCGCAACGGTTTTCGAAGGAAAACGGGCAAGTGTAGTGGCGCGATGGATTGGACCTGGTGCTCGGAGCGAGCTGGTGCTGTTGATGAAGTGGTTATGGATCGAGGGAGGACAGGTGCGTGCGATCGAGGGAGACAGGTCGGGGTCGGGATCAGGCTGTGGTCGGGAAAAGGCAGTATCGGGCCAGAAGGACAAGAGTCCAGAAGGTTGGGAGGACGGTGAGGAGGTCCTGGAAGTGTGTTTTCTGATGGAGAGAAAAAGATGGGAGGTAAAGGTAGGTGGACGAGGTGAAGAGGTGAGGTAGGAGGAGGAGTGATGGACGAGGATGAGTCGTACGGATCGCGAACGTTGATGCTCAAACCTTGAACCCACACAGCTCGTATGCCTTCAAGAGATGGAACGTGGGAAAGTCGATCGCGAATCCTAGCGAAAGCACTCTGGGTCTGCTCGCAGCACCTGGAGTCTCGTTTAACGGAGATGGCTTCCTCTCGAGGCTGGGTAAGGCAGGAGGGTGAGCTTGCAGCTCTGCGGTCGGCAAGCTTGGAGCTAGGGGGAGGGGGAGGCGGAGGTGGTCGCCAGAAATTCCAGAAGATGGATTCGAGGGACGAGGGGCGGCAGCAAAGGAACTCTTGGTCCTTTTGGATGATAAAGAATGGGATGTAGAAGACACAGGTGATGGAAAAGAGATGGAGTCGGGACCTTGGACTGTGGATGACAGCGCGCGAGGAGCTTCGAATCGAAGGGGGTGATTTGTCTCGGTGCGGTTTGGGAAAAGATGGTCGACGCGCGCGAAGGTTGCTGAAACCCCCCCGGAGAAAAGATCGACCCTAGCCTCCATACAGTGCTGCGCTAGGACACCTTGACAGTAGGGGCGCACTGATGCAGCCAAGTACGGGGCTTCCCTCGAGGCTGCGGTGTGCATCATGTGCCGCGCCGTACAGTGCCCGGGGATCGTTTGCCCCACGGCCGACGCGTGAAGGCTCGCTCCCCTTGTGCCCTGGCCTTGTTGTGAGTGACCAGGAGCAATCTCAGGCTGCCGTATCACACTCTACCTCATCGCTGTGAAACAAAGGGGGGGGTAGATCCGTCCTCAACAGCGTCAAATCTCCATCGGCATGACTTTTCGGGCTCCCAGGGACATCAATCACCGTCAAAGCACCACGCAAACCCCCGCCACCTTGGGTGTATTGCTCTTCGACGCTGCTCAGCGACTGAAGCCATCGCGACTAGTTTGGTAACCTGCCACCATGGTGTTGGCCCAAGCGCGTCCAGGGGAGACCAGGCACCTCCTGAGCGTCGAGCATAGCCTCCAAGAACTTCAGGCCCAGATAGTCGAATACCAGCAGGAGCTCGCATCAGTGTGACATTCTATTCTGTTGAATTATGATCCGGAGACTGATGATTCCCAGCTTCAACGTAATGCGCAGCCTCTCGACCAGACTCTCGCCAGTTCCAGGGTCGCGCCTTTCGAGATTATGAAGTCGGCCTTCGATCGTGTTTTCCAAGAAACTCCGTTCATGCCTGCCTCATCTTCAGTGCTGCCGGCCCTGCTCTCTCTCCGCCAGGCACATCAAACCGTTGACGAGTCGAGAGCATATATTGCTACCCAAGAAATATCCATCGAGAGGGCTCACAACCAGCTCCTAGCCGAAAAGGCCAGTCTAAACGATCAGTCACAGCTGACTGCAAGCTTGGAAAAGCGCATTGAGTCACTCAACGAGGAGCTCAACAACCACATGGACACGGACCCGGGGGATGCAGCCAGGGAAAGGATGAACGAGTTGAGGCAGAAGCAGAAGCAGTATGCACGAGAGACGTCACGGTTGCTGAAAGACCTCAATAAGTTCATCGATGAACATTTGGCCTCTCAACTCGCTGCCGAAGATCTTGGAGGACCCGTCGTTGGAGACATGATGGATGTCGACGTCCAAGACCTTGCCGCAGGCTTCAACGCGCAGGGCCGCCCCAAGAAGCTCAAGGCTACCAATGCCGACGACGGGGGCAAGCGGCAGCGACGGCTAGAAGAAGTCTGGGGTGCTGCTATTGCCGCCGACCAAGGAGGGAACGATGTTCCTAACGAGACTGCCGCTGCCGGACGGGAGATGCGGGAGCTAACTGAAGAACTCCTCAACCAACTCGTCGAGTCGGGCGGCGATGGCACGGCGGCATATGTCAAAGTGGCCAGAGACACTGCGGCTGCACGCTTTTTGGTTCGATCGAAAGTCGCACAATTTCACCCGCGCGACGCAACCAGGATTCGGTTAATCGACTTTGGAAAGGAACTGGACGACTGAAGGGTTACACTATTAACAGCGATTGTTGTCCTCCTGACGCACGACATAGTCTTCCAGGAGGTTTTCTACTCTTGGCCTCCCAAAGCGGGTGTATTACCTTTGCTAGGAAGAAGAGGTTAACGATCGACGAGTTGCTCAGATGCAGTAGTACGTGCCCCCCTCTACAAACGAGGATCTTTCCCTCGCTCGCAACGGAGCGACGGAGGCATGTCATAACATGGCCAGTTGAAGAAACCGAGCTCAAATAACCTCATCTGCCGCGAATACGTCGCTCACAAAGCCTACGATCGACTATCAAAGCGTTACTTCGCGTTGTAGGAGCCACGGGCACGAGACAGTTTCAATGAAAGGTGACTGAAATGATTCTTGCGCACTGCTGTATCCGATGCATTCAGCACCCTAGAAGCCAGATTAGCGGGTTATACTACTGGTGGCGGTTTGAAGACTACAGCTTGCTTCCGCCGAGTAAGATGCTGGCATTATGCAGGCCGCTGCCATACGAACCGGGGATTACCCTGTGTGTTCATCGATGCCAAAGCAACGTCGCTGGGCGACATACCTCACCTTGTGATATGGGGCATCGACACCTGTTTCCTCCTCTCACATGATTGCTAACCTCCTTCCGAGAAACTACGGTAACACGGAAAAAGACAGGAAGGCCTTCGAAGCATCGAGCACCCTTCCATGATTTGCTAGAACCGACAAGACGGCGCGTCAACGGAAAGAATTTGGAGTCTCTGAAATGATGCAACTCGTGTCATATTTCCTCCCAACGAACCCTTTCGGTTCCCAATCCGCAATGCTTAATATCAAGACTACACACTACGGTCAGGAAAATCGCAAACGCCCGCTTAAAGCAACCCAACGGCCATCACCAACCAGATCGTACAGCCCCCGATGACCTCCTATACTCATTTCTTGTTGATGAGGGTGTGATACTCACTTTGTCCATCAAACTCGACAGGTAATCCTCCTGACCCAGAGCATTGAGTGCATCTTCCTTTTTCTCCAGGAGATCCAATAGAAGAGACTCAATATGCATGGCCATCTTCGTGAAGTTTTTTCTGAGCTCGTTCGGATCCATACCGTACTTGTACGCGGCGTCCTTGTCCCTGCCCTTCTTATCGATCCTAGCGATGATCTTCATCCCTACCACAGCTATTTCCGCAAATCCCGTACGTTCCGCCTTTTTGGCAGCTTTCAATACCATTTCAGAAAACAAAAGCGTGTCCGACGACAGCGCTCTCAGAGACGCCTCGTTCTTCCAAGCCACGGACTCGGGCCAGCCTCTCTCCACGCAGCGGGAGATCTGAGTGAGGACCAGGGCCAGATCATTGCAGGTCTCGCTTAGACCAGATTCAAGCAGAACTCGATAGGGTTTCTCCGGAGACTCCTTGGCCATGTCGGGGTTCGCCAGAAGGCTGGTGATACCCACTTTTAGATCCAGTAGGGTGTCGCTGTACATGTCCTGCCACTCGGGCAAGTATTTAATCCTGTTATACCTGCCCGAGGTCTGGCCCGGACTCTGTAGTGCAGCAGACTTGGATGGCGAGTGACCTGCATTTCACATGTGAGAAACAGCTGACGGAGGTGAGAAAAAAAGGGAAGACTTACCGGTCAGCGATTGGGAAATGTTCTGGCAACGCTTCCTGATATCGCCCATCCATTCTTCATCTTCCCAGTCGCCCCTGAGGGTACCGCACGTTTCAACGCCAATCAGTACTTGCAGTTGTCTCAGGAGACTAACGTGCGAGAGGTAGTTCATGGCGTGGCTTGGATGAAAACCGTTCACCCTAGGGATAGCGACGAGGCCTTTCGAACCATGCCGAACCCTTGCGGTGATAGGCAGCTTAGGGGTGCTGCCAAATTGGGTCCCGAGACCAACGCTCTCGAACTTCCAGGCGTCTCCCTTGCGACCATCAAACTTGCCCGCCTTCGGCAGCCAGATCTTGCCTGCGCACAGCAGGACATCGGGCTCCTTGTCGCAGATGACCTGCGTCGACACTTTGAACGATTTGGCGAGATATGCGTCGCTCAGGCTGTCCACGCTAGCAGAGACGAAGGGCAGCAGGTCGACGACGGAGACATTGGTTCGAATGTCGAGGGAGCCGCGGGACGCCACATCAAAGACCTCGTAGAGGGCTAGCAGACTCTCGCAGTCCTCGATGACAGCGTCAATGCCCTTGTCGTATGGGTGGGTTTTTCGAGGCTGCTGCAGCATGACGGCGATACCGCCTTTGTAGGCCGGACCTGCGAGCTCTGCGGTGACGGCAACTTCCTCGCGAGGTCGCTTCAACGCCCGCCCTTCCTCCTTGATACTTGCAACGTGATCGGACTCCCCTGCAAGGCCGTGGGGAGTGGTTTTGCAGAGCCGCTGGATTCGGTGGTCGACGGCCACGCCGAGACAGATCTTGGTTTGCTCATCTGAAGACATTGTATCACTCAGTTCGCCGATGCTGTGTGTGAAGTTATTCAATTGAGCCACTGAAGCCTCCGAGGAACTGACAATGCGTGGATATAAATGATCATAATCGAACGGTCGGACGGGAGGGCCCGACGCGCCAGACGTGCCAACAAGGCGGAATCAACTGTCACTCGCGGACGCGATGCGCCTAACTGTTCTCCCATGGCGAAGAATCTCCTCTATTGGCCAGGTGAACCCAGATTCGGTTCTCGAAACGCTCCATAGTGAATTGTTTATGCAGGCTGAGGGCGGCATTGGCGACTCGCGTGTAATGTGATTCGCTGACTCGACCAAATATCGAATCGGCGCAGCACGTTGGCCTGTTCCCGGGGCCCCAGAGCGCCCATGGGCCCATGAGGCACACACTGGGTGTAGATCTGCTCCTCACAGGGAACGCCACATTTTTCTACTTCTCGTGTGGCCTGGCAGTGCATGTGAGGCCATCCTCAGGGCATATCACACACGTTCTCCTGAGCGTTCCGATGTTTTTGCTGCGAAGCCAAGACTCAAAGGGGCCTCCGTGTGAATCGCAGTGAGCACGTCGCAGACGCAAAGAGGACGCATGGGTGATACGATACTGTGATGTGGGACGCCAGGAACAAGCGTTAGACATTAGTCTATTGCTGCGGTGAGGGTCAATCATTCACGCAAATCGCACCTACTGACGCAAGACTCTCAAGCTTCCGATGACTTGTCCGGCACATACTATGTCGCCAATCATTGAGGTGAGGTGATGCAACTGACCAAAACTCTGGTGCTGTCCCTTCTGCATTGTCCACGCGACTTGTACCGGCCGTCAAGATTAAGCGAAACTCCTGCTCGGAAATCTAAACGATCTTGACCTTCCCGGACCCTGACCATCTCTACAAGTCCTGCATTTCTCCCGCCTATCTTCCGGCCATGTCACTTTCGTCGCAAGCAATCACATACGGGGAGTGGCTGATCCTCGCCGTGACCCTCCCAGTGAGCCTGGCAGGCATTCGACGGCGTATCATTCAGGTCTACCACCCCGTGTGACAGCCACGGCTACCTCGACGCCCACGATGTGAAGTCCGCTAGATTAAAAGCGTAAAGACAGGCAGAGCACAATACCATGAAAATCAAGGCATTGAAATCGTCCATTAGATTCATGAGGCGTGTCCTAGTCCGCGGATATCAGAAGTGTTCATGCTGAAGAGACTGGTGATGAATGATCTATTGAAGCACAAAATTTGTTAGCAGCAATGCCACAGTTTCTTGTCGAACATATCACGATGAAGCCACTGAGGGATAGGAGGGACTTATAACAGCAAGAACGGCATGGTGACCACAGGGAGTACCCGGATGCCGTCCATGCCCTTCGTCCAACACCCCAGTATTCTCTTTGACTCTGGATTGCAGGTCCGCTACCCGATACATCATGGCCTACAACAGCTCTTTGCTATCGTTTACTCGCTGCATCTTGGTGGCGAGCAGCACCTCCTCTTCAAGTTGAAAACGCGTTTGCCTTGCCTTGTTCATAACGCGAAATGATACTGGGCTGAACAATCGACGGAAATTTTCGAGGCAAACGTTCTGTTTACTGACGATGTGATCCAGAGCTTTGAGTTCCTCCTGAAGGGCACGGACTGCGCGGAATGCATGCCTTTATGGGTGGGCACTTGCGTTGAAGTCAAGGGCTCGCCCGTGAGTAGCGTAGAGAGTGAAGAAGTCAATGGTAAAAAACATCAGAGCCGTTTGTTGATGCGCAGTCATTGCCGCCATATTTGTGCGTATGCGGATCGCTCGAGAGCTTCCGGCGCCGGCAGAGACCCTCAAGAGAGCAAGCGAAGCCGCAACTGTAAACATCGCCGAAGAGATTTCTGCTTTTGATAGACTCATCAATCTTGCGCAGAAGTCGGACGACGGTGCTCATGTTGCGCTCCTATATTTAAGCTCCGCCATGGCCTCGAGGTGTCTCTCCATTCTGCTAGCGGTACCTAACGTATCTTTGCTGAGTCCAACGTAGCTCCTTGGCAGGTCTGTACGGCTCTTGTTGCGTGGACTGATAGACATCGATGTCTGAGTTTGAATATGAGTCCGCACTCGACTGCAACACCCTTTTGCCAACCCTGTGGCCAGATCGCGGCTGTCGTGGCACTCCCGAGCCAGGCGGCGAAGACCAGCGATACTTTGAGAACAGTGTTCGTGAGAATACTGGCAATATGTAAACATTTGCACCTGCAGACGCTGGTTTGAGATTCCTGGCAGCATGTCATTGAGGCCGTCCAGTCTGCCCAAGAGCACCGGACGTTGGATAGGGCTTGCGTGGTAATTAGAGTAGAAGGGCTCGCGGTCTCGACTGCTCCCAGTATAATGTGAAATGTGCATGCTTTTGGTCACACGGTTGCCGCCGTCCTCGTCTGCCACGCTCTAAACACGAAACCCCCGTAATTCGCAGTAGAAGGGATTTCTTTCATTGGCGACTCAGCCTCTTTGATGGCCGTATCAACATTGGTCGTCGTTACAAGGCTGCTCAGGCGATGTTCTTTCTTCTCGGTTCTGCAATCCATGTCGTTTGTGGTTGAGCTGGGCAGAAAACTGGGCCGAGGGCACCGGAATGGATAGCGTCACCGAGCCGAGGGATACGCTGGCTGCTTATCGTCACAATGCAGAGAGACTTGGTCACAACGGAGATGATGCCATCATCCCCGACTTTATCAAGTGCTCGCCTGGCAGACTACTGCTGGACTGTTGGTGATATGTCCTGTCACGGCCAAAAGTGCGGCCGTTCTGCACGCAGCCTGGTTCGAGCTCCGATCAACAGCATCTGGTCATGCAGAGAATGTGATGGGGTCCCAGTTGATAATCGAGACTTCCACTGTCTGATGGATTGAGAAATTGGTACGTTTGATGCGATTGAGTCCTTTCCAGTGGCGCTAACAGGCGCATGCTTCGGAGCGGTCGAAAACCAGGCCAACGTCAAGAAACGGGTATAGTACCTAGGTAGTGACTAGGGTGGTGCCGGGGTGGTGTTTCGGTACGGCAGGGCATTTTGGTGATCTTGGAATAGAGTAGAGGAATGTGAGGAGCACAACGAGCACAACGAGATCCCATCCCACGTGATGTGTGATGTGTGCCCGATGATGCAAGTTCAGCCTTGGAATCCCCTATTGGCCAATGCGTCTCGTTGAGTCGCGTCGCGTCACCGCCATTATCGTGGACCCTTATTCCCCCTCTCCTCAAGGCCTGTCAACCACCCCACCTCCATCGACCTCACCATTCACCCCGTACCCTGCGCAGGCGTCATGACCACTACTGAAAACATCACCTCGCCTCCGACATCTCCTCCAGCCAAACGCGTCAAGACTACCGACGAGACTCTCGCTTCCATCCCATCCCACACAGTCACACCCGCGACAACGCAGCCCACCATGTCGTCCCAGGCCCCTGCTCTCCTGATCAAGAAGCTCTCCCCAGCTGCGCGCCTCCCCACGCGCGGTTCTGCTTTCGCCGCCGGCTACGATGTCTATGCCTCCAAGGCCACTTCCATTCCAGCCCGCGGCAAGGCTCTCGTGGACACTGACATCGCCATCTCCGTACCAGCGGGCACCTGTGCGTCCATCCGCTCCGCATCCCTCGCTGGCTCGCAGCTAACCACTTCTTAGACGGCCGCATCGCCCCCCGCTCTGGCCTCGCCTCCAAGCACTTCATCGACACGGGCGCTGGCGTCATTGATGCCGACTACCGCGGCCAGGTCAAGATCCTTCTGTTCAACCACGCTGACACCGACTTTGCGGTGGCCGAGGGTGACCGCGTCGCTCAGCTGATCATCGAGCGCATCTATACCCCCGAGGTGGTGGAGGTCGAGGAGCTCGAGGAGAGCGTCCGCGGCGCTGGCGGCTTCGGAAGCACTGGCGTCGCCCTGGACAAGAATGCCTAAGGACAGAATTACCCTGGATGGAAGGCAGCCGCGAGCCAGGAGCACGACGACAAAGAGACGGCACACAATCGAACAAGCATTTATAGATGGATGAATAATGAACAATTATAAAATTAGCCACCTCCGCCTTCCATCTATGCCCTGCGTAGGAGACGTCTAACTCTAAGAACAAATATCATGCAGACCCCTCCCTTCCTCCCCTCTCTTCATATCCTCTTGGCCTTGAGTGCCACTGTCGGCTCCCTCAAGCTTGCCAGGTTTCGGACGAGCTTCAGCTCCGCGCGCCGGCTCTTGACGAGGTGCGCCTTCTTCTCGTCCGCCTCCCCCCGGCCCGCAGCCCCCATGCCCTCGGCCGTCTTGGTGAGCACCTCGTGCATGCTGGCGAGCACCATCTCAGCAGCCCTCGCGAGCGGCAGCTCGAGCACATCGACGTCGTCGCCGCTGACCCAGGCGCGGCCGGCGCGGAGCTCAGCGGCGGCGCTGTTCTGCCACACGGCCTGGCGCATGCGCACCGTCATGAGCGCGGCGAACATGTCGCCCGTGCCGCTGAAATAGCAGTCGATGGCCGGGAAGACGATCTTGAAAAGGCGCGGCTGGCCGTCGGAGGTCATGGACGAGCCGACGACGGAGAGGTGATCAGGCGGCTGGTCGGCGGAGGGGATGCTGACGGAGGTGATGACGACGTGAGGGATGCGGTAGCGCTCATGGAGGACCTGGATAGCCTTCTCGAGGGAGTCCATGTCGGTGATCTTGACTCCGGAAAGGAGCCTAGGAGGATGTCGTATTAGCGCGTTGTCCACAAGTCGTCGTCTCCTCGGGTTCGTGACTTACTCTGCCTCGAACTGGTTGGGCAGTACAAGGTCAGCGTACTCGACAAGGGCCTGGTACGCAGGCACGACCTCCTCCGCGACGTAGAGCTTGCCGTTGTCGCCCATGACCGGGTCAAGGACCCAGAAGAAGCTGCCTGGTGCAGACTGGGCGTTGGCCTTCTCCCTGAGCTCCTTGCCGATGCGCCCCACGGCGGCGACAGCCTCGGCGCCAGGGATGTATCCAGAGAGCATCATGTCGAAGTCGTCGAGGAACGAGTTCTTGAGACCCTCATAGAGCGACTCAATCTCCTGGGCGGTGACCTTTGTGCCAGTCCATTGGCGGTATCCTGTGTGGTTGCCTGGGCAAGGTTAGGCGGGAGAGACCTGCCAGAAGGACTGGGGGGGACGGACTGAACTGGACAGTGTTGAGCGCGGCAACTTCGCAGCCAAGTGACTGCAGCGTGAAGACTGCGATTTTGTTGCCGACATTTCTAGGGAGTATAAGCCTGGGAGACCACGGGTCTGAACTGGCTGGACTTACCCCGAGACGACCTGGAGCTTTGTTAATGATGGTGCCCTTGGGTGTCACACTGGGCAAGAGGGCTTACGTGACTGGCCACGGCCAGGACGCGAGTCTCTGGGATGGGGAGTTCTGAGGCCATGCTCAAGCCAGCGATTAGTCCAGTTGGTAGAGTGAGCTATAGAGATATTTGTTCGTCCGTGGTGTTGTGCTGGCAAATGGCGAATGAGGCGGGGTTGAAAGGTAGTGGCACAAGAGTCTATCGACTCCAGAGCTGACGAAGACGTACAGTGTCTATCCTACTAATTCAATGAATCAGAATGAGACGTGAATGGGTCTGGAGATGGAGGCTTCAATGTCTAAAAATGGTCACGCGGCGTATTAGATAAGTCTAGAGAGATGACATAGAGGGCGAAAGAGTCAGTGTTCGTGACTAACAATGCCCCTCCAAGACCAGTGACGACTTTTTTCCCTCTTTCATCAGGGGTGCAGGGGTGAATGCCAGGCGTCTCTAATCCCGAAAGGGCTAAAGGAGCATGCCGCTTTTAGTTCTTCGCTGAGGGTGACGTGAAGCGATAAAGTCTTGTTACACCAAGCACTTGGAACTGTTTGAACTGGGTAAAGCTCTGCCGCGTGCATCGATGCTTGACTGTAGGCAGACGCTGTAGTCACGTTATGCAATTCCCGTCGTCATCAAGCATAGACCTATCATGAAAGGAGGACGAGCCAGTGGTCATGACAAGGCCCAGGCACCATTCTGCATAAGGTCTCTTAAGCATACAAACAAGTAGGACGTCAAGTGAACTTGGATAGGTAGGTAAAGCAGGAGGAGCAAGGGGGTTGATCCAGGGATTCCAGGTGTAGATCGCATCGTGCCGCCCAGTGGAAAGTCCTCGTACCCAAAAACCGCACGAACCTGTTCTGCCCCGCACTAAGCCCGAAGCAGATCATCCGGGCCCCTCGAGCCTTCTTCTTTCCGCCGCCACAGCGAGCGGCCTGTTAGTCAGCAGACTCGACGCTGTGCACCTCCATCAATCGCATCCCCAACTCATCCAATTCAGCCTGTCGCCAAACCATCAATCGCAATCGCCACCACCCCCCCCTTTACGCATCACGACACAAGCAGATCAACACAGCACCAAACCACAACCGCAATCATGGGCAAGGTTCACGGATCTCTCGCTCGCGCCGGCAAGGTCAAGTCGCAGACCCCCAAGGTTCGAACAGCACCGCCCCGCCCCCCCCCTCTGTTCGACCGCCCGCCCGCTAACCGCGCCCACCGCAGGTCGAGAAGGCCGAAACCCCCAAGACGCCCAAGGGCCGCGCCCACAAGCGTGAGCAGTACACCCGCCGCTTCGTCAATGTCACCCTCGCCCCCGGCGGCAAGCGCAAGGTACGTCCGATGCGCGGTGTTCCTCCCTTCTCCCAGGCGAATCGCCCCTCCCCCGGGTGAATGCTGACGTCTGAACTAGATGAACCCCAACCCCAGCGCTGCCTAAGCCTGCTTTCGATAAGACGGTTCGACACGAGGAGACACAACCGAATGTCGGACTGGAATTGACGAGCTAGGAGGGTCTGCTGGAGACGCGGCATGTCTTGATACCCGATGAAGTTGGAACCAGGCGCATCGACGAAGGGCTGACCGGACTGTGTTCACAACGAGTTTGTCTTCTCAGGGGACGGAAAACACTCGTATATACATGAACTCATAGACAAAAAGTTTCACCACATTCAAGGGATCATTGCAGTAGGGGGAACATTGAAGTTTCTTTTTCATTATCATCCATATCGCATGTGTCCATCCAGTGCATCGAAGCCAATCCTCCCTTCTGGCTATCAAGCACCGGAGAGACCGCGCTTTCTACCTCCAGAATGGGGGTTATTTTGCCGATCCAGAGTGTGTGCGTGCTGCAGGCTTCGCGCCTGCCGTAATCCGTAATCCCATGCAACGCCGGCCGCTTAGTGTTTCGCTCAGTTGCTCATCATCGCCGCCTGTAAGATCATCCTTCACCGTGCTACAGCTTTACTCCTCATCGCCAATCTGCATCGTGTCAGTCAGGTGATTCCGATGGCGCGCAAGAGGGATGAGTCGCTTACCTTGGGCGCGAGGTAAAATTGCAGGAAGCTGCCGCCCTCGCCGGTGAGCGGGTACTCGACGAGCAGGGGCACCTCGTTGGAGAGACAGAGCTTGACGGAAGTGGAGAGGCCTGAGGCCTTGCAGAAGTTGACAAGGTACTTGAGGGAGAAGGTCAGGGTGACGGGCTCGGTGAGCGCAATCTCGACGTTGGTCTGAGGGCTGTCGACGTTCTGGTGAGAGCGCAGGGTGACGGCGCCATTGCCGATGTCGCCGTTGCTCGAGAACTTGACGCCATCCTTGTTCGCTTCAATAGTGACTGGGAACTGCCGTCAGCATTGCATCGTCATCTTTGTTTGGCGACGTGCCACGTACCCGACTCGCTCATAGCGGAAAGGTCCACGCAGATGCGCCTGAACTCGTTGGAGGGCAGGGTGATGGTCGCGGCGTAGTCCGTATCGGGAATGCCCAGGTGCTCCTGGTCAATGTCCATGAGCTTGAGGTCGTACTCGCTGAAACGGTCCTGGCCGTTCTCAAATGTGAGGCTGAGACTGTCCGGGGCGTCCTCGGCCTTCAGAGTGAGCTGGTCAGTGCTGTTGGCGGCGCGCAGGACCTTGGTGAGCGAGGTCAGGTTGACGCCGAGCGCGATGTTGCGATCGCATCGGTAGGGAGAGAAGGCCTCGGCCTTGAGCATCATAGAGACCAGGGCAACGTGAGAGTTGTCCATGGCCTGGAGCGCGATACCAGAGTCATTGCAGTCGAAGTTGCAGTCTTGGACCAGGTCCTTGATGGCGTCAACGACCTGGGAGACACGCGTTAGCAAGTCCTGAAGCACAATAGAGAAACAGCGGATATTTACCTTCTTCAGGATGTCCGCCTGCTCGAGCTTCGCTTCCAACATTTCTGTGACGACTTGTTAATTCCGGCTCGGGGCGGGGTAGGTCGAGCGAGGGGTCAGTCATACTGTCAGTGTGTGATGTGCTGAAAAGAAGGGTATCAAAGAGGTCGACTGGATCGAAATGTATCGGAATCGGCGGGAGGAGTGATGTGGTAGTAGAGAGGTTCTGAAGATGTTGTTGGAGGGAGGAGCAATCGAGGGGTGAGCGGGACAAGCAAAAGAAAGCACTCTAGCTAGGGGCGACGCGATTGACACGCGAAATGGATGTGGGTTTAATGGGCTGCAACGCGTTAAGCTGGGGCTGGAGACGCGGCGGGGCTTAGGTAATACTGTTGCCCAGGCAGCCCTCGCGCGCCCTACAAATCCCCCTTTTCAGATGCCAGGGATACCGCCCGACAGCAAGGGAGCTGTGCACAAATAGGCCAGCACTACCACCTGATCTTAAAATAGACGTTCACGGGCACAATTCGAAAAGGGCAATTGGAGAAGCCTTGTCTGGCGGATCTCGCTTAAGCAATCATTCAGTTGCTGGGTTACATGCAAATCTACAACCCCAGATGTCCTCGCGCGCATGAACCAGTAAGAGTATCAATTTTGAACAACCAAGCCGAGACGACTGCCTAGCACAAAGGACGAAAACCCGGGCCCGGAGGCCATGTGCCTCGCGCCACTTCAGGCAGAGTACTGTACACCATGTTCATGGTCCTTATACGGTATCAACGACACCTGTCTCATCATGCCGCGCCCTCCCAACCCCGCCCAAGTCTATATGCCGTAAACGAGTGACGGCCAGCCAAATGCAGTAAAATCCGATGGAGATGGCGTGGAAAGAAGAAGAAGAAAAAAGCAATGAAAATCAAACGAGTGAGGGCGGATTAAATGCGAACCAGCAAAAACAAGTACGCCGCGTACGCACAAACGCCATGTCATTAGAAGACGAGGAAGGAAAACGCCCACAGCCGGGGTAGGATGCGCCGGCCGTCAGGCAGATGTTCATGGTCGTAGTTCATTCTTTGCAGGAGGGGGGGCGGAGTGGCGGCCGTTACATGGAAACGATTCGTGAGGGTGCTGTGCGTGAAGGAGTTGTGTTGGTTCGCGGCCGCGGGCGAAGGTTGATGACCATCTCGAGCTCGCGGAGCATGCCCCTGTTGGCCTCGGACTGCCGTTTTGTTTCTTCCCTCCTGTCGCGATCCTCCTTCATCTTGACGATTCGTTCTTCTCTCGTCAGTAAGCTGCGAGGGCGTGGCATGGCCACGGCTTCGAATATCTCGTCGCTGTCTGCATTGCTGCTGGCATGACTCGAAGGGAGTTCGCCATTGAGGGCTTTGAGAGCTTCCATGGCGCCACCTCCTTCTTCCACGACCGTGGGGCCGCTGATGGAGCTCGTCGGTGACAAGAGCGTACTCATCGATGAAAGGCGTTTCTCGTTCCGGTCGATACCCACGGCAAGAGCCGCCTTGCCCTCTTCCCAGGCTTGCATCAACGCCTTGAGGTCGACGCCGATTGATTCGTATTGAGACATGAGATTGGACCCCATTTCGGAAATATCGTCGGATTCATTCAGTGTCCGGTCAGATTCCTCCCTCAGCAGCTGCAACTTGGCTTGCAGGCCTCGAATGCCTGTCGAGAGGGAGTTCAATTTGCGCAATTGGCCCCTCCAACGTTCTCGTCCCGGTGTGAGCGGCATTCTAGGTGTGGGCGGCGTGGGGAATGCTGTGACAAGTTAGCGTCGATCCAGCCCAAGGGGTCCAAGGGTTCACGCGTCACTTACATTCCTGCTCGCTCAGTATCGTCTTGAGGCGTTCGAAACTCGAAGACGTAGACATATTGAGCGCACGGAGAGCTTCTACGGCGGTCGTCCAACGCATGAGATCGCTGCTGTCACCACTGGCGTCAAGAGCCAGCAGAGCGCAAAGCGCCATCTTGCGCATGGTGTGGAATCGCGAAGCTGCAATCTTGAGCATGCGCAGCGACTCCGCGTCCTCTGGGTCGCTCTCGACGAGACCGTGCTGCGCATCTGAAACGTCCAGATCGCTGACGTCGTAAATGTCAAAATACTTTTCCAGATCCAGCTGCTCGGAGAATCCCTTGACGACGGTAAAGGTCTGGTCATACGCCTGGAGGACTTCTACGAGACACACACGGAGGGCTTTGCGCAGGCGCACGCACCTCCGCGTCTGTGTGCGGTCCTCCATTCGGCTGATCGGCGGCAGCGGTGCGCTCCTGTCCCAGCGTCAGTCTGATGCTCGTAAAAAACAAAAAAAAAAAAAAACACCGCCGGGCGGAAGAAGCAACACTTACAGCCTGTAGCCCCGCGAAACGAGCTCGACCTCCTGGATCAGAGCTATGGCCGCGCCGGTGGCGCTGTCGAACTCGTGGGCGTTCGAAACAAACGCAGTGACTTCAGATAACGCCTGGTGGCGACGGTACCGCAACCACTGCCTGCGCATGAACACCTGTGCAACCCCTGCAGCGATCGCCGCAGTGGCAAGCAGAACGGCGAGACGCTTCTTCGTCAGGGACCCCCCTCCGACAATCCAGCTGATGGCAAACGCCAATGCCAGGGCTCCCAATACTGCACCGAGAGCCCCGGTGGAGTCTAGAAGGCCGTTGTCATTCCCCTGTCCGTGTTCCGCGTTCGGCAGGTGCCGAGAGCTCGCATGATTATGGCCGGTAATTGAGTGTCCGCTCAGGAGCTGGGATGCGACAATCGTATAGCGAAATTGCTCGATAAACTTGGAGTTGTCGGCGCGGTCTATCCTGTTCGCTACAGCGGTCTGGGGAAAAAGGGAGACGGGTGTCAGTCAGGCCACACCGGCACAGCGCGGCAAGGGGGAGAGCAACGGCGTACAGAGTAGCTTCGTCGAAAGTAGTTGAGCGATGCCGGCGTCTGGTTCGGAATCTCAACTTTCAGAGGCTCGGGTATTTTGTTGCGGAATCGTGAGCGGACCTTGGGGAGTCCTGTCGGTGCGAAGCCGGGGCTTGAGGGTGGTGAGGAGTCGAGATCGGGTTCGGCTTGCGCCCACTCGGCCTGGCCATCTTCGCCTTCATCTGCGACGGACAATAAAGCGTCAGTGATTTGGCGGTTGCGTTGCGCGTTGCGGCACAGGAGGAAAAGAAAACACACCTCGAAGATAGTCGGCGAGAGGGGACTGGTCGAACACCACGGACTCCATCTAACAACCTGGTAAGGAACGAATCGACCGTCACATGCACCTCAGCCATCTGCGACTCCAAGCCAAGCGGTGTAGTGTACGTGGTCGAATGGTGTTGCTCGTCGGGTGCGTCGCTCGTCGGGCCTGTGGTCTGTAATCTGTGGTCGGGTCTGTTGGTGTGAAGAGGATGTCGTGTCAAGTTGCCGGCTCGAACAACAACGACGGAGCCTCTGGCCACATGGATATGGGAGATTATGTTATGTACAAGGCGGATCGCGGGCTTTCCCCAAATACACAACTACGTCCGTGCCGTTGTGTTGTGCATCACTTGCGGAGTTGGGGGAGTGCAGCTACCAATGTCGTACCGAACGCTTTCCCCCTATCGTTATCGGTAATTTCCAGGGGCGTGCGGGGGTGTGGCCAGGGGGCGGTCCAGGGCTCCGGGGCCTTGGGGGGGAACGCAAGCGCTGGCTTACGAAAGAGGGACTGTGGGCCATGGGTGGCCAGAACCCTCGAATGAACAAAGAGACCGAGACGGGCGCCGTTAGTAGCCCGTCCAGCCCAACCATGCTTGACCAGTCCCTTACATTTTGACATCATGAAGCTGAAGGAGACGGCGACTCAGCGCTTACCTATTTCTGTTTCCTGTTGTGATATGGCCATGACATCGGTGACTTTTTATGTGGGCGACGAGGACTTGAAAAGCGAAGTGCACCTGCCAACCTTCGCACCGCCCAAACGCCAAACGCACCTCGAGACAGCACTCAACGCCTTTCCCCACTGAACTCCCCACTTCCTACCTTAATCTCGAGAAGGCTCCTGGCGTTTCCTCACTACGCCTACTGTCACAATATGTTTACCACCACTGGACGTCATATTGAGGATATTGCTCCAAATTCTGTATGGCCACACGACCAAATGTGCATTCCGATCGAGTTTGCACCTCACCAGGCGTTTGCTCCCAGACGTTTGCTCCCGGACAAATGTGCGAACGATGTCGGTCCATGATCCTGCGCCGCGCTTCACCACCCCTCGCCAGTATCCAATGTACTGCAGATGCAGACTAACATGGACATACCACAACCTCCTGCATCGCATGAGCACATACAATGAACCACTTCGAGACAGGAATCTTGGCTTTGTCGTTGGCAAGCCACAATGCATCATCGAGCTCGCCATCGTGTGACTTGACGCATTCGCCAGGTTCCTAGTCAGGTCGTTGCCGAAAATTATTTCACAGTCAATGACAAAGCAAGCGATAGACTGTCGCAAAAGCTTATGGCACTCCTCTCGAAGTTGTGAACACAAGTGGTGTGGGTCTGCCACAATTTCCTCGATGGCGCAGAACAGGCGATGAACCTTGGAGTCTTTCCAGAGTGTTCAACGGACGTCAATTCAATCGCTCCAAGAATAGTCTGTGATGGTAAGCCAGCGCTGTCACATGGAAAAGTAGAACGGCTCACTGTGGTGGGAAGCTGCAAGTCGTCAGAAGCCGTGAGCCGTGAGCCGTGAGCCACCGGCTCAAGCCTTGGCCATACCCCTGCTTTAATCACCACGATCACTAGACCTGCCAGCTGACCATCTCAATGAAAGGTTCGGAAACAGCATCGAATATCAGAGACCGCGGTTTCCGGTTTCTTAAGACGCCTTCGCATGGCCCAAGATTGACAATCAGATCAAATACATAACCCACCCCTTGATCTCGGGTTCAAACGCAACAACAAAAACAACAGCAACCCTGTAAACGCCCAGCAACCTGTCTATACCTGGGTCTTGTATCCTCTTTCATTTCCAACACGAATATTCGACCATAATCATGGCAAGCGTCCCTATTGCGTCGTCGGCTACCTCGGGCTTCTTTCAGCAATTGCCCACCATTCTCCCTCAGTACACGTCCCCCCAGCTCGCCAATCCTCACGATGAGGCCACGGACGATGTTGTCCTCACACGGCTTGCGAAATTGTACTTGCCAGACAGTAGCCAGCAAGTCGTGGGCAACGCCATGCACGAAATCTCACGGACTGTGCTGGAGCCCGCCACTTTGAAGCATGCTGTCGAGGCCGAGACAGTACCGCCGACTTTGCAGCCGCTCACGACCTTTGGCGAGCTGAATCAAGACGACCCTCTTGTCCTATGTCACGGTTGGAAAGCTTTGAAAGCCATCGGAATCCAGGCAGGCGTTGTCTCGCTGGGCTACGACCAGTCCACGTCCACCCACAATCGTCGCGTGCATCAGTTTCTCGTAAATCACAATTGGCACCACACATCAACCCTGACCATGTGCCCGATGAGCATGACGGATGGGTCTGCCCGTTTCATTTCGAATCACATTGGGGACGATGATGGCGACGAAAAGGGACGCCGCGCGGTCCTCAGGGAATACTACCGACGCCTGGTTTCGTCTGACCCATCTGAAGCTTGGACTAGCGGCCAGTGGATGACCGAGAGGTCAGGCGGAAGCGATGTCAGAGGAACCGAGACTATAGCCACGAGATTGACCCCGACCGACCTCAAGGGCCCTGGCGGCCGCGGCCAAGACATTCTCGGACAGCCTTTGGGACCCTGGTCCATTGACGGTTTCAAGTGGTTCAGCAGCGCAACCGATTCAGACATGACCATGCTTCTGGCGCAGACCCCGAAAGGTTTGAGTGCGTTCTGTGTTCCCATGCGCCGCAAGGCGGGAAGAGGCTCTGAGCTCAACGGAATCCGCATCCAGAGGCTCAAGAATAAGATGGGCACAAAGGGTTTGCCGACCGCTGAGCTCGAGCTGAAGGGTGCACGTGGCTGGCTCGTCGGAGAGGAAGGGAAGGGCGTCAAGGCAATCTCAACTGTCCTCAACATCACGCGCCTCTACACCGGCGCTGGCAGTGTCTCGTACTGGGCACGTGGCCTCGCAGTCTGCCGTGCGTACACCAAGGTTCGGAAGGTTCGGGGTGCCTATTTGTACGAAAACCTGCAGCACAACCACTGGATGGCTGGAGAGACTGTCAAATACCAAGCGGCCACGGCTCTTACGTTCTTCGGTGTGGCCCTTTTGGGCTGCAATGAACAGGGTCGTAGCGTCATGAGAAACACCCCGGCCGCTGCACTCATCCCGAATGACGAGACAGCAAAGCTTCTCCTTCGGCTTCTGACGCCAGTGATCAAGGCGCAGACGAGCGTAGCAGCTGTAGCTGGGCTTCGCGCGAACATGGAGTGTCTCGGCGGTGTGGGTTATTGCGAAAACCATGAAGATGGAGGCATATTGAACCTGGCCAAGATATTCCGCGACTCCGTCGTGCAAACAATCTGGGAGGGAACCGTGAGCGTCATGGCAGATGACGTTGGCCGGGTCCTCAAAGACAAACGCATTCAAGGAGGCCGGATTATTGAGGATGTTTTTGCTCCCTGGACCATGAGGACCCTCAAGCTCTGCAGCAAGAGGTTCGCCAATGAGTGTACCGCTGTTACCGAAAGACTCGAGAGTCTCCTTGCCTTGATTTCACGCACCAAAGCGGATGGGGCACTGCTGGAATATAGTGGCCGGTGGCTCTTGGACCACCTCGACGTCGTTACGACGGCAACACTTCTTTTGTATGATGCTAGCACGGACGATGATGAGATTGCATCTCACGTCGCAATTAGATACGTCCGGTCTCATGTCAGCGCGGTCAGCTACACTAAGCTTGGCGCATTTGACTGCGCGGCCGAAGCCGCCATTGACGCAAGGATCTTCATGGGTGCGAGCATCTCACAAAAACCATTAGCTGGAAAGCTATGAGGTGTTGAAGGCTTTGAACAACGCATGTTGTCTTTATGATAGTTGGCGCCTTGGCATAATTCTTGTACTTCGTGTGTATTGTTGTTACCCGCTGGACAGTATGTCGAGGCTGATCTGGTAATACAGCAAAAACGCAATGCAAAAACTCCATGCGCGTTTTCGAGTCTGGTTTTGAGCGAAACAAAATATGCGATGTGTCGTTGCGTAATTGCGAACTTGCCGTCTACCAATATATTTCATGAACTTAGCCTTAAAGCCGTACGCAGATGTAACCGTGTAAATTTACAGCTTAGCTGGAAGGGTGCTCTCCCTCATGAACAGTTCGCGTAGCTCCCTCCTCAGTATCTTTCCCGTGGGGCTTTTGGGGATAGCTTTGACGTAGCTCACGCCACCCCGAAGCTGCTTGTACGAAGCCAGCTCGCGCTTGACAAATGCCTTCACCTCGCCCTCGGAAATCTTGTTGACATCCGCCACTATGTAGGCCCTGGGGACTTCGCTTCCTTCTTCTGTCGGCACGGCGACACCGATGACTGCAACATCTAGGATCAAGGGGTGGGACAGGAGAAGCGCTTCAAGCTCAGCTGGGGCAACCTGGAGACCCTTATATTTGATGAGCTCCTAAAAGTCAAGGTTATCAGCCATTTGCAAGAGTGACAGTAATCAATTACATACCTTCTTGCGGTCGACAATGTAGAATTTGCCGGTTTTCCGGATGCCGATATCGCCCGTTTTGAACCAGCCGCCACATCTGGTAAAGGATTCGACTGTCGCCGTGGGGTTCCGCCAGTATCCAGGGGTCACTATCTGTGACTGTACCACGAATTCTCCAGGCGTCCCGTCTTGAACATCTTGTTCGTCCTCGTCAACGATACGCAGTTTTGTGTTCGGTTGGACTGCCGAAATGCAGCCCGTCTCGTCCTTCTCGTCCCAAGGCTGCACCGTGACGCTGCCGGCTGTCTCGCTCATCCCCCAAACCTGGGAGATATTGCATCCCAGTTTCTTCTCCACAGCTCGCGAGAGCTGGGCGCTCATTGGAGCAGCGCCGGAGATCGCATGGTAAAGCGATCGAAAATGATCCCCGACCAGAGAACTCTGAGAAATCAACAGGAAAATGGGCGGAACGCTGAAGAAAATGGTGATCCGAAGGCTACGATTATACTCGATGAACTTGACAAAGTCGAATTTGGGCATCCAGTACACGGTACCTCCGTGCACGACAGGTTGAACAAAGTAGCCCTGAATTCCCGCGATGTGCGCAGCTGGAACGTGCGCGATAGTTCGGTATTCGAAGGAAAATGTCGGATCCTTAGTCTGTTGGCGGTTGAGGAAATCTCGATAACTGTAGCGGGTGATCAGAGCATGTGCCACCATGTTGGCATGAGTGATGGTGACGCCTAAAGAAAGGTCAATGCCCTTTCGATTGCATTACAAATCGTTGATTCCACATACCCTTTGGCTTGCCAGTAGTTCCACTGCTGTAAACAAGGCAAATGATACGTCTTTTGAGGATTTCGGGATCCATGATCTTATCCCAAGGCAGCTCCGAGGACGAGACAGACAACATATCCTTTCCAGACTTGGAGAGAAGACTTCTCTTCCCATCCGTGCTTTCGAGTATGAGGATCCGGTCGGATGGCAAGCCAGCCTGTCGAGCTGCTCGCTCAGCCACTGCACGACAATCGGCAGATGCGACGAGCAGGCGAGCACCGCCGTCCTCGATCTGCCGTTGCAGCTCCGCACTGGTCGAGCTGCTGCTCGCAGCGCTATACACTCCACCGGCCGCGATTGTACCGTAGAATACAGCCGGAAGGAGGACCTCTCCGGAAGAGATGCAGACTACCACATCTTGACCGCTGATTGAGGCACCAACGCCGAAGTCGCGTCGGAGGATGTACGCAATACGTCTCGTGAGGGTGGCGGTTTGCGCCTTGCTCAGACGGTTGCTGGGATTACTCGCTTCAACGTGAAGGATAGTATCATCCTTGGATGGAAGCTCGGCGGAATCTGTGTCAGGACACGGCATGAGACTTTTGCCTCGACGTTTTCTGTGGTGGGGATAACCTACCGAACAGCAGTGTCAACAAATCGACATTTGTAAGTTCATAGTCGACCGTTGCGTTGTAAACAGTCTTCCCCGTCATTCTGCGAGACAGTTCTCTTAGCTCTCTGTCCAAATCGTTTTATCTCGGGTATTCAGTTGTAAACTGGAGCTACGTTTGGTTCGATGCGGGAGTCCTGCCAGGAGCTCAGCTCAGATACCGTGCATTTATGACGAGCTTGCCCCGTCCCGTAACCATAGGACAGCACCCGCCAAGCTCCAGCCAAGCGGCTCGGAAAAGCAACAGTCTCGTTCCAGCGTCCGAAATAACAGACACCATCCTGTATACTATGCAGAAATGCTAGTGGAATCTGGGGAAGAGGAGCCGTCCTGGTCAGACGAGACTGGTGATCGACCCTTTCCCCGCCAACCACTTACTTAGGAAGGTGGGGCAGGAGAGCCGGCGGCTCTCGGCTGTCGTTACCCCTAATAAGGCACCTGCCTGAAGCAGGTACCTAAGTAATACTTGAGCCGTCGGCATCCCCTCAGCTTTGACCCGAACGGCTCTCCTCTTCGCCCTCACATATAGCCACAACTACTCGAGCCGTTCGGCAAACATCTCAATTGATGGAGCCGAAGAGGATTCGGCACGCATGCAGTCGTTGTCGCCGACAAAAATTGAGAGTTCGTCATCTAATACCGCGCTGCTGGAATTTTGGCTTGGTCGTGGCTGACCTGTGAGCACCAAGTGCGACTACCAGCGCCCGTGTCCATTGTGCATACGGGCTGGTGCAGAATGTACGGAGGCAACTGAACGGACCTGGTCAGTATAATGGCAGAGAGATACGTTACTGGCAACCGATTGACTGACGGAGTCAGGCGATCCAACCGGCCCAAAAGTGCAGCGTACCAAGCCCGACACGCTCGGCCGAGAGTAGCTGACGAGCCGTGTTCCTCTACGCAGCCCCGTACTGCAGATGCAGTGGAGTTGGGCAGGCCGAGGGTTTCTACAGCGGCCCATGCACAGCCAAATGATGTCGTCCGACCCGACCAGCGCGCGTCCGCATTACATCTTGTGGGAAAGGTTCGTGCTGTCGTCAAGCTCAACAGTGGCGCAACGACAAGCCGAGTCCTTTGACTTAACATTCCTCTCAGATCTTTCAGAAATACCAAATCGCAGCGTCAAGTCGAACGCGCGAGGTTGATGCCTTGCCCTCAACAGACTCTCCCAGTCATGGACAGACCCAGGCAGAATCTGAGCTGGTCCCCGTCATTGACATCTTGGGTATTGATCTGCCTCCAACAGAGGTAGTCAATTCTTTATTGGACTCGTATAATGACTCGGTACATTGGTACATCCGCATAATTCACGAACCCTTTCTCCGGGCACGACTTCTGCCCATAGCAGAGTCCGGGCTTGCGTCGAGGAAACAGCGACCTCTGCTTCTCTTAGCACTTGTCGTGCTCGTGATCGGTGCCAAGTTTAAACCTGATTGCGCTCGAGCAGGGGTTCGCGAGGAAGCTCCTTCAGCTGAGATTGTTTCGGGCATGATAATGACAGCTGAAAGATGGTATCTCCCATCCATGGACCTCATCACCGTCGATACAGTTTCCTACTCGTTTCTGCTGAGCGCTTATTATATGTGGAACCGCCAGTCAAGAGCCGCCTTCATCACCATGGGAACAACAGTCCGCGCAGCTCAATTCATCGGCCTCAACCAGGAAGAAAGCTGGGGCGATATAGACACCATCGAGAGACAGACGCGACGCTACGTCTGGTGGACTGTATTCATTGGAGCAGGGTGAGTCAACATGCGCCTATCTAACACCTACGTCTAATATGCGGCTGCAGATTCATCTCAATGTCGTGGGGCACACCTCCAATGCTCATCGAGACCGATTGCCACGTTCAGCAACCACTTGACGTTGAAGATAGTTTCGAGCAGTGCCCGAAGTTTGGGTCAACCGAGATGTACGAGGACGGGCAGTCCAGACCCGTAACAGTCGGCTCCTATAACAGGTTCAAGGCTAAGATGTACAAAATTGCAAACTCCATCATGCACCAAATCTACTTTACCCAGCACAATGGATCCGAAGAGCTTTGTCAGTCGATATCGAAACTCCACCAGAGGTTGTTAGCCTGGGAAAGGTCTATCCCCCCCGAGCTAAGAGCAGAGTCACACCCTCCGAATACCATTGAGGACGGCGAGGACGCCGCTTTGAAAAGGATTTTCGCCATACAGGCTCTTACCCTCCAAGTGTCCTACGACAACGTACATATCCTCCTGTTCCGTCCCTTGATATCGATCGGCGGCATACCAAGGTCGCGCGTTTCTACGCGAGCAAACTCACCTGCGCTGGCAACGCAAGCTACCTTTGCCAATGTGCCAAGCGCGTTCATCAACATTGCTCAGCAGCAGTGTTGGACATCCGCAACGAGGACATCAGAAGTGGCCAAGCGTCCGGATCTTCTGCGTCTCTTCCAGTTCGGCTTCCCTGCCATTCATGTCGGGGTGCACGCCTTTTCCGCGGGCGTCATGCTTGGTCTGCTCGCCCTCTTGAGCCCCTTGTCTGCTCGAGGCCAGGAGAGTAAGCGCGGCATAGCGAGGATCATACAGATTCCGAAGAGCACCAATCTCAGATCGCACGTATGGAGTCAAATGACAATGGTTCTCACGGACTTGATGCACGTCATTGCCACCGAGGAGACGAAAGCTCTGATTGACAATCCAGCTGGACTCGACTTCAGCGAGACACATGATAAGCCGGGTGCATTTGGGGAGCCCCCAGAATATTATTCAGAAGCTGTCGGCAGAGACCGAGAAACCTCGTCGACAGAACCCCAGGAGCCTGTGTCCGGTCGTGATGGCGCCCGCAATGACCTTGCAGAAATGCATGGCCATGCCTCAGGGCTCACCAACATGCAGTCTAGAACGGGTGATACAAACCGGCAGATAAATTGGGTCGATGGCATGACTGGAACAGGAGACGACTCACCTCTGAATGATCTGCAGGGTGAGCTATTTGATACATCAGGGCCCTGGCTACCGCCACAGGCCGGGTGGGGAGTTGGTCCGCTCCAAGAGATGGATCAATCGTGGATATGGGACTGGTCGTTCCCTGATCGTTGAGTGTACCATGATCAACCTGCCTCGTAGTGCCGTGAAAAAAGAGAAGTTTGGTGCTTGGGGCATGGAGTCACCCTGTCTACACAATGTCTAAGGCACTCGATGGTCTTGAATGATGGTATTTTGGGGGCGTGCAATCACTGGAGATGCATCACCTCTGTCCACGTAGGGGTATTTTGAAGCAGATTGCACCAATCTACGGCTCAAGGATAAATCCAGTGATGATCTGGTCATGCCCCACATGCCCACCGCTCTTGCCGCTCTTGCCATTCTCTGGACGTTGAACTGAGTTCTTCCATTAACACCCTGATGAATTGTGTGAGAAGTTTGTTGTCGAGGCTTTTCATGATTCATCTGTATAAATCTGTGCTTTTCAGCCCTCAGTATTCCTTTTCTGCCTCTTTCTTCTTTTTCCGTTACTACTCCCCGACCAGAACCAAATTTGCCTGGCTTGCGCACCGAACAATATGACGGCCCTCGTCTACCCGGATATGCATCGCATCACCCTATCTGGGATCTTCTTTTTTCCTTGATCAACGAGCAATCAATCCTTGTCAACCAACTCCCAGGGCAGTCCAGTCAGGGTGAGTCACCTTTCGCATGTCTGATGCCGCGTTGCGGAATAATGGTTTTGGATGCTGCTCCGAGAGATTTCTTACTCTTTGAAATATTATTCTCTGGCTGTGGCAGAGACGAAGTCATGTTGATGCTAGGGCGTTTTCGACGACGGAGAGGATAGGAGAAGCAATCGAGACACCTGATAGGACAGCGTCAACCAGTGATGACCAACTTCGACGCAGTGGAAGAGAACTTCCCTTCAATGGCGAGCTTACCGCCACGCGCTTGGACTGAGGCTGTCGTTGTTCCTAGAAAAGCATACCATAGTTGGGGGGTCAGGCGAAGCTGACACACGTGGGTGGTCTCATTCCTGTTGGAAGGGATCATTTAATCATCACAGGGCTCCAAACCCGCTCAGACTGTCAGTTTCTCCATGAGGGGACCACCCACCTTGCAGGGATCATTGATTGTTGCCAATGATGAGACTGAACACAGAGGCCAACTGCCCGTGGAGGTCTGAGGCGACCGACCGCTGTCAACCTCTCAAGCGAGAAGGGCTTCCAGCAGCGACACCGAGTTATGATACTGAAGAACAAAGAAAACCGAGTGAAATGGATATATATGGAGTATTGTCCGAGGAAGACGGTGTTGGAAGAATCCGTGATCACGCTAACGAACCGTGGGCAGCGTCCAACGTTTTGCCATGATAGGTCGTTTGAGGTGGCAATGCGTAACAGAACCACGATTCCCTGCTCGAAGAGCCTTGCAGCCAGCAAAGTAGAGATCGAGCTTGCAAATGACAAGAAAACGAAGTCAAAATAAGACAATGAAGTGGAGGAGGAGTTTGGAATGGGAGAAGAAGTCATGATTGTTGGAGTTGATTTTGAAGGGTGACCAACATTCTACCCAGAACGATCCTTCCCCCTAATCTTGTGGGCACGCATTTGAGGACATTGCGTTCTGACGAGGTTATCGCATATGGAAACAACTATCACGGACTACCTGCTTCCTTTGGACATTGGCTGGGCAAGTCCACCAAATACATGCGCAGCTACCTTGAGGAAAGTAGTGATGGCGATGATAACAATGTTTGACCTGGGGTCATTCTAAATAGAACCTGCGTTCCTCTTTCCCTACTCGCAAACTCACAGCATACATTATGATTGACCCTGCTTCTCTTAGTCGATCTATTCCGAAACGGTCCTGCCGCCGATAGCCTCCTTTTCCATAGGTAGTTGGCTGTGCTTGCCGCACGCAGGCTACGGTCGAGCATGCAAGTAGACTCGTGGCAATGAGTATACCTTCTACTTCCTTGCTGCCTCCTTAAATTCTGATAGTTCCGATCGATTGCGATGGAATACTGCTGCCCAAAATATGTGCGATTCCAGACAGAAGTTTCAGAAGTCCAGGACCAAGCCCAGGAGATGATTCACACATCGATGAGCTGACTGGCATCGGGAGTTGTCACTTGAGCGGAAAGACACCCTGAACCTAAAGTCATGTGTTCGTAAAATGACAGGGTATCTCATTGGAGAATGGGATAAGTTATCATTAAGTATGCGATAGTGTCTATCTGCAGGTACTCGAGAGACCTACTTAGTGGCGCTTGGCTTTGGCCTGGTGGTGACGGGGAGGGCAGAGTGAAGAGGTCTTCCGCAGGCACTTTTCGCAGTCGGTTGCTAGATATGTCACAGGAATTAGTCTGTAATCGTCCCCTCCACAGGTAGGAGGGCTATGCGCAGCTCTTGTATATTCATATCGATTACCTTGAACCCCCAGCTAGGCGTCGAAATCTCTTGGTTACTTGTCTTCGTAGATACGCCCACGCCCTGGAAGCGAGGCTCAGTTCCCATTATCCGCTATCGACGAATTTTGAATGTGAACAGGGGCATATTCCGCCAAAGATATCGTGCTGACCAATGACCTCTTTCATGCACTGCCTTTATGACGGCCCCATTCTCTCCATCGGAATGATTACTAGACTTGGACAAGAATTCGGGTTACTGGATATCGCGAACATGTAGTATGTTAATTGAAAGTTCTGTTCAGTCAAGACGTGGCCTCATAAATAGCAACCGACATTTAGGCAATCCACAGCCCATGGTGCAAAGTGAACTCTGGTAGGTCAACATCAGATGGCCACTCATAGACACCTCGCCAGATCCACTTCCACGACGGCGTGTTTCTCAACCGATAGTTGCCTGGCTCTGCCTTCTCCTCCTTCTTTTCAGACTCACACACAGCTAGCAAAACGCCTGACTTCGCGTAGCTCTGTGTTTGTTGGACACCGTCAAAACGAGTGCCAACGCTGAGGTACATCGGCCTCAATAGGGCAAGGTAACTGCCGTGAAGATTGAGCACCTTGCGGACATGACCCAGTTCTCGCCTCGTTCTACGCTCTCTTTCTGTCGCGACGCTGTCTTTGTAGTAACCCAGCAGCTTGGATAGACGGCCTTGTTCGATTTCGTGCACCCACCACCTGGCCCAAATCCCCTCCGGTTCAACTGTGGCGATGGCTGTGAAACTGCTGTCAAAGGGACGGTGGACGCCCTTGATATTCTCATTCACGTCGTCGGAAAAGGCGAACGTTGTGCTGGGAGCCCAGCTCCTGCCGGGTGTCGACAGTCTTGGGGCGCTGGACATCAGGAAACCCGTACGGACCTGGCTTTGCTTCTCCCACAATTGATCCGGGTGCCTCGCTCTCTGGCTTTGCTGGCCCAAGCACAAACTCCAGATGACAACGTCATCATACTTGCGACTCGCAGGCCTGTGACTCAGCCAGGAACCCACAATCTCCAGGTGTATGTCATTGGCAAAGACATCTGACTTGAGCTTCTGCATGCCTTCCTTCCGCCACGGAATAGTGTGCGGGAGCAGGAGAGAGAATACTGCGAGATCGATCCGGCCGTAATCGCACACGTGCCTCAGAACATCTCCAAATTCGATGATGCGATTATCCTTGCACAGAATACTGATATGACCACGACCCTTCAGAGCTTCGAGCATAGTCCACGCCCTTATGTTCCAGTCACAGAACAGGACAGCTGCTACGAGGCTTTCTTGGCGTGCTGTCGTCAGGTCACTTGCGTCAAGATCCATAACATCCTTGTCGCAAACCAAGACGCACTTGCTTTTGTAGAAGACATCATTGATGTAGCGAATGGCTTCTCGCCTCAGCTCATCATCAGAAGGACTGGAACACGCGCATCAGCCACGACAACCAACAGGGCTGTGAAGTTTCCAGACCGAGAAAAGAAACAAGGAAAGACGCGAAACACCAAACTTCCTCGGGTTACTCACATGCACGCCGAATCGATCCAGTAGCTGTCGCATCCGAGAGATTTGGCTAGCCTCACGTATCGATCATGAAGACATCTGTGGATGCCGACGTCTGGACGGCCGCCCTGACCATGGCTCCAGACATGCGATATAGCCATGGTTCGATTTGATGCTTCGCAATACTTCAACTCTTGATCAGTAAGCTCAATAGAGACAGCCCGAGCGCCGTCAACACTGAGGTATGATGTTTCATTCCATACGAGTCCTTCTTCATTGTCAGGAGTGTGTTGTGTTGTCTGATCGTGCGCCGTCTGGTTTGCTGACTCTGTACGGTCGAAACGAAGGCAATCTCGCCAAGTATTACCGGAGCAAGCTGCCTCCCGATCGGCGCGACACCGGGGTGTCTTGTCTCTGAAGGCCTCGCTGAAGCGATGATGAAGGAGGTCGAAGTCCAGGCCGGTGCATTTTGGGTCGCCACGAAGAAGCTCAAACATCCATCCACACATGTTGGGTCGCTTCTTCAGCGTCGCAGTCTCTTCAGTGAATGCCCGCAGTGACAGGCCAGGAGAAACCTGGAAGTTCCTACTCCAGTAGGCGCTCTCGGAATCATGGTCAAATCCTCGGTTCATGGACTGCAAGAGAAAGCAACTGAGGTACAGCAACCTCGCACGCTGCCAGAATGACCAGAGGTACGCCCTTACAACGATCCAGATAACCGGATCTCCCACCCCGTCTCCCTCCAACGTGACGCAGGTGTGTATAAGTTCGCCTGTTCCGTTGAGTGCATCCTGGAGCTCTCTATCTGTGAATCCTTCCTGGGCCTGGACCATGACTTGGTATGCCGCAAATCGGATGACGTTCCTAGGAATGCATCGATTGACATGAAGAGACTGCGATAGCTTGTTCTCGTCGCTGAAATATGGTCGGGGAACGTTGTCCAAGTTATCTGGGAGCGTAGTGGTCTCGCTTGGTAGCCGCTGCAAGACTGCGACAACCCTGCTCGCGAAATCGTCCAAACAAAATTGGGGACGCCATGCGCACTGGATATAGCTAGAAAGATGTTGATCCAGCCTTTCAACGTGGCCCACAGGGCTGGCTGTCGCATCGTACAGTTCCTGGCATTTACCCCGAATCAACGAATCTCGCTCTGCGGCGCTGTAGTACTTTAGAACCACCTGAGGGGGTTTGCCCTCTTCTGTCACGGGTATAGTCAAGTTTGTTGTATGAAAATCTTCCCATCTGAAGAAGCGATCCGTCAAGTCGCTGGTTTGGTAGTGAGAATACTCCTCGGACAGGATGGATCGGACACGATCTGCGTCTGGGTACAAGCCCCCAATCATACCATGGTCAGGGTCCATGCCGAGTTTGTGATCTTGATGAGCGGAGTCCAAAACTAGTTAAAGAGAGCAAGAAAGTTTGACTTGTAAATGGAAATAATGACTCTTGCGCAGGGAGGTCAAACGTAAAATAAATTCCACACGTGGTTCTACGTGCGTGGTCGCGTAAGACGACCCAGCATCATGAGATGTGATAGGAGACGAAGGATCCGTGGAATATGCGGGGCCAGCTGCATGAAAAACAGTACCAAAGTCCCCTTCACGACCCATTGGTCATTGCACAGCCTCTCGTCGCCTCAATTGTCATCCGAGGCTGTGAGTGAGTGCGTGAGTTTTTGATCATGCATGCAAGCTGTGGCGGAGCGGCATCTGGGATGCGCATTCACTGGGTCGTGCCCCTTGAACATTCTGTCAGCCTTGACAGGGGGCCCATTCAGAGGTCTTGGAAGCGACTTTCTACATATCTGACACAGCCATCACTGATCTCCTGAAAACGAACAAGGCCGCCTAAGGTCTGTTTCTCTCGATCGGAAAATCTGACTGTAAGACGAGTACATAACAGCATCGGTGGGTGCTATTGGGACTCCTCGTTCACGACTACCGACAGCTTCCTCACCGTCATTTCAAGCACGGCATCTTGTCATGCCTTCCGCCCTTTTTTCCTCGCCTGAACAAGCCAGCTTAGGATCGCTCAACATTCCGTCGCACCTCCCTGGACCCCCTCTACCGAATATCGTCGCTGAATGGGGCGCGATTTTGCCTCTCGTCACCCATCTTGCAAATCAGCGCGATGACTATCTCACCACTGGCGATGTCGCCTTGATGGCAGCACTGCCTGTTGGTCTGTTTCCCAAGCTCGGCATATTCTCTGGCTATTCAAGATTGCTCCGAAATGGCACGCGATTTCTCGACTATGCAAGCACCCGAGGCGGTTCCAGTACAACGGTATGGGACGTTTCATGGGGCAGCGTGTTTCCCTGTGCGAACGGAGCTGCGAGCGCAGCGGTCATGCGATATTTTCTAGGACGCTCAAAGGAGAGGCGCGAGGTCATGCCCGAAAAGCTTGCGGCGATGCCAGTAGAGGCGAAGGCACAGACAGGGTCAGAGTCCTTGAACGACAAGAGTTCTTCTTCCAGAACAGCGTCATCCACGTCACATATGAGCCGCTTCAGGACCGTAGATCCTGTCACACCAAACAAGATACCTCAGAGGCGCTATCAGGTCCTCAATGTTTTCTATTTCCGAAGGAAGTCGAGCGCCCGGACTCTACTGGGCATCTGCATCAAGTTGGGAGACCGGACCTGGTTTCGCATTCTATCTTTCATAGCTCTTCTGGGCTTGTCCGCATTTCTTGGGCTCATCGGCGCCTATGGAACGGCGGCCGTTGTCGTCAGCTCGGCTTTGTCTCAAGCAGTCGCCTGGAATATCAAGATCCAGCGTCCGCCGGGTTATCTCAGCAACAACGAGGCACACGACGCCTGCATGCTTGTAGCATCCCACCAAAATGCGACAGAGTGGAACCTATTGATCGGGGACCGCGGTATTGTCGATACGTTACTCAACAAGCCCATGTTCCTCGTACCTTCCGGCAAGGGCGTGGAAATGGCTGCCTCCTGGTTCTGGTTTGCGAACCTTGTTCAGCTGATAGCCATGACATTTGTCGCCGGCCAGAAAGGCTGGGATGGCGTTGCCTTGGTGCTTCTCCTTGGTCTTCACTGGGCCGTCTTCAATATCTTCCCGCGGTCCGGTCTAGTCCACTCATGGCTCCAGACAGAAGGGATTGATGCCGTGCTGAAAAGCTACGAATTCGGTGGACGAATGGCTATGATGGGGGCAATTCAGGCCTTCAGCAAGTCCAAAATTACGAGGTGGATGGACGACATTATCGTTCCACACCCCCGCCGCGATGCTCTTCTTAGTTGCATTGAGGGAAAGGCAGTCTTTGGGCCTGAGTTCTCCGAGAGTGATCAAAAGAGAACTCAATCAATGGCTGAGGCCTCACTTGCTGCCGCGCAGGTTCTGGAGAGGGATTTTCATCCGAGTCGTGTCCTCCCTATCCCGCCCAAGGCTGCTGTTTGATATATCAGTTCATAGAACGGGGCCCGAGAGCCTTGACATAAGGGTACCTCCCAGATTTATCTGCATTGGGTCCCTTTCGCTACAAAGTCTAGAAAGAGGTTGACATGTCCTTTTCATATGGGAACATACGGCAAAGTTTTCAAGTCAACCATGGGGCATAACATAGAAGCCTTCTTGTGGTCGCGAATGCGGAAAATGCAGCAAGTGCATGGTCTTTCGTCGTCAATGTTACGTGTTTACTTGTGTACGCTGAAAGAAGAAAGAAGCATTCGTTCGGAACCATTCCACAGAATGATTTCTCAGCTTATACAAAAAAGGAAGGTCGGATTCTGGACATGCAAGTCCTAATCCTTACGCTTTTAAGCGGATCCCTGAGCTTCCCTTACAGAACTTGGTTGGATCGTTTTACCCTGCAATCATCGTCATTTCTCCAACTTACGCGTATCGATCGCAACTCTCAAAGGGCCTCGAATCTAAAAGCCCAGCCCGGTTTGAATCGTTCGAATCGTTATCCTGGTATGCCCCCATTACACTGGGGCCCTTCGCTGATTGCATGATGTACTATGGAGGGATTATCAGCGATGTTTGGCTGTTGCACAGTACAGACAGGCCATACCCGCCAAGCCGCTATGGATCGCCTCAAGCATCACAGGACAGCAGAGACGTCTAAGCGTGGGGGGTGGGTTGTCCTGTCCACGAACAGCAGATAGACAAACCTACATAAACCAGGCTCAAGCAGTAGTCATGCGAGCTAGAATTTTCCCCAGGTGTGCCTCGATATATCCTCGCAATTGTTGCCCAAAATGAGAATTGCCTTCTTTTCCGTCTTCGTGTTCGTAGCCAACGGTCTGGGCTGCCAGGCATCGAAATGCCCAGACTCACCAGGCACCACAGACCTCACGGTTCGCACGTCTACTGGTACTTTCACTGGCCTGATCGACCCTGAATTCCCCAACACGCGTCAGTTCCGCGCGATTCCGTTCGCCGAGCCTCCCGTCGGGTCACGCCGCTGGCTGCCTCCACAGAAGCTCTCCTCGTCACCAGACGAACACCGCTATGCGACCAAGTATCCGCCGTCGTGCCCACAGTTTGTGACAGCACTCGAGTCCATGTGGAACCTGCCACTGACCAAGGGGAACTTGGTCTACAACGGCGCTCAGAACGACACATCCGGGCTGGTGGGCGAGGCCACATCCGAGGACTGCTTGCACCTGGCCGTGTGGACGCCGACGGGCGAAGTCCCGGAAGGGGGCTTTCCTGTTCTCTTTTTCATGACCGGTGGTGGCTTTTATATCGGCGGCGTCAACCTCCCTTGGCAAATACCAACGTCGTGGGTCGAGCGGTCGCGCTCTCACATTGTCGTCAGCGTCAACTACCGCATAAACATATTCGGCTTCCCTGGAGCCCGTGGTCTGGCCGGCGGCGAACAGAACCTGGGCATTCTCGACCAGCGTGCAGCGCTGGAATGGGTCCACGACAACATCGCGGCTTTCGGCGGCGACCCCGAACGCATCATGCAGTGGGGCCGCTCGGCTGGAGCCATATCCGCCGACATTCATGCCTACGCCTATCACGAGGACCCCATTGCCCAATCCTACTACATGGAGTCGGGCACGGCCTTCAGCTTCGCGGGCGCGGAGCCTTCGTATTCTAACTTTAGCTTTGTAGCGCAAAACGTCGGGTGCGAGGCGCCCTGCGGCGTTGACTGCGACGACGAGGACGGTAAAGCAGAGCTGGACTGCATGCGCCAGGTGTCGATGGTGCAGATCTCCAACTTTATCGGACAGTATGGCGACCGTATGGAGAGGCCCACGCTGGGATTTGGCCCGATAGTTGATGATCGTGTCATCTTTTCCAACTACACGGCCAGGTCCGAGCAGGGCAAGATCGCGCGCCGGCCCGCCTTGATCTCTTTCACGTCCAACGAGTTCACGTCACTGGTGCCTTGGCCCAAAGAGGACCTTGAAGGCGGTGTCGACCAGGACGAGGTCAATGACTGGAACCTTTGGTTCGCAACATGTGCCGGACTGAACGCGACGGCCTACCGAAACCGCCTCGGTCCCGATGTGCCCGTCTTCCGGTTCCAGTACGCGGCCGAGTTTCCCAACCTCAATGCATACGACTGGCTTGGTGCGTACCACAACAGCGAGACGCCACTGATCTTTGGTACCTATGGACTGCTAGATCACATTGCGAACGCGACCGAGTTGCAGATTGAGGTTAGCCATTCGATGCAGGACCACATCCTCGCGTTTGCCACGGACCCGTTCAACGGCCCGCAAGCACTTGGCTGGCAACCAATGGACACGAGACTTGCTAACGGTGGTGATCTCTTGCGCTTCGGGGGGTCCAGTGGAGAGGCATTTGTTCACGTTGATGGCATTGAGGTGGATGGAGTATGCCTTGGAATTCGCGAGCACGACCCCTTTCCGTGATAATGTGTCCAAAGGGGAAGTTCATGGAGTCATCCCAACCACTGCTAGAGTAATCTTTTGCGCCTTCAAGAAACTCCTCGAGCAAGCGGCGGACGGGTAGTCTGATCAACCGTGTAATTGACCGTACGCATGTACTGAAATATTTACCGTCACCAACAAGCCGTTGCCAGTACGACCATTCTACATTACAACATGCTGGTATTTTGAACCCGATGACAGGTCAGCTTGCCTACGATCTGATACTTATCAACCAGGAACTGACCAATTTCAGCTAGATCGTAGTATTCGGCCTTGTAATTGGACAGTCTCTATTCCTCCACCAGTTACCAATTTGGCAGAACCTCTAATACAACCGTTAGGAAGATCTACGGTTCGACTGATAGTGCCAAAGGAGGGTCCGCCCGGCAACCGCGCTTCGGGCATGGGGCACGGAAGGCGTGGAGAGCGCGTTCCTTGACTACATCAAGTTCTCGATAAAAGGCAGCGCTGCGATTCACTGCCAAGTGAGGACTCGTTATGCGACGCTTGAGGTTGGGGTCCATCGAAGGTAAAGGTTCCGGAGCATGTGCAGTGGCTTGGGGTCTTGGATTTACCACGTGGGAACCCAAATGCCAGGGGCAGGTCGACTGCTGGCTATTTCTTGGCATGCTCATTCTTATTGGAAGTCTTGCTTTCGTGCAGCTCTAGGCTCCAACAAAAGCAAGTGCCTCGAATGGGCGCAATTCCAGCTGCCCATCGGAGCCGAGAGAGAAGCCCGATGCCGCCCGAGTCCCATATGTCGATAGAACCACGTTCTCCTCCACAAGAAGACTTCTCTTCTCAGCAGGTACAGTCCAGGTGCAAGGCTCATCTGTGAAGTTGAGCACGACCAAGGCCTGATCCTCACCCTTGTCAGCGGTCCGAGTGTAGCTCAGCACAGACAGGTTCTCAGGGTCATGCATCTCGAAAGCACCGTAAACAAGAAGGTCCCGGTGCTGCTTGCGAATTTTCAACCCGGCACGCCAGTGATGAAGCACGCTGTTCGCGTTGCTCTCCTCTGCCTTGGCGTTCCATTGAGTGTAATCATCGTTTACTCTCATCCATGGCGTGCCAGTCGAGAAGCCTGCATTCTCCGAAGCGGTCCACTGTTGATTGGTGATTAGCAGGCCTTTTTATGATCAGGTCGATATCAACATACCTGGACGGGAGAACGAGCATGGTCTCTAGCCTTCAGATGGATCTCTGTCCACAGTTCTTGAATTCCCTTCTCGTCACCAGCCAGCCTTTCGATAGCTCTGCACAACAAGTCAGTGTACGTGTGTATGCATTGGGTGTCGCGGTGTCATCTCAACATACTCTCGGTACGCATTCTGCGTCTCAATGTCTTTGTACTCTTCGATTCCCCAGGTCTTGGGCAGGCTTCCCATACCGAGCTCTTGCCCCTGGTAGACGAACAGGGTACCTCCGAGCGTGCACAGCAATGTTGCCAGCATCTTTGCCGCCAACTCTCTGTGCTCAAGCCGGTGACGTGTGAAGCGGGATACTGAGCGAGCCTGATCGTGGTTTTCCAGGAACATGGCGTTCCAGCCACCTACCCTTCGGGCAAATGTCTGCCACCTGTTGATGATGGCCTTGAAATCCGGCAAAGTCCAGTCGTGGCGGGAAAACTTGCCACCAGATCCAATGTCCATGTCGACGCTGTGCAGACTCATGTTAAAACGCCGAGACCTCCAAGCCGGGTGGGCACACTTACATGTCAAACTGGAAGATGGTGTGGAGCTCCTTGCGGTCCGATGCGACGATCTTGCCGACCTGATCGTCATCCTTGACGCCAGGCATCTCACCGACGCTGAAGGCATTGTACTTATCCAGAAGCGTCCTCAGCCCTCGAAGATGCTCGTGGAGCCTCGGGCCGTTGCAGAACAGCGCCGTTGCATCCTGGTACGGCTGCTCAGGTCGGGTGACGGGGGCATCTGGCAGACCGGGCTCCTTGGAGATGAAGTTGATGACGTCCATGCGAAAGCCATCGGCGCCTTTCTTCAGCCAAAAGTCCATGATTTCGTGCACTTCGCTGACGACCGAGGGGTTGTCCCAGTTCAGGTCCGGCTGCTGGGGAGCGAACAAATGCAGATAGTACTCGTCCGTCGTCTCATCGTAAGACCAAGCGCTGCCTGTCGAGTCGGCACGTCAGAATTGATATCCAAGCAAAATTTGGGAGGGTGACTGACCTCCAAAGGCGGCTGCCCAGTTGTTGGGGGGTTGCCTGTTGCCAGCAGCATCGTATCGAGGCTTTCGCCAGATGTACCAATCCCTCCAGGGGTTGTCCACCGACGACTTTGACTTTTGAAACCATTCATGCTGAATTAAGTCAGCATCGACATCAGTGTTGACGGGTGTCAGGCAGGGGTTCCGACCTGATCAGATGAGTGGTTGACGACGAGGTCGAGGATGAGCTTCATGTTGCGGTCATGTAAGCCGGCGATGAGCTTCTCAACGTCCTCGACAGTTCCGTAGGGCGGGTGAATGGCGCGGTAGTCTGAAATATCGTACCCCATGTCGATCTGGGGTGAGGCGAAGACTGAGATCACACAAGTCAGATTTCTGAGCATCCAGGTGATGCTGAAGCCTCCTTGAGTTTCGGAACGAGTGGATGCAGGAACATACTGGGACAAAGCCACACAGCGTCAACCCCCAGACTCTGAAGGTAATCCAGCTTTTCGATTACGCCAGGGATATCACCGAGACCATCGCCATTGCTGTCTCGGAAAGACGCCGGGTAGATCTGGTAAATCGTAGCTTCTTTCCACCAAAGCCGTTGAGACTCGCTCGAGAGGCTCTGGTTTGTTTTGACGACTGTCATTTTGCACGGCGAGATGATACAAGGCAGGAGAAAGAAATCGACTGGCGATGAAATCTATACGCTGATACAGCAAGGAACACAGGGGGCAGATGGACTGGATGCTTGGAGCTTATATGAGCCAGAGCCTCGAAAGGCACGGGGGTGACGATAGCGACTGCCGCTCGTATGCTCGCTGAATTGCCCGCCCAAGCTGTCTGGGGCTCATTGGTGCTGCAAAAACGGCACATTACCACTTGAGGTAATGTGCCTTCTTGTGGCGGTGCGGAGAACTGAAGCTGCGATGGGCGCGCGGGGTAGATCAGCAAGCCCGGCTGGTCTCTGGTGGGTGATGAGACGACATGGCAGGGAAGCGCCTTTCGTGGGCGCATAGGTCCTCATAGAAAGACGTCCACTAGTACACGACCAACATTTCGCATGCACCAAATTGAGTTCGGCGGGCGAACAGTTGGGATCCACTCGATTTTGTTACCAAAAAGACGTCTTTCATTGACGATTGACTTCGACATGTACATCGGACCTCCTCAAGCCGGAGATGGACTTGTTCCATGTAGTCATCACGTGACTGGCGCTCATTCAGTGGCCTTCCCCACAGCAAGCACCAGAAGTGGGGGCAAGCACGACAGTAGACAGCTTCCGGCTTCCAGCTTGAAGCAACGAGCTTCCATCGCCAGCATAACCAGTCCTCCAACCTAAGCTCGGTCCGACGTGCGCGCAAGCCATCCAACTCAACCCACGAGTATCTCGCCTCGCCACGACACATACCACACCCACGACCCGTCACTCGTCCGCACCGCCACCATGCCGTCCGAACGCGACTACCAGATCGCCCCGATCGTCCAAGAATCCATCATACACAACACAAAGGTAAAAACATGGCCCTTCCCCGCCTCCGAAGACACGAGCACGTCTCCGCATGCATGCGCAGGTACTGACAGCCCCCCCCCCGCCGCCGCAGTCCCTGTCCAACCTCCAGAACATCACAGCCTCCCTCTTCGGCGTCGCCGCCGGCATCCTCGGCCTCGAGTCCTACGCCGGCTTCCTCTTCTACTTTGCCCTGGCCGCCCTCGTTACGACCCTCACCTACGTCCTGCGCATCGCCCCCACGTCCACCGCCGCCGGCCTGCCGCCGCTGAGCACGGTGCGCTACTTCCGGTCGCCTTTTGACTTTTGGGTCGGCGGCATCTTCAGCGGGCTGCCGGGCTTCATCTTGACGTGGACGCTGTTCTTCGGCATCGTGCGGGCGTGACGGAACGCTGGCGGCGCGCCGAGGGGGAACGGAGGGGAGAAATCGGGCGACAGCAGGAGCATAGTATGGCGTCAGGAGTCAAAATGGTACATAGATCCTGAACATATGACTTTTTCTTTTTCCTTCGTTTGAAGTGACACTGCGCATTGCGAAAGCATGGACCGCTGCTCATTCAGGTGCTGGGACATCAACAGAGGATTCGGCTTGAACTTGAAAGAAAAGAAAATAGTGTATAGTTGCGCAACGCTATCAGACCGAATGATGATGGAAAAAAAAGTGCAGTAAAAATGATACAGAAACGTCCAACAAAAAACCAATGCAGATGCAACGCGCTCAGTCAACAATCTCTACAATGTTCCCGACATAGCCCTCCAGTCCAGACCGATCATTGCGCCCGCCCTCGAGAATGACAACCTGCGAGCCAAGCTCGATCCACTCCCGGCTCGTCAGCAGCTCCAGCACAACCTCCACGCCCGTAGGCCTCATGGCATCCTCGTCCTGGTCCACAGCGAATGTTTCCTCGACCTCGTCAGTCGCGGACGCGGCCTTGTGCAAGCCGTCGCGGGCGCGAAGCGTAGACAGGCCCAGCACACGCGCCGCCGCCCGGACGGTCCCGCAGTAGACGTTGACGAGCGTGCCGATCATGAGCGACGCGGCGTTGAGGTCGTGGAACACGGCCGTCAGACCACTCGCCGCCTGCAGCGACATGCCCGTCTTGAGCATGTGCTGCGGCGGCACGGCGAGGACCATGCCCTTGCGTATGCGGGGCACCTCGCGCGCCGGCGGCTCGAGACTCCCCTCTGATGAGCCGGCCGGCGGCGGCATGTCGAGCAGGATACCGATCGTGCCCACCTGCCCGGCTGACAGGGTCCGCACTCCGAGACGCAGGTTGCGGATGCTGACAATCCTGGCGTTGTGCCATTCGCCTTTGATGGTCGATGCGGCGACGGCGTTACGGATCGCCACCCTAGCGAGCTCGGCAGACGACGGGTGCGATATCGAAAGCCCATAGCCGCCGCCGGGCGACGGACGTTCCTCCGGCGTTCTGCCCTTGAAGTCATCGTCATCTGACGGAAACGGCCCCGCCACGATTGTGTCGCCTACGGAAAGATGGCCGAAGCGCAAGTAGCCCGAGACCACGATTCCCAGGTCTGAATGCGAGCCATTCTCCGTGATGGAAGCAAAATCAGCAGGGCGGCTGAACGTGTCGTCAATATGGAACACCGATGAGGGCTGCTCGGGGTTCAAAGCCTCTCCGATGAAGTCATGAGCAGTGGGGACGCGGGGTAGAGGAAGTTCCTTCAAGAGAGCGTGCATCAAGCCGATACCAGCACCGCTTACAGCGCTGGTCAACACGATTGGCACCAGCTTGAGGAGGTCATCCCCCTGGGCCAAGTCACCGAGGGCACCCTTCACCTTGGCCGAGTCCGACGCAGATAGGACCGAGGGGCTCGGAGGCTCATTCTGCGCAGGCTGCAGGATTTTGGGGATTCGTCCAGCTTCCTTGATGAGCGTCAATACCTTGCCCAGGACTCTCTGAATGCTGGTCTTGGTGGCGAGGTCGAGCTTCGTGATGGCTACGACAAGAGGCGTCTTGAGCTTCAGACACAGCTCAAGGTGCGCTTTGGCAAGGTCGACATTGGCACCGTCAGATCCCAGCACATCTTGCGCCGAGGAGCTGATGCCATCCTTGGCCGAGTTCGTTTCCAGGTCGTCGGCTGCGAGACACAAGACCGTCCACTGAGGTGCCCAGCCGACGAGGCCTCGCAGAATCGTCCGCCGGAAGCGCGGGTGGCCGGCCGAGTCCGACACGAACACGAGGCGCCCATTTTCCGACTCAAAGTGAATATCGAGCCACGACTCGACGTGGGCTTTCGCGTAGTTGACGATCGTGTCGTCCTTGTAACCGAGAAGCTCCTGCGCGACAGAGCTGGTCATGCCGGAGACGACTTCGTGTCGATGCTTGAACAAGCTGAGCCTGCTCCTGCCGCGGCCGTTGTCCATTGTGCTCGTTGACAGAGTGCCCAGCAGCGTCGATTTACCAGAGGTCGTCGGTCCCGTCAATGTGACTCGCAGTTGATCGGTCACGGACCGGCTCGTGCTCGGGCTCTCGCTCTTGTCGATGCCCGACGCAGCAACCGCGTCCTGTTTTGGCAAGCCGTTTCGAGACCCTGCGTCCCCGCTTTGAGATCCAAAGTCCGGCGTGACGAACGCCTCGGCAACACGCAGCGTGCCGTGTCGGAGCGTCTGCGCCGGAACCGAGGCGCCATTGTCAACGAGCTCCGCCGTCTCGGGCCACTCGCACTCCCCGACAATGACTTGGCGAAGCACATCGACTCGGCAGCCCAAGGTCGCCGCCATGACCCGCAGCGTGACGATGCTCTCGTCCATCTCATCCTGCGTCAGGCCGACGAGGGTCCCGTCGTCGGAGACGCCAATCTCATACAGCGCGCCGCGCGACTCCTCGAGCCCGAGCACGGGCCTCTGCACCTTGAGCGCCTGGTGCAGATCGACGGCGTCGTCGGGCAGCCTGGGCACGACGAGGTCCTTCGGCTTGAGAACGTGGTAGGGCGACGACTGCTGCAGGCGCCAGAGCAGCTGGGTCGTCAGCTGCTGCAGGCGGATCTGGCGCGACTCGGTCGACGTGGCCGAGAGACCGCGCGGCTCCATCTTGACGGCGACGGCGGCGCGCTTGGAGTCGGGCACGGTGCTCATCGACTTGTACCGGCGGCGGGGGCGCAGCAGCAGATGGAGCTTGTACTCCGTGGGGCCCTCCTGCGGCTCGGCCTCCAGCTTGGTGACGCCGTAGTCGGACAGCATGACGGGTTCGAGCGGCTGGTCGTGGGAAGACGCCTGTTGGAGGGCCGGCGTCGAGGCCTTTCGGGCGGCCGCATCGTCTGGTCCCAGCCACGGCGACGACACCCTCTGGGGGTCTGCGTCGAAGGTGAAGATGGAGCCCGAGGCCATGGTTGCGACCCTTGGTTGGCGGTGTGTGTGTAGAGGCGTGCAGGCGTGTAGGCGTGTAGGTGTATGGTGTCACTCAGATATGCAGGATCGAGAATGCGTCGAGAAGAGCAGTTCGTATTGCGAAAGTGTTCAAGAGGGTCAAAGGGGCATGTGCAACTTTGTGTAATCGAGGTATCATCTTGGCAATGTGGGTGAATCTCCAAAGGGGGTGGAGGCTATGCCTCTTCGTCGGCATGTGTTTGCGGGTAGACAACGTATTCTTAGAAGAGCGACGACATGACTCCTTGAGCGTATCGTGGGAAGGTCTGTGGCTGGCTGCTTGGTGCGATGGATGATGGTGGAAGAAGATGCCAGACACCAGAGGATGGCAAGAAGCAGACGTTGATGAAATGAGAGAGGCGAATTGAAGTCAGGCACGACACGTCTGCATGAGTCTCCCCGGTGTGACGCAGGTCGCCGCTGTTGTCACTGCTTGCTGTGACCTCTCTGGCCCATCCAGCGCCTTGGTGGGGCACAAGGTACAAGTCCTGCTGCAATGGGTAAGCCTGGACGGAAGTACTTGCTAGCACCACCATGCGACGCCACATCACCCGCCGACGCTGTACAGCTTGCAGCTTGGAGCTTGCATCTTGCCATTCATAGTTGCACCTACCTATATGGTTACAGGCAACAGGAAAAAGTTTCGATACCGTCCGAGGTACATGTAGTGCCCAAAGAATCGTCAACAGCCCACGGTGGCAGTCAACATACATGCGGTTGACAAGAGATATGTCTTGCCCAAGTCTATCCAATCCTTTCGCTACCTGTAATGCAACATACAACGTGGCCCTGTTTACAGATCAGATCGCGCCATGATGCGACCAAGCGCCCTCTCCCTCTGCCTCTGCCTCGCCTTTCGGCTGCCCAGGAGCCCGGCCAGCGCATCAAGATGCAGCAAGTGACCTCTGCGAATATACACAAAGACCGTGTACGTCGCGCTCGCCGATGCAACGGCGGCGACGGAGAGCAGAGACGGCCACCTGAACTGCTCCGGGCGGAAGAAGAGGATGGTGGCGATGTAGGAGAGGAGCTCAAAGGCATTTTGCCACGCCGCCTCGACCGTGGAAAACACGCCGCGACTCGCGGGCTCGACATCCTGGTCACACAGTGTCAGTGGCGGGCGATGCGTAACGCCTCGGTCGGACTACAGCCAGAGCACGTACCTCTTGCACGATAATCTGCGTGCACATGTCGAAGCCTCGCAGGCCCAGTCGGCTCAAGATCGTTCCGCCGACAAGGCCCGCTGTCGAGAGAAGAGGTCGCTCAGCCTCGAAGACCCAAAAGACGGCAAAGCCTGCGACGAGCATGGTAACTTGGGCGATGCTCATCCACAAGCCGGCCCTGACCGGCCCGATGCGTCCCATCAACCAAGGGGCCGCCCATGTGGCCAAGACCTCGAACGCCACACCCAGCGTTCTCGCGAGACTGATAATCGTGGCGGTGAATCCGGTATACAGCAGATACGTGATCATCTGGCCGGCAAAGTTGAGGACGGTCAGGTAGAGAAAGGCGCCCGCGATCGACGGCAGGAATGCGCGATGGCGAAAGTAGAGGCGAAAGTCGGCGAAAGACTGCTTCGCCATGCGTGGCAGGTAGCCTAGCAAAGACCCAAGGCGGGTTTGCGAGTCTCCCGAAGACCCTGCGTCTGTCGATTCTCCTCCTGAGGCCTGCTTCGGCTCCCGGAGTGCTGGAACATCATTGTACACCCGTGCTATGGCATAGTACTCGGCCACCACGGACGCAATGTTCATGGCAAAGTTGACGACGAGAGCCAGCTGCACCGAGACACCTTCGATCATGGCAATGAACAAGGGCCCGAGCAGCTTGCAGAACAGATCGATGCGACGCATCTGTGAGTTCATCTGCATCATGCCATCCTGATCGCCGTCTGCCACGACGACGACCCAATCCTTCTCCACTGCCACCATGTTCATGATGGAGCAGATCTTTTCGACGCATGCAAAGAGAGAGAGGACCACGAGCACACCCGCTTCGCCAGCGCGACCCAGGGGCAGCCCGAGCACCAGGACGTAGAAGGCGGCGCAGGAGATGGCCACGGCGATGCGCTGGAAGACTGTGCCATCAAAGTCAGCCACCAGAATTCGGTCGAGGCAAAGGAGCGGAGAACGTACCAATGGAGATGCGTACCACGCGCAAGCGATCCCCCGTATCTATGAACTGGCCGATGGCCGGGGCAAAGACGATGGCGGAAAGCCCACGGATGAAGGCATACACTGACATGGGCATCAACGTGTCTGGAAAGATCGTGGCCAGGTAGATGACGGCGCCGAACTCAAAGACGCGCGAGTTCCATGTCGACAGGAAATGCGACAGATACAACCGGCGGGCCGTCTTCTCGTGCCCTTGGTGCGCTGGTGTGCGGTGGTCACCCGCTCGCTCGTAGCCGAGCAAAGGAGCCTGCTCATCGAGGCGCTCCTCGTCGGGATTCCCTAGTGCTGCCATTGGATGGAAAGAGAAACCAGAAAAGGCAAGATCCTCATGGTCAACCAAATTGGGATTGCTGCGACATGGTTGGGAGGAAAAGGTCAAGTTTTGAAGCACTCGACGCTATCGGGATGAGGGCCTTGTTAGCCTGAATCGAACACGACCCTCGCTGGTCCGAGTCGAACGATTCGGCCCATGGCGATCCGCCGACCATCGAAACCCTGGGGTGCCTGGCTGGCCTGGTCCTGACGGCATGGATCCATCACCATGACCAGCATCGGGACTGGTGCATGGAGATGTGTAGCGTGGAGCGAATGCGACATAGAGCTCCGTTGACTGTATCTTCACTCTCTGCTGGACTACATCTTGCTTCAAGCGTCAAGGTAAGGAAGCTGATGCTTGAGAGAGAAAATGATTGGCGATCGTATCGGAACGAGCTTGCCCACTCAGCACCAGGCGTCTACCTGAGATGCCTACAAGTACCTACCTAGGTACCTACTTAGGTAAGGTAGGTAAGGTAGCCTAGGTAGGTACCTCAGGAAGAAGGCATTGGATGAGGGGCGCCTAACAGCCGTGACGATCGCCACGAGCGAACCAGATGCAGGGTCTCAGCACACCTGGCTGCTATCTGAGTCAATGCCTCGTAGGTACCGCGTGTAGTGGGGGCTGAGCACAACACCTAGCACCACGGGCAGGCAAGTCAGAGGTAAGTCAGGCTACCTTACCTACCTAGCTAAGGTACACAGCACAGAGTCGAGTGGAGCCACACACGCCCCCCGCCTCAGCCCCCCATCACGCATCAGCGTTTAGGGGCTCGGAGAGGGTCCCCTGGTGGGCTCTAAGGGGGGGTTCCCTGACACCTCGGGGGGGGCCTCCTTGTCGGGCTCAGACCTTTGCATCCCAAACCTCTTTCCTCGAAACAAACCCAAGACAAACAGTTGGCATTGGGCTCACCTTTGCCACCTTGTCAACCGATCATTCAAAATCAGTCCTCCCCCTCGATTGAGACTGACTTCTACACCTTGCCTCCCGATCCCTATTGAAGCCCGAAAACTCTCCCTCATTCACGCAGAATAGTCGACAGCAGCCCCTCACCTACGTACCGAAAGACACAGCACACACCTGCGACCCCACCGATCCCGAACCGCCACCATGAAGAAGTTTGGCTTTGGCAGCAAGAAGGGGGGCGACGACGGCGGTGACGACGATGCTTCTCGCAGCGCCCTTTTCGGCCGCAAGAAGTCTTCTCAGCCGCCCGCCGGTGACAACCCCTACGCCCAAGCCCCACCAGCCAACGACCCCTACGCCCAGAGTTCCAAGTCCGCCGCCGCCTCGGCCCCCTACCAGCAACAACGCCCGGGGGGCTTCCAGTCGAACCCCTACGGCGGCGGCGGCGGCAGCTCTGGCGGCCTCCCCGGCGGTCCCGGGCCCCGTCGAAACCCCTCCGGCAGCGGCGCCTCGACCTACTCGCAACCGCCGCCTCCCTACGGCGGCGACGCCAACGAGCGATCCAGCAGCGGGTACGGCGCCGACAGGTACGGTGCGTCGGGCGGCTACGGCGATAACCGCTACGACAACAGCGGCGCCAACAGGTACGGAGCATCCTCGGCCGCATCAGCACGCGGGCCCGGCGGCTACGGCGGTCTCGGCCGCACCAACTCGAACGACACGGACGCCCAGCGCGACCAGCTCTTCTCGGGCGCCCAGCAGCGCAACCAGCAGCGCCAGCAGGGCGGCAACAACAACGGCTACGGCCAGGACAACGCCGGCGGCTCCTCCTCCGCCGCAGCTGGCGCCGAGGGCGACCCGTACGGCGGCTACGGCGCCGAGCGCGAGCTCACCGAGGAGGAGATCGAGGCGCAGGAGGTCCGCGACGTCAAGAAGCAGATCCAGGACACGCGGCAGGAGTCGATCAACTCGCTGCAGCGGTCCATTGCGCTGGCGCACCAGGCCGCCGACACGGGCATCAACACGATGAACATCCTCGCGCGGGACGAGGAGCGCCTCAACAACACGGAGAAGCGCCTCGACGAGGCGGCCAACTACAACAAGATTGGCGCCGAGCGGGCCAAGAAGCTCAAGAACCTCAACCGCTCCATGTTTGCCGTCCACGTCAACAACCCCTTTACCAACAGCAAGCGCACGGCCGAGTACGAGCAGAACGTCATTGACAACCATCGGTGAGTTCCCCCCCTCCCCTCACCCCATGGAACAGGAAATCCAAGGAGGGAAACGAGCCAGCGGCTGACTGACGGTGTGTGTGTGTGTGTGATGTATAGTGCCGAGCGAGAGCTGCGCAACGAGACGAGGAAGAACGGCTGGGACTCGTCACAGCAGATGGAGCAGACGATGCGCGGTCTCAACCTCGGCGACAAGTCGCAGCAGCGTGGTTCGGGCAAGTCCTCGGCGGCGGAGAAGAGCAAGTACGTCTTCCTCGACGAGGACGACGACGAGAACAACCAGGCGCTCGAGGACGAGGCGACGATTGACCGCCAGATGGACGAGCTCAGCGGCGCCGTCTCCGTCCTCAACAGGGTCGCCAAGGCACAGACCCAGACGGTCCAGAGGCAGATTGTCACGGCCGACAGGATCAATGAGAAGGTCAGTCGCTTTGCTGCGGGCCGTTGCGGTGCACAAACTCTTGCTAACACGGTCTGCAGACGGACATGGTGGACGATGGTGTCAGACTCAACAGGGCCCGTCTCGACCGCATCAAATAAGCTGTTTTGGGACATGGGAGGATCGATAGCATGCTACTACCTAGGTTGGAGTAATGGAGTTTATTTCAGGTTTACTTTCTCGAGTAGCGATGGTGAAACCGTCCATGCACGTGTTCATTTTCAGTGGCCGCGTTCCCTCAATTTGCCGTCGCTTTATCGTTCAGTCGCTTCGAAGTCTGCCAGCGGAGAGCAGAAAATCGTAGACTGAATCAACCGGAATCCTGGGTCTGTCCATGTTGCTCTTCTTAAACCAAACCCCTATAAGTCTGACTGTGTTGAGGACCATGTGTGGATCCGAGGGGGTGTGGACCTTTACCCACACCCTGTGCGACCCCAACCTCTGACCCCATCAAATTTTCCGAGATGCTCATCACCGTCTGTGAGACCAACTCAACTAGGTACGAAAGAATCGCCATGGCGGACCCAAAGGGCGGCGAGCCCAAGAGCAAGAAGCGCAAGCTCAACAACCAGAATGTACTCAAGGTCGGCAACAAAGTCATCTCCCTCGAGGGGTATCTCAATCCGCCAGCAAAGAAGCCCGCCCCGCAGCCAGAACCAACACCAGCAGTGAGCGTCGCAGAACAGCCCAAGAAAACGGCAGCAGAACGACAGGGCGCTTCCGCCCAGGAAGACCGCAAATCGCGACAGCCCCAGACGAAAGAGGATGGCGGCGCCTCCAAACATCGCAAGGACAAGAAGCCCTTTGCCAAAAATGGCCCGACGTCCCGCTGGAAGGAGGACCCCGTCTTGCTCGAGTCCCGCAAGAAACTTCCCATCTGGGCCCATCGCGACGAGATCAAGTCCAAGGTCCGCCAGAACGACGTCGTCATGCTCGTTGGTGAGACGGGCTCCGGAAAGTCGACGCAGGTGCCGCAGTTCCTGACCGCCGAGTCCTGGTGCCGCCGCAAGACGGTCAAGGTCGGCCATGACGGTCGCGAGGCTGCCGTCGGCGGTGTCGTCGCCATCACGCAGCCGCGGCGTGTCGCTGCCACGACGCTGGCTCATCGCGTTGCCAGGGAGGCTGGCACGCCGCTGCGGCCGGGGGCGGAGGGCATGGTCGGTTACTCGGTGCGGTTCGATCACAACGTACCCAAGGGGACCAAGATCAAGTTCGTGACGGAGGGCATGTTGCTGCAGGAGCTGCTGCATGATCCTCACCTTCGCCAGTACAGCGCCATTGTTGTCGATGAAATCCACGAGAGGAGCGTGGATGTCGATCTGCTGTCAGGATTCCTGAAACAGATCCTCTCAGGAGACGTGTCGGGCCGTGGCGGCATCCCGTTGAAGGTTGTCATCATGAGTGCTACGGCTGACGTTGAGAGGATACAACGCTTTTTCTCAGAGGCAGCACCTGTCCTCGAGGGCGAGGAGGCGCCGGTGCCTTCGGCCAGCAAGGCGATTTCTGTTGGCGAGATGCGCATCCCTGGACGACAGTTTCCGGTACAGACCATTCATCTGCCTAGGGCGATCCCAGACATTCAGGATTCTCTCCTCAAGTCTATCTTCAGGATACACACGGAAGAACCTCTTCCTGGCGACATTCTGGCCTTCCTCACAGGTCAGGAAGAGATTGAGGCGGCACAGGGCCTCATCGAGGAGTATGCCGCTACTCTCGCTTCGAATTTACCCAAGATTCGCGTGTTCCCTCTCTTCGGCCAATTGTCAATCGAAGCGCAGCACGAAGCATTCAAGCCCATCAAGGGCGGGTTTACGCGAAAGGTTGTCCTTGCGACCAACATTGCCGAGACGTCCGTCACCGTTCCCGGTGTCAGGTATGTCGTGGACTGCGGCAAAGCCAAGGTCAAACAGTACCGCAGCCGCCTCGGCATGGAGTCTCTACTCGCGAAGCCAATATCAAAGTCATCCGCCATCCAACGAACCGGTCGTGCCGGCCGTGAAGGCCCCGGAAAATGCTACCGTCTATATCCTGAGGATGCCTTCAACTCGCTCGAGGATACGGACCTCCCTGAAATCCTTCGCATTGATGTTCTCGGCGCCGTTCTCACGATGAAGGCCCGTGGCATCGACGACGTTTTGTCCTTTCCCCTCATGGATGCTCCCGCCATTGACTCAATCGAAAAGGCCCTCATCCACCTCCACGGCCTCGGCGCCCTCGCAGACGACGGATCCATCACCTCCGCTGGCCGCAAGATGGCGGCGTTCCCCGTCTCGGCCCCTCTTGGCACCGTCCTCCTGGCGGCCGCCAAGCCGCAATTCGACTGTCTCCTCGACGTCATTGACGTCATCGCCGCCCTCACCTCGGGCGACGACATTTTCATGCAGCTCCAGTCGGAGAACGAGCGCGACGAGGCCGAAGAGCTGCGCAAAGAGCTCTACCGCCGCGAGGGCGACATACTGACGTACCTGACGACGATGCAGCTCTACGCGGCCGAGAACGCCGACCGCACCCTCTGGTGCAAGAAGCGCCGCGTCAACCTGCGCAACATGAAGACGGCCATGAACATCCGCCGGCAGCTGCGAGCCCTCTGCCTCAAGGAGAACCTCTTGGCCGAGGCGCTGCCGCCGGACCCGCAGCCCTTTGTGCCGCTGGCGCCCGAGCGGGCCGAGTCGCTCCTCAAGTGCTTCCTGCGCGGCTTCGTGTCCAAGACGGCCGTGCTGGCGCCGGATGCGAGCTACGTCACGTCGCAGGGCAAGCACGTTGTCGCCATCCACCCGGCGAGCGTTCTGCACGGGCAGAAGAGGGAGGCCATCATGTTCCTGGAGCATGTGTACACGCAGAAGAATTACGCGAAGAAGGTCAGCGTCATACAGGCGAACTGGATCATCGAGGCGCTGCAGGGCGAGGCTTGACATGCTGGTGTCATTTTCTGCGCGTGCGAGACGGCTGAGCGTTATGGGAAAAGTCTATGGAACAGCGCCGTGATGTACAAAAAGATTTGGTATACAGAGTGAGACTTGGTACATGCGTTGTCGCTTGGTGATGGTGATTTCACGGTGAGGATGCGGGACAAATGTCACGCCTCTGACTCGCCGCCACCTTCTTGGTGTCGCTTCTTGATGGCCATCATGAGCTCATACAGCTGGCCGACCTGGTCGTCTGTTGCGGGTTAGCATCACATAAGGGGGGATGGCTTGTGGTTTGCGACCCGAACGCACCACTCAGCTTCTCGAATTTGCCCGGCGCAATCTTCTCTCCGACCCAGGATTCGCCCTCAATCTGTTGCGCGTACAGCTGCCACTCTGAGAGGAACCCAATCTGCTCATGGTCAGGAATGCTCGTGCAACCTCGGCTGTGATGAGAGGGCCTTTCGGCGGGCGATACGCACCAGGTGGGCGGGATTTTCAACCTCTCGGTGCGCCCTGAACTCAGACTTGATGTACTCGTCTCCGAGGAGGCGCATCTCGGCGGGCAGAAACTTGCGATGGGCGCGGAGCAGGCGACGATACAGAGGGATAGGCGGCAGGAGTGGCATGGGGGCGTGACGGCCGAGGGTGCGGCTGGGGTTGGTAGCCTCGGCCAGGCGACGGACTGAGGGGCGCATCTTTCTTGATGTAGAAGCGCGCTCGGAGTTGATGTGATGTGGGCACTCTGGCGATGAAAGTTGTCGAGTTATCGATGAGATGGTGACGACTGGCGGAGGTGATGCTTCATGATGTCGAGTTCTTCGAGTGTGGATACGGCCAGCTGGTGCCAGCTGGTATACACAATTCACTTTGCCTCAAAGTGCTACGACAAGTATTGTTCTGAATAGCAGCCTCCATAAGGACTACGTGACCATCTTACCTTGACCAGAATGCCGGGGGGGGCCGATGGCTTTGGCCTTTCGGGAAGGCAAGGAAGATAAAAGTATCCCATTGACGAGAGAGCATCTGAGAAGTCAACCACGCATGGTGGCCTGTCCAGGTGCACGTGAAACTTCTATTGAAGAGTCAAATATCGAGGTAGAATGAAAGGTAGAACTCATTTACACAATTCTTTTACTTTCGTGAAATCCACGCAGGCGTCAGTATAAACACGTTCATATGGACACTCGCAAGTGGTGACACATACCATGTATATGTACCTACGTAGTCGTGGGAGTGAGCCCCTCGGTACGTACCGAAGCGAGTACCTGCATGGGCGGCCATACCGAATCAGGCAACAAGGCATCAGTCAGCTTGCTGCAGCTTCCCATCCGTGACGCGAGCCAAAGCTGCCTGAGCTTGGATCCATCGATACGGCCAACGTCGACGACTACCACCACATCAACCCAATCCATTCATCACGACCTCCTCCCCCATCGTCAAGCCTCACCTGTCACCGACGCCACCCTCGGAATCGCTCCCCTCTACAGAGATTCCTATTCAGGATAACACCGAAACATACACGCACATACACACGTCCTCACCATGGACGCCCTGGTCTCCAGATACAGCCGTCCGGCGTTCCAGGAGGAGAACACCTTCCGGGATGAGGAGGAGCAAGATCTCGAGCTCATGGGCGCCGCTCCCCCGCTGTCCCTGAAGTTCGCCATGCCCCCAGTAGCACACGTATGCTCTTTCTCGCTGCCACCTCGATCCTGCTCTTAGACTGACAACCAAAATCTAGCCCTCCTCCTGGCTCCGCGCCGCAACAGACGACCGCTCGAACCCCGACTGTCCCATCAAGATCGCCCACGGAACCACAACACTGGCCTTCCGCTTCCAGGGCGGCATCATCGTCGCCACTGACTCCCGCGCCACGGCCGGCAACTGGATCGCCTCGCAGACGGTGAAGAAGGTCATTGAGATCAACTCTGTCCTCCTCGGCACTATGGCCGGTGGCGCCGCCGACTGCCAGTACTGGCTCGCCTGGCTCGGCATGCAGTGCCGCCTCCACGAGCTCCGCCACAAGCGCCGCATCTCCGTCGCCGCCGCCTCCAAGATCCTCGCCAACCTCGTCTACAGCTACAAGGGCATGGGCCTCAGCATGGGCACCATGTGCGCCGGTGTCACCAAGGAAGAGGGCCCCGCGCTCTACTACGTCGACTCGGACGGCACGCGTCTCGCCGGCAACCTCTTCTGCGTCGGCTCCGGTCAGACATTCGCCTACGGTGTCCTCGACGCTGAGTACAAGTACGAACTCTCCGATGAGGAGGCCCTCGAGCTCGGCCGCCGCAGCATCCTCGCCGCCACCCACAGGGACGCCTACTCTGGTGGCTTCATCAACCTGTACCACGTCAAGGAGGCCGGCTGGGTCAAGCACGGCTTCAGCGACACGAACCCCATCTTCTGGAAGACAAAGCTCGAGAAGGGCGAGTTCTCCAACGTGACGGCGGATCTGGAGTAAATGGGACTGGGCGTGCTTATGGACATGGTTATGAGAGGGGCGGGAGTTGGGCAAAGGCGCCCACTGTAACTTGTAAACTAGGATCAATCAAGTTGTGTTGCGCTCCATCGGTCGACCTGGATGAATACCGTGCGTTGCTCATGCCTTACTGGTACATTGCTATACGACAAGGTGTACATCGCGTCGCGTGTCTGCCTGAACAATTCCTTCCTTCCTTGATGGCGGCCAGGCAGCCACTGAACACTGCGGTACTTAGGCCTGACTTGTGGTTCTCCTGCCAACAACCACTATACCGTGACGCATGGTGTAGTGGTTACAATCCTAAGAAATACCCGTTAGGACAGGCCCTCAGGGAAGTCCGAATCAGGGCGCGCAGGCAAGGAAGGCGCGTGGAGGGGCTGGGGGTTCAACGCCGGTACACGGTAAAGGAGCAATCCTTTTTGCTTTTCACAAGTGCTGCCAACCTGGGCCAGTCTTTGTTTTGCTCGGTACGCGATTCATCTCTATTCCAGCCAAGGTCCAACCTCCTATAATGGGTTTAACGTTTGGTGAGCAATACATGTGGTACACTATAATACAAGTCTTGATACATCATGAACTCCGCTTTACCCACCCTTTCGCACCCAAGATGCCCCCATCATCGCCCGTCGGATCAAGAGGCCACTTTTTGATCGAGTGCACCGACAGCTCGCTCTCATAACCAGCCTCAAACATCTCCATACCGGTCCAAGCAATCATAGCTGCATTGTCCGTACACAGCTCAACAGGCGGCGCCGTGATCTCGATGCCGCCGTAGCCCCGCACGTCAAGGAACGCCCGGAGCACATGCATCAGATAGCGATTGCTTGCCACACCGCCAGCGACAACCAGCGTCCGCACGTCTTCGAGCCCCATCTCCTCGTTGCCAAGCGCCAACACGACGCGGCTGGCCAGGTGCTCAAACAGAATCCGCATCGTGTCGCGGCCCAGGTCCCGCCGCTCAGCCTCGCTCATGGCGGGCCGCGCCTCGGCGATCCGTTGCACCTGGGACCCAAAGCCGGAAAAGTCGTAGCGCATACGCCGCGTCGTCGCGAACGGGGGCTTCAGGTGCCAGCCGTGCGGGGAGCGGTATGTCGCGATCTCGTCGGCGCGGATGCGGGGCGGGGTGTAGGCGTAGTTCACGGCGCGGCCGTCGGCGGCGGGCGGGAAGACGAAGCGTTCAAAGAGGCGGCCGTACATGACGTCGTCTGTTGAGGCTATCAGGGACGCGGGGAGGACTTGGCGGGCGGCCTTGTCGATTGCGTCGCCGATGGCGACCGAGTCGGCCTCGGCGAGGATACGGTGGTCGTTGAGCGCGCGGGAGTGGACGAGGATCGTGTGCCCGCCTGACACAAGGAGGGAGAGAAAGGGAAAGGCGGGCTCGGGCCCGGTGCTCTTTGGCTCGGCAGGTCGAGCTGCGCCGTTTCCTGCCACGGTTTCGCCCCGCGCGAGGGCAGTGACGAGACGGGGCGTCAGGGCATGGGCTTGCATGTGGTTGACGGCCACGAGGGGGACCTGCCAGGCGGCGGCGATTCCCTTTGCTGTGTGGAGGCCCGCTGACAGGTTGGCGAGCATGCCTGGTCCTCGTGTCACGGAGACAAAGTCGGGCTTTTGCTTCTGCCGCCCGCGGACCGTGATTGTATTCGGCGACGTGCTCTTTGCGTCGGGGAGGAACGGCAAGCTCTCGTTGACGAGTTCCGCGAGGGTGGCGCCATGGCCGGCGAGCGCTATGACAGGAACGACACCGCCAAAGGCGCGGTTGTCAGAGGTGCGCTTCTGGTTGTAGTGGAGGATCGCAGCTCCGTCGGGGTCCTTGGACAGAAGGGCTACGCAGGTGTCGTCGCAGGAGGTTTCAATGGCGAGGGTGAGGAGATGACGGTGGTGGGAGGTGCGTGCCAGCCGTTGTGTGCGGAAGAGCGCTTGGCTGCGCGGTTGACAGGCATTGAGCCATGGTCTTGGAGCGCGGCAGAGGGCTCGCATCAAGATGGATTTCAAAGTGAAGGTTCCGATGCCAGCAGGGCCGCGGGAACCCATACCTCGTGCCAAACTCTTGGTTCGACCTCTTATCTTATCGCTCCATGACTGACCGAGGCTTCACCGAACCCCTGAATTAAGAACTATCACCACATCCCCATCAGGTTTACTACAGTTTCACTCAACCCTTTGATCTGGCTATCCGTCTTGGAGAACAAAGCTACAATCACCAAGCCGCAGGAAAATATGGGGCTCAGATCCCCAGGTGGTGACTGTTTCTCCCTCTTTCCACGTGCACTCGACGAAGCAATTGAGGTTTTTAGAAACTCCGACCGGCCCAAACAACTCGCGGCTCCTGTGAACCACAGTTTAAGCAGATAATTCTTCCTTTTCTCTTTGCTATCTGCACGAGTTTTCCGATTCCTATCATTCCGAAACGTCTCACTCAATGCTCCAATCACCCTCAAAGTCTGGATGCACGCTTACTTGTCCCAGCTGGTGCTCGCCCCAATTCGTACCATCCACCCTCTGGCCTCCAATGGTCCAGTTCCGAATGACGATTCCAAGGGTCAGATTTCCCTGGCCAGGCGTGTAGTTATTCATGTTCTCCCCTGCATCCATTCCCACCACACTGTGCCCAAGTCTGACTGTCTCGTCGTCATGCATCTTTTCGAAGTGGACATTCTCAATGAGCAAGTCAAAGTTTTGAAGCGGCGCCATCGTCATGAGAGCCGCGCAAACACCCTCGCACACAAGATCACTGATATGCAGCGACATCTTGCGCGACGGATCAACCAGCTTTGGATCGGCGTAGAACGGTGACGCGCCCAGGATAGCCGACGGCACGTATGCGTTCGGTTGGATCCAGCGGTTGTGGATCAGGCGGACATGCTTGACGGACACGCCGCTGACATCGCGTGGTTTCCACCCCATCTGGATGATGGCGTTGTTGCGCGCCTTCCAGATGGTCAGGCCCTCGAGCTGTGCCCCTGAATGGTACAGCTTGATAGCGTCGTCGTTGACGTGCCAGAAGACGTCGCGCACCGTGCCCTTGTACATTTGCGTCCCATCCGTCTGGAAATAGAAGGCCCCGACCTGCTTGTAGTCCTGGATGTGGCTCTGCACCTTGTTGTCCTCCTCGTGCGGTGTGTGGTTCATGGGGTGGAGATCCATCGTGTTGAAGGGCGGCGCATTCAGGGTTGGTCCGATGCAATGCCACGTCTGGTTGTCCATGACTGACTGGTGCCAGAACATGCGTAGGCTGTAGCGGTCGTCCTTGACGGCAGTGTAGTCCTTGATCGTGTTGGCCATGTAGGCATAGTTTTCGCCAGACACTACGGCGTGGCCGACGGTGTAGAAGTCAGGGTGCTGGGTTGTGTATTCGAAGGCGCCTTTGATGTAGGTTCCCGGCTCGAAGTAGATGTAGTGTGTACCTGGGGAGAGTCTGATATGGTCCTTTCCGAGAAGGCCGTCTTTCTCGACCCAATAGACCCCGGCCTCAAAGTACAGAGTGGGCTTCGATCCCAATGCTTCCCGGGTCAGACTTCCCGGTTTCATCACTTGGGTTCTTGTTGACGTTTTCGAGGGAATAAGATCATCCGGAATCATGGGACTCGCGAAGATGAGGAGAGCGTTCTTGGGTTCTTCGCTGACTATGACGCCGCCCTCCGCCACGTAGTCTGTGCCATTTGAGCGAAAAGTGTAAAGATCATCCTGAAACTCGACAGAAAATCTGGCGCCTGACTTTTGGTACGGGACCCGAATGATGACTGTGTCTGGCTGGGGGCTCCTAACTTGGAAAGCAAGGTCGACCGGCCGTATGACGATGTTGGAAGCCGGACCAAGTGCTGATCCATCGGAAGAGATGATGCGAACGTCGACATCTCTGCGATACTGAAATTGAGTCCAGGCCATGCTGATCCCGGCGTCTATCTCAACAGTGACGCCATCGCCGTCCGTGAGGTTATACTCCTTGCCAGTCTGTGCGGGATCGAACATCTTCCCGTTGCCATTGCGAGGGATGGACTCGTACACGAAGGAGCGTTGAAAACGGCCGGTGCTTGCCGCCGAAACGGACACTTCATATCTGCGTGACCTTCGAACTTCATCAGGCGCCGCAGGTCTCTGGATGTCGATGGTGGATTTGTGGTGCCACCAAGTCTTTACACCAGGAACACAGGCTCCAGATGAAGGGCCAGACAGCGTCGCCAGAAGGAGGAGAAGTGCGTTGAATGAAGAGAGATACATGATGGTGCTGATGATCGTGGAAGCTGCTTGCTCTATCGTGAGAAATCAAACAAATCCGTGGCCATCAGCGCAGCTATTTGTGGTTGCATACTGGAGGGCGATTCTCTCAAACAGGTAGAATTGCAACCACTTGGAAGCTAGTCTCTCGACGGGTAATTACCTGATTGGGAAAGGCACCGCATAATACCCCAAGAATGCAACTTGTGGGGATAGCTTGGGGAACCTGGGGATCATCCGACGTTACCGAGAAGATGAAGGATCGTCGGCAGAGCGGCTTTCTGGGATTTTGTGGGATGATCCAGACACAGCGCTGAAATATTCGGTCGATCCAAATCAGCCACAGCTTGGCAACGACATTGGAGGGGAAGGATTCCAAGCCTCGAGTAAGGATTGATGAATCGCATTGCATTGGATAGTAAGCCCCTTATGGGACGTTCTGCCAGACCCCGTCTGGAACCTCATCATTACTGTCATACCCTTCTTGGTCTACTTCGTCACACGACTCAATAGCTCTGCCCGTCTCTCTTTGCATAAGCAACGCTGTGGCTCTCTCAGCCAATGGACCCAAGTAGCAAGACTCCTGATTTCGAAAATTGGCCAGCAGACACATGAAGCTGTGCAGAAGATTAGGGATAGAATCCATACCCCCAATCAGGTGTTCTGGTGGTTGCCTGGGCAATAGGTCACAGAGGAAACCTGCAATATCCGATATTTTTTGTTCCTGTTTGTGCATTGAGTGGTTAGTTCGTGTTCATAGTTCATCACCGTGCGATATGCGACTTACCATGCCGATGCCGTGAGATCCCAAGATCTCCAGTCTGGCAGCGCTAAAGCAATTAAGCAAGTCGCGCGCCGCAGCACGTACCAGAGTGGCCGCCCCCTGGCCATGCGACTCGTTGGAACGGATCTGAAGCTGACAAACGAGAGTTCGGAGCCAACATTGTGTGACTGCGACGTCGACCCTCTGGGTCTCGTCAATGATAGACGCCAGAGACATGGTGGAGAATTGATCCGGGTCCAATAATCTAGCCACTGAGTCGTTGGTTCCTTTGAGATAACCTTCGCTCCAGGAGCATACAAAATCAGTGTCTATGGTGTTGAACAGCCTTGCCAACTTGACAAAGCCGGACAGCGTTGGCTCATCTGCGCCATCATATATCCTGGGCAAGGCGATGGATGCTCTCAATATGGGTGTTGTTCGGTGTTGAAGGCAGTACGCCCTAGCGCACCAGTCAGCAGCATGTCCGAAGTAGCAGGTTTGGGGGCATTATCTTGCCTTTCGGTAATGAAAAGTAACCAGTAAAGGCGCCTCCTTCGTTCATTGACCTCCAAGCTCGGGTCGTTGTAAGACTCCTCTCGGTTCAGGCCCAACGCCAGAGCGAAACTTATCGCCTCTCTCAAGTGGTACCACGCCTGTTTACTCTTGTTGCAATTTCCATAATAGGAGAATATGAAAAATGACTCCATAATCGTCCATTCATCCGCATCTTCGATGTAAGACCTGTCATGACGACCAGCGAAACATTGGCTGATGTACTTGTCCGCGAGCCGCAAAGACAATACCTGTCCAGAAGTCTGAGCGACGTCGAGCCCGTCCACGCTCGGGTCTGTGAGATTCAACTGAACAATGACAGCAGCAGACATGGCGGCAAAGAACCTGCCAAGGCTCGGTGACACGAGCCCCTGTGGCAGCGCTAGTTTGCTGAGCAAGCAGCCTGGGTCCATGATGGGAAAGACCGGATACAGTCGTAGAAGAAACACCCTTGTCCAATGGGCATATTCTGAGAGGGGATATGCGGCCGGCATGTTCAGCTCCTGGGGTTGTGCCTCGAGACCAGGTTGGAGGCTTTCCAAGGAGATGGTCGGAATAGGGAATGGGCCACCCCTGGTATCTGGCATGCTTTCAGGGGATGCTGCCAAGGTGCAGGCTTCGAGGCTGTTTTCAGAATGAGTGCCAGAACGATCCCGGTGTCTTAGGCTTGGCAACTTGTTTGGAGGGGAGGTGATTGCCACCTTCGAGCCGAATTCCGGAGGGTTGTGTAATCCACTTCTGGGTGATGATGAACATGCTGAAGCTGGCGACGGCTGATCCCGTAGTTGAGCCTGCTGGGGCTTCTCTTTGCTTTGCTGTCGATCCTTTCGAGGCGGTCGACCTTTGCGCTTTGGCATAGATGCATACGTGCAGGCTGATTGTGTGTCCTGGCAGGGACCGCACGGCTCTCGTCTGTCGCATTTCATCTTCCGGTATCTGCAGTGGTCGCATGCCCGGCCAGGGGCGGGATGGAGTTGTCTCTTGCCGTCATCTTGAGAACCGATCTTGAAGACGATCATGTCACTTAAGCAAAGCGGGTTGTCTGAACGTCGAGGAGCCGGGCATTGGGTCAATTGGTGGATGTGCGGAGTGTTGTATCAGGCCATGCGTTTAACCTCCCTTTTAAGTAAACGCCCGCAGCCAAGTCATGGCCCAGCTCGCTTCCACGGCGATTGCTAGCGTCTTCGTTTCCCCGCAGGACTGAGCTTGCCGATCTGGCCGGCCGGCCGACTTCGCCGATGCGCCGACCTAACGTATAGGGTCTGGGTCAAATGTAAAGGCATATAGCCATAACAAGTCAATCTTTTCTCTTTCTCATAACTAAGTAGTCTGTAATCAACATAGTGGTCGAGGCTGGCACTGTACTGCAGAAGGTTCAACTGAAGCACGCCGCCTCTACGGAGAAAGGTTGAGATGCTCTGCTCAGATGTCTTGCGTCGTCTGCCGCTACTAGAAGGATCATTTGCAGGGCAATATATTTTCTTAGATAAAAGATACGCCCATCAACCCCCCTAGCAATGTAATTTAGATGCTCCTCGGCTTGAGTTCAGGAGGCTGTAGGAAGCTTTGACCCTGGTGGGTGGTTTCACGCAGAATTGATGCTTGACTTGTTCACTTCTTTCCACCAGCGATCCCATCATCTCGACATTTTATTCGTGTTTCCAGCCTGAAACGGGGTCCAAGAAACCTGATGTCTTTCATAAGTCCTTGAACGAAAGACACGAACTTTTGCGCGATGCAAACTAGGGTCAGCCACAACTCCACCTCCGGCCCATTACTCAAAATGGAAATAACCCGCACCTACGGCCGCGGCGAAGCCCAAGGCATATCCCCGCACGAGTCTAGGGGGGCGGTAAGTTTCCCCATGGGATCCAAAGGCCAACGTATACTGGTGCTCTTGGATCGTCCTAAGTGCTCAACCTGATAAGTATAAAAGCACCTGTCCGCTAGAAGCACAAGTTGAAGGATGGATTGTTACCGACCAAACACTTGGAGACCAGCGACAAACCCCCAGCATCCAATTTAGCTATCAATTAGCAAACAAGCTTCTCAATGGATTCAGAGAAACAGGACCGCCCTAATGCTGAGCATGGAGCTCCTGTCCGACAAGTTGAAGATGCGGCGACTCTCGCTACGCGCCTTGAGCGGCAGATGACTGTTCGTCAGTCTCTGCGTTTCTGGCCAAAGGCTATCATGTTCTCTTTGATAGTTTCTCTTGCTATCATCATGGAGGTGTGTATATCTGAATCCCGAGAATCGTTCTCACACTCACTCGTTGCCAGGGCTATGATACCAATTTGATGTCCAACTTCTATCCCTTTCCCATGTTCCAGAAACGCTTTGGCGATCAGGTAGACAAGGATGGGAATCCTCTGATCAGCGCTGAGTGGCAAACCATCATCAACAACTCTGGCCAGGTGAGCCAATTCAGTTCCAGCATTCTACTATCATCGGCTAATATGAGATCATTCGCAGGCTGGATCTATCCTTGGCCTCTTCATCAATGGTATAATCACCGAATGGATCGGATACCGCTGGACGATGCAGGTTGCCATGGTTGCAATGATCGGTGCAATCTTCATTCCGTTTTTCTCGACTGGCCTTCCCATGTTCGTCGCGGGAGCGGTGTGCCAGTCGATTCCGTGGGGCATCTTTCAGACCCTTGCCGTCACTTATGCGGCTGACATCTGCCCTCTGGCCCTCCGCCACTACATGACCTCTTGGGTAAGATGACTGGGCGATAGACCGGTGATTTACAGAAACTAAATAGAGGCAGATAAATATGTGTTGGGTCATCGGTCAGCTGATTTCCATTGGCATCTTGAATGGCCTCCTTTCGCGCTCGGACGAGTGGGCCTACAGGATCCCGTTCGCGCTGCAATGGGTAAGTTTTGAAGACGAACACCCTGCTTTTCACGTTTGAAAAAAGAAATGCTCACAGAAACAGATCTGGCCTGTTCCCATCATGATTGGGACCTACTTTGCTCCCGAGAGCCCCTGGTGGCTCGTCAGACATGGCCGATACGAGGAGGCGAAGAACGCTGTCTCCAGCATGATCACGCCGCAGGCTGATGTTGAGTTCGACCTCGACGCCCACATCGAAATGATGCGTGTTACAACCCAGTTCGAGAGAGAGAATTCTGCCGGTGCTCATTACTGGGATTGCTTCCGGGGTTCCAACCTGTAAGTGATCAACCTAGAAACTGGTCTGGTTGTCGGCTGCTGATCATGTCTCCAACAGTCGGCGCACTGAGATTGCGTGCGTGGCTTGGCTCACGCAGGCATTCGCCGGCACGCCCTTTATGGGTTTCGGCGTTCAGTTCATGATCCAAGCTGGCTTATCTGCTCGTCACGGCTTTGCCATGAATCTCGGACAGACAGGCCTGGGTCTCCTAGGATGTATTCTTGCCATGTGGGTTCTGACGCGATTCGGGCGTCGGACAATCTACCTCGTAGGCCTGGGCTTCGCCTGCGTTGATCTAACCATCATCGGTATCCTTGGTATCCCAACCGAATCGCCATCAACGTCTTGGGCTGTCGGCGCCCTCATGGTCACCATGGTTATCTTCTACCAAATCACCATCGGTCCGGCCTGTTACACGATCGTGGCAGAGATTCCGTCAACTCAGTTACGTATTAAGACTGTGGCTTTCGCGCGAGCCTGCTACAATGCTGGAGGCTTCATCACCAACGTGATCATGCCACGCATGCTTGGTAAGAACGCCTGGAACTGGGGTGCCAAGAGTGGCTTCTTCTGGGCAGGCCTTGCGGGTCTCTTCTTCACCTGGACATGGTTCCGTCTGCCCGAAGCCAAGGGTCTGACGTACGCGGAACTGGACTTGCTGTTCGAGCATAAGACGAGGACTCGTGGTTTCTCTCAGCAAGCAGCGGACATGCTTAAGCCAGAGCTCGAGGAAGTCGGCAACAGAAAGGCTCTCAGTTAAAGAGCATTCTTTTGGCACTTGGCATGTATTAACCAATGCCAATAAAACACAAGGTACCTTGTGCATAGTTCAACTCAAATGTGGAAAGATCTATCTCTTTGCCACGTATTTGCAGGAGAACGACAAAATAATGTATTTCGCCGCTCAGCATGACACGCTTCGTTTGTTCTGTAAATTCATCTTAGTTGAGCATGAGAAGCAGTTGACGTGGAAACAGGTGAGACAAGCAGAGTTATGGCAACCAATACTAGGCACAATTAAAACCCTTTGAGGCAATTACTCAATGATCAGATGGTCTTTACTATCGAGGATTCTGTCCACAAACTTGTCCGCCGAAAAGAGTTTCATCACCGACCGGCCCTTCAGACCAGCGGTTCCAGAGCTCCGCGTTGACTGACTTGAACCTCAGGGACATCTCGAACGAGGCTCACCCACTTTGGTAACACCGACGCAGCCACCCAGTTCCCATGAATCTGTGCCTTGACGTGCAGTGGAAGCTGAACAATGGCCACCGGTTTCTCGAACTCTTTCGTGTCCAGAACAACCAGGTCATTGCGGTTCGCACCACGACGCTCAACCATGGCAATGACCCAGCCGTCGCCCTCAGACGCATCCGGGCTCCGCGGAACAAAGACGGGCTCCTGCACGAGTGAGTCATCACCGGCATAAAACCAGCGGGTTTTGCCTGTCTTGTGGCTGTGCATGGCCAGGCCATTGAGGCCGTGGAAGATGTTTCTGCCGCCGTCTGACCTGTTGGGCACAAAGACGTTGAGGAAGATGTATTCGTAGTCGGACGTCATGAAACGTTCGTCCATTCGCGGGAACTCAGAAGGCACGTCTAGAACGACGAAGGGATCCGGTATAGTAGAGCCGCTGGGCTGACTGAGGTCAATCTCCCAGCGCACAAAGTCGGCCTTGGCGTCGGGTGCTGGCATTCTCCCATCACCGGGAGGGAAAAAGGGGAACGCATTGTCGTGGACACGCGACGAGTCTACGTAGAGTTTACCGTCCTTGGACTCGAAAGCTCCACCAGTATGGATGGGCATGCAGTTCCTCCAAGAGTAAACCCTATGTTCACCCTGTTTCCAGCCGGCGGGCAACGGGGTTGTCTTGCGTCGGGGGACGACGACGAAAGTGGCTGGCAGATTATAGTCCCAGGCCCAATGCTGCTTGCCCGCCTTCATTCGATCGAGGTCGGCTTCGAAGGGCCAAAGGAAGAGGATGATCCATTGAGGTGTGATGGCGCAGTCGTGGATGAAGGCGCACCACGGTGCCTCAATCCATTGTTCGTCGTGCTTCTTACCCTCCTTGTCGAGGGCATAGATGACAACATCCTTTGTTGCCAGCCCTTTGGCCTCATAGCCAAAAACAACAAGTTCGTTAGTGAATGGATCAACCTTGGGGTGAGCGGTGAAGGTTTTGGCCTTGACTTGGTCTCCGAAGGGATCGTAGGACAATGTCTCGAGTGTGTCAGGATCGAGAGCGTAAGGCAGAGCGACTTCTTTGAGAGCGAGCAATTTTTCAGCCCAGAAGACAAGATTCGTGTTTGCGGTCGAGTCAACAGCGGCCCGAACGCAGGGGTGGTGCGTGAAAGGATTTCGGTAGAGACCAAATAACGCTTTGTTGGCCCTTCGTTCAAGCTTGTAGCGTTCTGTCTCGATGTACCGAATCTTCATGTCGACCCGTCCATTGCGGATTCGAAACGCTGAGACGTTGCCATCGCCATCAATGGGTACATTGTCTGGGTGAGGAGGGACGAAGGGATCGCACATGACACGGTAGAATGTGCCATCGATGGCTGCAGGGATCTCTCCAAGAACGACGACGTCGCCAACTTCCCCCTCGATGCGGCATGGCAAGCTGGAGCCAGCCAAGTCAAATGCCTGAGGCCACTTGCTGGTGAGCTGGGGTTCTTCGTCGTGCCGGGTCATGGTGTTTGCATTAATCGTCCAAGGGTAGAGAGGCAGATTGACAGAGGAGCACAGCGAGTGAGATGAAGCAGAAGCATGACTATATCCAATGCCTTACAAGGATGCCTTAATATACAATTTACGACCTCACCAAATTACAAGCCCTCGTCTGGAAGCCGGACAAAACCCACGAGCAGAGTCTTGACCACGGCGTAGTCTCGTGAGCTTTCCGCCTGGCTGAGCCTCTCAGGCCTGTGGTGGATGTCAAACGCAACCCCAATGACTGGCTGAAGCCTCCTTCAACGATGGTGTTGTGGGGCGGACAATTCCCGCCTCCGCTCGCCCAAGCTCCAGTTCATGTCAAGATCCGGATCTGCTCTAACATTGCCGTGCATATGCCGAGTGGGCGTGATGCGGGGAAACACACAGTTCCGCTACCCTGCCTTGGACTACTAACGAAATGAACCAACCCCAACCTTGCCAAGGGCTTGTTTTGCCCGCGCAAGAACCTCGCTCCAAGACCTATAAGGTACTTGGTATATCCACTCACATCCCGCATATTCCGATGATGTCCACAAGGACACACGCATGTATCTCAAACGGCAAAGCACGGCCATGGGTGAGTGAAGCGGATGTCTTTTTGCCCCAGCTTTCAAGCTGATACTGATTCGAATCCAAGGTGTAGGACAGCGTGATAGCTATTGTATTTGCCCCTTTTGCGAAGCGAAGTTCTCGAGATCGTGAGACACCATTTGAACACCTCTACCAAGGGTCCGCTGCTGCAGCTCTTGGTAAATTGACAATGTGGTTTCTAATTTAGCAAACTGCTAGGGACACAGCGCGGCGTCATTCAACAACCTGCCCACAGAAGAGAGGACGGCCCATTCCTCCGCCACGCAAAAGAGGCCGCAAATTCAAAGCCTGTGACGCTTGTGCCTCGGCCAAAGAGGGCTGCGATGGTGGGCGGGAGCGGCCTTGTTCTCTGTGCTTGAGTCGTCGGCAGGCCTGCACTTTCGGGCGAGCGAAACCTGGGGAGCTTGACTGCCCAAAGCCATCGCAACCGTATCTTCCAACTAGGCCTATCTTACCTGATCATGTTGGAACCGCTCGAAGTCTTTCTTGGGCCCCCCAAAAACGAGCCTCGTTGCCCTTGCCCGCCACCGGAAACGGACCTGACGAAGTCTGTGGCGATGATCATGGCAGCCATTGCACGAGAATACCGATATCATTCCTGCTCCAGTACACGGACCCCCATAACAGCAGGATTCACCAGTACTTTCCATCTCCTCTAACAAGTAATGACGATAGATTTCCGCCGTCCGCGAGCCAAGCCAAGAGTCCAGCAGGTAGCGAAAGCCCCTTAGACTTGTACGAAGACCCCAGCGGCTGGAATTGGACCATTGCAGGAGATACAGAGTCTCTTGAACAGTTCCTCGGCCTCGACATCTTGCCCATTGAAAGCTGGGACTGCGGGGATGGAGTGCGATACACTCCCTCACAGGGCCCCAAAGCGGAAGATCCTCTTGTTGAACAGCGCATGTGCGAGGTCCTATCGGAGCTTGATTCCCATAATGAGATGGACTCTTTGGGCCCATACACCAGATTGATCTTCTGCAAGACACGTGTGCAGGCTTTGACCCAGTCATACTTCGCCTCCTGGCATCCCCATTGTCCGTTACTGCGCGAGCCGTCCTTTGACGCAGTCTCCGCCTTTCCTCCGTTGCTTGCTGCCGTCATGATGATCGGCGCAACGTATTACTCGAAAGAAACTGCAGAGGCGGCAAATTACTGTCTCGAGGCTGTGGAGCATTACATATTTGAGCACGAAGCTTTTCGACGCCTTCTCGATCCTGCAGAAGCAAAAGCTGTGTCGACAGATATCGCACCACTTCAAGCAGCTTTCATTATGGCAATACTGCTGCATTGGAATAAGGACAGGGCGTCCAGAAGACGAGTTCGCCTTCACCGGTACGCCGATCTTGTCGCCGCGGCGCGCAATCTCGGGCTTCCGAGCCACAGGCACAGTGACGGCGCGCAAGCGGCGATGCCGACCTCTGAGCGTGAATGGGACATATTTTTCCGGGCGGAAGAAGCCGTCAGGTGAGACTGAATCAGAGGCATGATTTCTTCCTCTAGGAGCGAAAAAGACTGAAAACGCCTCGCAGACTGGTGAACTGGATCTTCCTTGTCGACTCATCACACGCTATATTCCACCACGCACCCCCGAAATTGACGCTGTCGGAGATGACAGGGAACTTCCCATGCTCTGACGAGCTATTCGCAGCCCCACACAGCTTCCTGCAGCAACAGAAGAGCTGGCATTGGGCTTTTCCGAAGTTGCACTCTATAGCGGAGGGCATGTCCCTGCTGATGCGTGATTCTTGGACGGACGAGTTGCTGGCGGAATTCCAGCATCTCGGCTATCAGGGCTTCTTCATTCTGATATCAGGTGCGTTCATTTTCCTACCTTTCAACTCCAAGGACCGGCCTGACAAACAAGCTGGACAGGCCTCCACGAGATCATCTTCAGCGCCGAGGCGACATGCTCTCTCGCCGCGGTAAAGCCGGTGGTGAACCGAGCACTCACCCGCTGGAAGCTGCTCTGGGACCTCCATACGCAAGATGTGCCGCAAGACGGAAGCGGCCGTTTCGGATTTTACGAGAACGCTGGCGAGTATTGGTGGCTTGCAAAGCTCTTCCTCGACAAGGGAACGCCCTCGACAGCAGAAGAGGGCGGGAAAGTCTTCGATCAGGACTCCATGGAAGGCGTCAATGACTTTGTTAGGAGGTTCGTCGAGATGCGCATGGAGTAACCGTTGCGCCTGATGCAGGGGGCCCGGCCGACATGTATATCATCTTTGTATTTTTCCAGTTAACGAGACGTTGGCTATGTATGTCTCAGTGGCGCTGAAGTAGAAACCATCAAACCGTCAAAGAAAACAGCACATGTAACTTTCCAGGTGATGTGGGTACATGGCGTTTCCTTCGAAAGCCAACCCCATGATAGGACAGACGAACAGGCTCAGTTGGGGTCCTGGTCGTAGCATCGGCGACTGCAAAAGTATAATGAAACCCCTCTTGACCTTAACGATTCGGCCTATCCATGCCGGGCCACCCGGGCCCGGCGCAGGGCCGAAGAAAATGCCCGCAAAAAGCGGCACTGGATCACGGCACCACATGCCGGATGAGCCTCCCAACAGTGGAAGACCATCGGTTCGCGATCTTTTGGAAAGGAGCGCCGTATTCAGCGAAGCAACCAAGAGGCCTGGGCTCCGATCACCACGGTCCCGTGATCTTGGAGAGGGGCTGCCCGGCTGGGACGATGAAGCCACGTCAAGCGCTCCAATACCTTGGCCTGCTAATGGACAGTCCCGTCTCACGATGCAACCCCCAGACGGCGCATTCACGGCTGAGGCGTGCCGGATCGCCCAGCGCCCCCGGCACGAGACGTCATTGCCGTGACGTTGCGGTCCGCACTAATTGGTGCGGGAATGTCTTGCAGAGACGAGGTGTAAAGTCGATACACGCCTGTTTTTGTGTTTTCTTGATCGTATAGACATGGGCGATGTCACGTCGGCAGGTAATTAGGCATTGTCGGCGGTCCAGGCGGTGTGCTCTATTGCCCCCCAACGCTCGTGATGAACAGACCCCGGGTACAAGAAGGTGTCCAGCCTGCTTGCGGACCAGAAGGAGAGTTGACATCCTGATCACAGACTCACAAAGAGTCCGGTAAAACCAAGATCACGGGATCTTTCGTCCTTGCCTTTCTCACCCTCCAAGTCTCCTCATCATGCCGTTCTCGCGACGAAACGCTCGCCCTTCTTGGGCCCTCGCCCTGTGTCTCGCGACCTCAGGCGCGCTCGTGGCCGCCGGACCCTGCGACAGCTACGCCAAGGGCAACACGCCCTGCGTCGCGGCGCACAGCACGACGCGCGCCCTGTACGACACGTTCACCGGGTCCCTCTACCAGGTGAAGCGCGGCTCGGACGGCGCGACCACCGACATTGCACCCGTGTCAGCCGGTGGCGTCGCCGATGCCGGCCGTCAGGACAGATTCTGCGCCGGCACGACGTGCGTCATCACGGTCATCTACGACCAGTCCAAGAACAACAACCACCTGACGCAGGCGCCGGGGGGCGACTTCGCGGGCCCAGCAGCCAACCGCGCCGACAACCTTGCGAGCGCCATCGGGGCGCCGGTGCAGCTCTTTGGCAACAAAAAGGCGTACGGCGTCTTCATCGCCCCGGGCACGGGGTACCGCAACAACGCGGCGCAGCGCACGGCGCGTGGCGATGCGGCACAGGGCATGTACGCCGTGGTCGACGGTACGCACTTCAACGGCGGCTGCTGCTTTGATTACGGCAACGCCGAGACGAGCACGAGCAACACGGGCAACGGGCACATGGAGGCCATCTACTTTGGCGACAGCACGGCGTGGGGCTCCGGCTCCGGGAGCGGGCCGTGGGTCATGGCCGACCTCGAGAACGGCCTGTTCTCGGGCCACAACGCCAAGAAGAACGACGACAACCCGTCGCTGTCGCATCGCTTCGTCAGCGCCGTCGTCAAGGGCGGGCCCAACAAGTGGGCCATCCGCGCCGGAGACGCCACGGCCGGCGACCTGTCGACCTTTTACAGCGGCGTGCGGCCCGCCCGCGGCTACGATCCGATGAAGAAGGAGGGCGCCATCGTGCTTGGCATCGGCGGCGATAACAGTGTCAGCGCCCAGGGCACATTTTACGAGGGCGTCATGACTTCGGGCTACCCGTCCGACGCCACGGAGAAGGCCGTTCAGGACAACATCGTCGCGGCAGGCTACCAAGTCGCGCCGCTGTCCTCGGGGCCCCGGTTGTCCGTCGGCGCCCGCGTCTCGCTGCGCGCCACTTCGTCCTGCTGCATGACGCGTTACCTGGCGCACGCATCGACGGGTACCGGCGTCGATACGCAGGTCGTCTCGTCGTCGAGCGCCGAGACGCTGCGGAAGCAGGCGACGTGGACGGTGCACACCGGCCTCGGCAACAGCGGCTGCTTCTCCTTCGAGTCGGTCAGCAACCCCGGCAGCTTCATCCGCCACTACAACTTTGTGCTCCGGGTTGACGCCAACGACAATAGCAAGTCGTTCCGCGAGGATGCCACCTTTTGCACCGAGGCGGGCCTCAACGGCCAGGGCAGCTCGATCCGCGCCTGGGGCCACCCCACGCGGTACATTCGTCACTTTACCAACGTCGGATATGTGGCCAGTAACGGCGGCGTTCACACCTATGATACTGCTCGTGAGTTCAACAACGACGTGAGCTGGGTGGTTGATGCCGGACTCTCGTAGTCGATGGCCATTCCCTTCGACCAAGGCGCCTGGAGAAATCAAGCAGAGCTACTTACCGGAAATAGACATGTTGTCAATGTTGGCGTTGGGCACAACAACCGGGTTTGATTGATTAAATTAAATATATATGATTGTGATACCCTGCTGGACTTTTTGCTCCCGTTGTTGCCTCCAGTTCATGCCATGCTGTCGTGGTCCTCGTCATCACGTAGCACCTCAGACGCTTCTCTTGTCCAAGAAGTTGACCCATTCACACTTGCAACCTCCATCTCCTCCGTCAAAGCCCCCGAACGAGGTATCGTTTCTCGCTCTGGGGTTCACCAGCGTCCCTCCAAACCCAATGTTGTTCGCAATGAGCTTGGGGTCGCTCGTGTCGATCCTCTGCCGGCTGTCGACCTTCCAGTGCCACACCACCTTCTCAAGAGGCTGGCCTCCGTGCGTATCCATCGTCACGGTGATGGGGTACGGCATCGTCCCCGGCCGGTCCGTCGCCTCGCCCGACCCAGTGTCAAATCGACCCCGCTCAGAAAGCAGCTGCGTCGTGTTCTCACGGCGCGTCCAGATCTGAACGAGGAACCGAGTCTGCGTCCAGGTGACAATGAAGCTTGCCTCTGAAAGGCGGGCGCCGCCGTCTTCGTCAAGTGGCACATTGCTCTCGCCATCACCACCTCGGGAAGGGTCCGTTCCGTTGAGGACTGTGACGGAGCGCAGGTAGATGCTGCGCTTGAAATATGTGTAGAAGCCGTAGTGCTCTGTGTCAAGGCCGCGGTCGTACAGGCGGATAGGTTGCTGAAAGGCTTTTGGCATGAAAGTGGCTGGCGCCGCGCTACCATCTTCGTTGAGCGCGGGCTCAGGAAGGTCGACGGGAAAGTCGGACGGCAGGTTAAAGTCCTGTCGCTTGCTGAGCACATTCGATCCAACCGTGCCGTTTACTGTGTCAAGGATGCTGAAGTAAAATGGCGTCGGTTCGCCGGCCTTGTCGTCGGAGATGATGCCATCTGTCGTGTTACCCAGGAAGTACATTTCTTCGAATGATGGGGGTGCCGGACTAGGATTGAAGGCTTGGCCATCTTGCCGCCTCATGAGGGCTGCTCGAGCTCTGGCGACGAGGCCACCACCTCCTCTTGGCTCGCGCGTGCGGCCTCGATCTGGTCGCGGGGGGCTGCCATTGGGAATGTTCCAGGGCTCATTCGTGTCATTGTTGTACTGGATCTGCATGAAGAAGCTGGGCTGGTTGGGTCGGAAAGGGGCAACAGAATCGTGCTCTTCTTTGGGAAGTGCACAGCTCCATATCGTCGTAGGCTGTGTACAGCCTGTTATGGCAGCCGAGTTGTCCGGTCCAATAACTGTGAGCGGGCCCGTGGGCATGGGCGGGAAGTCGGTCAGGTTGACGAAGATGCTTGGCACCTCAACGGCAGTCTGACCACGCGGGATCAAGGTGACACAAAGAACGACAACGAGAACAATGAGAAGGATGGAGCCACAGCAGACCCCGAGGCAGACACGTCTCCTTTTCCGGCCTTCACGACCAGAGCGACCGAAACAACCGTTTGACGGCATGCACCCACGGCCGCGCCAGAAGCCACCAATCTTGCGGGCGACGACCTCTTCCTTCTCGTGTCGCCGCCTCTCGCGCTCGACCTCTTGGCCGGGCCCAGTGGCGGCCGTCAAGTGTTCCTGAGGCAGGTAGGTACCGGGCTGTCGGGTTGGCATAGCCGACGTACCTGCGGCTGGGGTGAGGGGAATGTCGGTCAAGGAGATACCGCCACGAGAGCTCATTGTTCCATTGATAGCGGGGGACGCAGGGTTCGGAGAAGAAGGATAGAGGCTCTGGAGGGGATGGCCTGTGGGGAACACGGCTCGGTATCTGACGGCGTCTTGCTTGTTGGGCGGTGAATAGGGCGGGGGCTGATCTGAGGGAGTTCGAAGGCCTCGCGGCGTGTTCATCGTCTTCTCACTCTGTTCCGCAAGCCGTGGGGTGCCTGACCTCGATGAAGAAGCAGGCGATGGGGTACGCGCATTCAAAAAGGGGGATGGGGTTCTTCGGGGGGTAGGAATCCTGACTATAGGCGTGTGGTCGTGTCGGGGCGAAGGCTTTGGAGATGCTGGTAGTCCAGGTATAAAGGTTGAAGAGGGCGGATCGTCCAACTTGATAGACTTTGCAAACTGAATCTTCTCGGCGTTCGGCTTGGAGAATGAATCAGGTGATAGGCTGCCTTTCGGGAACCGTGACTCCTGAGCTTCTCGCAGAGGGCTCGTCTTCTCGGTGAATGGGGTGACGATGGTGTCCCACCACCCCCGCGTCTGTGTTTCAGCGCTGGAAGGGCTCTTGGAAACCCCCTTTGCCTTGTTGGTCTTACTAGCAGTAACAGCCATACTGTTTCCGTCCTCTTCAAATAGTGTGCAGGGACTGCCACCGTCGTCTTCGTCGTCGTCGTCGTCTTTTTGTTGAAGCACAACGGCCACGGCAACCTCTGGTCTCTTGAACGTCTCAGGCACAGCAGGCACAGGCGGGGCGTCATAGGCAATAGGCGCCCCGTAACTGGTAGCCTGTGAATAGATGCTTGATGTGTGTCGAGGTGACTGGAACGGTGAAGTGGTGTCGGGGGTATCGGGGCTCCACACGGATCGATGCTGTGAAGGAGTCATGGGGCTGGGGGTTTTCCCAGGCTGCTGCGGGTTTGCTGGGTGGCGCAAGTGAGGATGGGGGGTTGGTGCCTCCAAGGGTGTGGCAAGCATGTGTGCATGGGCATCCGTGTTGCCGTTGCCACGCTGGGCCAGGTCCGAAGGAAGAGCAATGCCGATGACAATGGGGCGATCGTTTGGGGAGAGGTCCTGTTCGAGGGGGCTCCGAGTGGTGGCACTTTGAGGGGATTTGGTCATGTTCTTCCTGGAGAACCAATTCCAGTTGCCTACAGAGGCGGACGACGGCTCACCTTCGAGGGCCTTGAGGGCGGCAGCATCGACAAACTTGCCTCTCGCGCGATGTGGGCTGTTGGCCAGATGGTGTTGACGACGGAGCTCGGTCATGTTGGTCACGACCTTGATGCCGGCTTTGGCATTTTGGTCCCTCTGCCTGTGGCGGGATTTCAGTCTCCTCAGCCTGTGGACGGATTGTCGTGACAGCGATGCGCGGGAGATGGTAGGCTTTGAGGGCCTGAGAGGACTGGGCATGGCGGCCTTATCGGCGATGAGGGCCTGCTCGTCGTCCATGATAGGCGTCACCACTTCTTCATCCTCCCAGTCTTCCCAGTTGTCCCTTGTGCCGTCGCTCCGGCTGTCCTCGTCATAAGCGGGTGGTCTCGGCGAGGAGCTGCTGGTGGCCATGGTATTGTGTAGTGAAGGGGTTGTTGTGTGATGAAGGAGCGTCAGCGGCAGCACGCAGCGATCCAGCTCGAGGCGGATGCACGAATTTGAAGGAAAGAATGAATAGATTGCTTTGCTTGAGATGTCGGGAGGCGAAGGGTGGAAAGCCTGATTAAAAATGCTGAGACCAAGCGTATCGGCAGTGGCTGTGGATTAAAAGAGTGACAGTATCGAAGCAGAATAGACAAAGGAGATTGGATCACCAAGGAGGAAGGCCCAAGGAAGCAACGCGTCTGGGGGAAAGGATGACGAAGAAGAAGAACAAGATCAAGAAGAGAGCGTTGTTCACGAACAATGGTCACAATAGAAGGTCTGGAGGCAGCAACTGAATAGGTTTTGCATCAAGACAGGGCAATGGACAACTGATGAATGGCTGGCCGGGCGGATTCATCCACTCCGACGCACGACAGCCAACGAGCGACGAAGGCGCGGCAGGAGCAGCTTGGCTCTCATTTGATGGCTGGCGGCGACATTGCCTCGATGCGCCGGATGTCATCACGACTCTCGAAGATGTATGGCTGGCTGGTGTTGAGGGCGTATGAGCAAGCGCCGACAACAAGGCAAGGAGCCTCGTTGATTGGCTCTCGTGGCGCCGGGGTCCTAGGAGTAACGGTAGTTTGACAACACGAACTACGTGTTGCGGGTCTTCCGGTGAGAAAGTCTTGGCGATGAGACAGATCTACGTTTGCGATGGATCGTTCGTCGGAGGGGACTCGGAGAGGACGCGTGGGCTTGGTGAGGGGATGAAGGCGAGGAGGAATTGACTGACGATTGTTGAGGAGTGCGTCGCTGCCTCGAGGAACGCGAAGTCACGTGGTGACGACGCAGGCACGTACGTAGCCAGGTGCCGAACGAGGTGTGGGGGGTACAGGTGTAGGCGTGGCAGGTGCAGTGAAACACCAAACTCCTCTGTAGTACCTAGGTAGGTACCGATCTGTTGTGAATGGGCATCTCGAGGTCGGTACCTAAGCAGGTCCCTGAGATCAACAGAGCCTCTCGTGACCTCCCTTACGCAGATACCCTCTGTAACACCTCAACCATCAATCCAATTATCGACTATACACACCATCCCGGCCGGCAGCTCCAAATCAAAGCCGACAAACAATGTCATCCTTGCGAGACTCAATGGGCGCTCGGTCTGCCGTGCCGCTCTTGTGTCCCACCTGTCAGGGTCTTGCCATGGCATCCCTGTCCTGCCATTGTCAGTGAGACTGTTTCGTTCTCTGTTCAACAGCCATTTGAGTAACTTAGGATTGAGTCATCCGTAGCAATCCCTTCCTTTTCTCTTGCCTGGACACAAGAGCGTATTGGTATATTCATTCGCAGGCTGACGAACATGTTTGCTGGTCTCGACCTGGACGTTGGCTTCACTATAGAGGCTTCGCTATAGGGTGTACCTGACATGTACCTAGCAAGCACTGCGGCAAACGGGAGGACCCCTAAACTTGAATGACTGGCAGGCTCCCCAATCGCAGCCGCCGCTTCGGGCGATGGTGGCTCGCCCCTATTATCACTGGAGCCTTTTGGTTGGCCGTCTCGGCTCCTTTGCCAGGCAAGCTAGGTACCTGGGTAGGTACCTACCTGCCCTGCCGTACCTAGACCCTCAGAAATCGCCCGAGCACTAAACCTACCGCATGGAGAAGACAACACCTAGCCCAAAAGCAAAATCGCCAAAGACTATTACTCGAGATGACATGAGCGAAAATACGACCGGCCTTGTCTTCCCGTCTTCGTTGGCCCTCCATCCGTCATGTCTCGGTCCCATTGGCAAACTTTGACACTCGATTGAGAGAAATCCCCCGACAGCCACAACACGAGCCCGCTCCAGCCAAGAGATCTACCACGCTCATCGTCTCCATAACCATCACCATCGACTGTATCACCTCCCACGTCCTTCCCCGGCATCGCCTGAAATCTGTAACTGCTAGTCTCGCACGGCCGTCCGTCACGGAAACCCATCGGCCACCACTACCACCTCCGCCGACACTCCTCACCAGTGGCACTGGTGCTGTCGCCGCCTCGAGTCCATCGATCGATCCTAGCACGTACAATCGCTTTGCGACTGGCGCACCACAGAAGATCGTCGCCCTTGCTTCAACGCACTGTCCAAACGCCTTACCGTGGCCAAGGCCCGAAACAAGAAAGGAAAAAAAAAACACTACGACGAAATCCACCCCCCACCACCTCTTATTTCCATCCCATCTCCCCTTCCCGTCTCGTTGTCATCTGGAGGATCCCCGTCCTCTGGTAACAACACCCGCATTCCACCAACCTGGCGCCTCCATCTCCCCCAGCCGCCTCGTCCTCGTCCTCCGTGTCGTCGGCCAACGATCGACGACCCCCCGCTTCTCATCAACGCCGTCGCTCCTCCCTCAGCTTGGGCATTGACGTCGCATCCGCTGAACGCCGCGGCCCCCAGCACCTGGGGGTGCAGGGCCACTCTTCAAACCTGCCGCCCATACCAGGTACGTGGCCAACACTGTCGCTGATGTCGTTCTTCCCAGCCGCATCTCTCTTGGTTTTCTCTTCTGCCTCCGCACAACCTTCTCGTGTCTGACAAGATTTCGCTTGCTGACGTTGTGTCCCTTTTCTTTCCTGCAGGCACCCCCGCCGATCCCATGTCTCTCTCGCGCAGCCCGTCACCCCATCCCGGCGGCGGCTGGGCGAGTCCCGGCCTCAACTACAACAGCGGTCGCAACAGCCCGACCGGCTCCTTTCCCTTTCCCTCGCCCGGCGGCATCTCCGCGCCATGGGAGGCCACCAAGATGAGGACCCTCGGCGTCACTGGCTACCCGTCCTTCTCGACTCACAACCAGGGCTTCTTCCAGCGTCACATGCGCCGCATCTCGAGCAGCCTGCCGCGCTTCAGCCAAGCAAATCAGCCGCAGTACGGAGGTTTCAAGGACAAGCAAAACCGTGGGCCATGGTCCGTACAGAACCTGCCTCTCGTCGGGAGGATGCAGAGGCGAGCCGCCCGCATGAAGAGGAAGACAAAGATCCGGCTGGCCATACTCTTCTTCATACTCTTCGCCGTCTGGGTCTTTTATCACAGTCGTAAGTCAAGGCCAGCCCCTGCCCAGGCGCCGGCATCGGCAGCTAATGATTCGGGCAGCTCTTGTCTACCACTGGCGACGGACGTCATGGCTCGGCGGAGGCCAAAAGTACGTCATCATTCTCGCGGCGAATGTCGGAGGCGGCGTCATGGAATGGAAGGGCGCCCGGGAATGGGCGATAGAGAGAGACAGCGTCAAGAACAAGAAGGCGTACGCCGCCCGATGGGGCTACGAACTGGAAATCGTCGACATGAGCACCAAGAAGCGATATGCGCACGAGTGGCGCGAGGGCTGGGAGAAGGTTGACTACGTCCGCAATGCCTTGAGGAAATACCCCAAGGCAGAATGGTGAGTGGCTTGAATCCACCGTTCGATTGGCGTACCTTGGCTAACGTGGCATCACAGGGTCTGGTGGCTGGACCTCAACACCTTCATCATGGAGCCCTCGTACTCGCTGCAGAGCCATGTTTTTAACGACCTTGCGAAGAATACGTATCGCGACATTAACGAATTCAATCCCCTCAATATTTCGCACCCCTTCGCCGAGGAATATCTCGACCCCACGTCTCGCAGCCCCGTGGGCGACGGCAAGCCGGACTCCATCAACCTTATCCTCTCCCAGGACTGCGCCGGCTTCAACCTCGGTTCCTGGTTCCTGCGGCGTGGCGCCGTCTCCGACCAGCTCATGGATGTCTGGTGGGATCCCGTCGCCTACGAACAGAAGCACATGGAGTGGACGCATAAGGAGCAGGACGCGCTGCAGCAGATGTACCTCACGCAGCCGTGGGTGCGTCAACACACGGCCTTCCTCCCACAGCGCTCGATCAACGCCTTCCCCGCCGGCGCCTGCGGTGACGACGGCAAGGACCCGCGCTACCATTACAGCCAGGACGAGCGCGACTTTGTCGTCAACATGGCAGGCTGCGAGTGGGGCCGCGACTGTTGGGGCGAGATGTTCCACTACCGCCAACTGAGCTATTACCTGAACCGCAACCTCTGGGAGCGCTTCAAGGAGGACCTCATTGCCGTCCTCTGGTCTAAACTGACGGGCCAGCACGTCAGGCTGTGAGGGTTGCCGGGGTAGGGGGGAGGGGTTCATCCATGTGTTCTTGCATTTTTCCTTTTTATTTTCCCCCTCTCTGCATCCAGCCAACACCGCTGGGGAGTTTTCCGCGGCTGACCGACTGCCATTTTTTTTTTTTTTACCTTTTCTTTGCATCTCAGGGGTGTTCTTTCATGCATTGGGTTCTGCCGTCTTGGCGCGTTCTCGTGGTCATCTTGTATACCCCCTCCCTTTTTTTCCCCTCTGGCTCATGTCACGCCCTGGGATTTCATGGGTTTCGTTCCCAGTTCTTTTTTTTTTCCGGGCCTCGGTTGCAATGTCATGACAGGCATGAATGGACGTAGAAGGTATCATGGATAGATCGTTGTTTCAAGCGAGCTCGTTACTTGGTCAGAAGAGGAGGGGATAGGGGAATTTCGCGGTGTCGTAGCTTTTACGAATGGGCGAATCGACGACTTGTTGTACATGAGGTGACACTGCCGTGAATTGGCAGATGCGGCAGGCAGCTTGGCGGCCGTAACAGGGGATGCTGTGTAACTGTGTGAGATAATGGTACAGTGGTTGCTATTGCGTCGGGCTTGGTAGTGGTGCAGGTCCTGCGATAGAGGCGGTTGCACATGCCTAACAAGGCAAGTGGGTGGGGGGAAAGCGGATTGATGGCAGTCGTGTCATCTGTTGGTCCATCAAGGATCACATGAGCAAGAGCAAGAGTCCCCCTTGGACACGGGCTGGTATTTTTGTCTTGCGATCTAGCTATTGGCGTCATCCCAGAGCACCCGGACTTCTGGCTCATGGTCCGTTGAGCGGTCATTGACAGGAAACGGAATCGCGGCGGCCGGGATATCCAGTCGGAAAAACCATATACTCCTCTGCTCATGTGGCTGCTCAGGGATGTGCTCGGAGAATAACGAGCTCCTCATGGCCAATAGTCATTCTTCAGTATGGCTGACTAATCGTTTCTTCAGCTCAATGAGTGGGTTGGGCTCGGATATTCTTGGTGAGTCGTCTCGGAAGTATAATTCGGAAGTATTTCTCGGATGTGTACTCCTTCCTCGTGGCGTTCATTGGGTTCACGCGCATGGAGGAGGGGCTCGTCGTCAGCCTAGCTCCCCTCCTTGGCTTTTCATCCGGTGTTCTTAGTGACGATCCATCGCTATCCCATAGGGATTACTTCGGTTTCATCTCGACCGATGCCGTGAATCCTTGCACCGAATCCATGGATTCCCCGGATCTGAGACGGAAGAGGAGGAGGGGCTCCTGACGCTGCCTCAACAAATAGGTCCATGAACCCGACGGCGGCTCTCAGTCGGCCTTCCCTCCTGCACCATTCACATCACCTTGGGCCGAGTTGCAGTCTTCTTCCTGACACTTGAATCCGCCATCATGTCATTACCAACCATTACAGACGTCCGCTTCGAGCATCACAGACCAGGCCAGGCTCTCGGAGTCGACGACGCCACGCCGCGCATATCATGGCGCTTCGCAGATGCCCCGAACAACTTCTCACAAGAAGAATACGAGATCAAGGTTGAACGCATCATCGGCACGCAGGTCACCCAGCTCGGCAGCATCAAGGTCATCTCCCCAGAATCCCGCCTCGTGCCCTGGCCGCTCGAGCAACCGCTGGCCTCCCGCACGCGATGCAGCGTCAGCGTGCGCGCACGCCAACAGGGACAGCAGAACTATACCGCCTGGAGCGATCCCGCTATCATTGAGACAGGGCTCTTGGATCGGAGAGACTGGTCGGCACAGCTGATCTCTGCGCCGTGGGCCGGCGGCGACATTGAGACGCCCCTGCCCGAGGACCTCTTCCGAAAAGACTTTACCTTTGACGCGCCGGTGCGTTCTGCGAGGCTTTACATCACGGCGCTGGGTGTGTATGAGGCTGAGATCAACGGGAGGAGGGTCGGCGATCACTTTCTGGCGCCGGGCTGGACGTCCTATGACGACCAGCTGACTTACCAGACACATGACGTGACCGATCTTCTTTCTTCGCGGGACAATTGTCTCGGCGTCCGCGTTGCCGAGGGTTGGTTCAGGGGGCGTATTGGTTTCGAGGGCGGTCGCCGTAATATCTGGGGGCCGAGAACCGCCGTATTGGCGCAATTGGAGATTGCCTTCGACGACGGCTCGACTCGTACAATCACCACCGACGACACCTGGACCGTCAACAAGGGCCCGATTCAGCGCTCCGAGATTTACGACGGCGAAGTGTATGACGCGACGGCCGAGGTGCCGGGCTGGTCGATCCCTGGCTTCGAGGCCAAGGGATGGGCCGCAGTCGATACCCTGCCCCCGATCGCAGATACCGTCCAGCTCCATGCGGGTGACGCCGAGCCGGTTCGACGCCTCGAAATCGTCAAGCCCATCGAAAAGATCACGACCCCCTCCGGAAAGACGGTGCTTGACTTTGGGCAGAACCTCGTAGGCTACCTTCGGGTCAACAAAGTCAGGGGTCCCCGCGGCCACAAATTCACCCTGCTGCACGCCGAGGTTCTCGAGAAGGGCGAGCTTGGCATCCGGCCGCTGCGTGACTGCAAGGCCCGGGACATCTACACCCTCTGTGGTGATGAGGCTGGCGAATCGTACGAGCCTCGCTTCACCTTCCACGGCTTTCGCTATGCCCAGGTCGACGACTGGCCATCCGCAGATATTGACATCCTGGACTCACTCGAGGCTGTGGTCTGCAATACCGACATGGAAGAGGCGGGAAACTTCACCTGTTCCGACGAAATGCTCAACAAGCTGTACTCCAACGTCCGCTGGGGTATGCGGGGCAACTTTCTTTCGGTGCCGACCGACTGTCCCCAGCGCGACGAGCGGCTGGGCTGGACCGGCGATCTCGCCCTATTCGCCCCGACAGCGACCTTCATCTACGATTGTACGGGGATCCTCAAGAACTGGCTTCGCGACTTGTGGGACGAACAGAAGCGGCAGGACGGCGTGCCGCCCATGGTCGTGCCGAACGTCGTTCAGGGGCACTTTTTCTGGGGCAAGATCTGGCCGGCTGCCATCTGGAATGACGTGACCATCCTCGCGCCCTGGGCCCTCTGGGAAGAGACGAATGATCTGAACGTGCTCATCCCGCAATATGACTCCATGGTCGCTTGGCTTGGTGCCATTCCGAAGAACAAGACTGGCAGTGTACATCTGTGGGATTTTGCCGCCCCTCAACTTGGTGTAAGTCGACTGACTACTGGACATGCGGCGATGTGATTATTTGCTGATCTTTGTAAGGACTGGCTGGATCCCAACGCGTCCCCTCACGAGCCCTGGAAGGCCGTGACCGACCCTCCTCTGGTCGCCAATGCGTTCCTCATCCACTCTCTCGACGCCATGTCACAGATCGCTGGCTTGCTGAGCAAAGAGTCCGATGCAACCCGTTACCGTGAAGAGGCGGCCGCATGCCGTCTCGAGTTCGCCGCCGAGTACGTGTCGTCAAACGGCCGCCTCGCGTCGGACACGCAAACTGCTTACGCTCTCGCCATCACATTCAACCTCCTGGCACCCACTCAACTCGGCCGCGCCGGTGACCGCCTTGCCGAGATTGTCCGGCGCAACAGCTTCCGCGTCGGTACCGGCTTCGCAGGCACCCCATACATCTGCGAGGCTTTGGCCCAAACGGGCCACTCCGATGTCGCGTATGCCATGCTGACTGAGCGGGCGTGTCCGTCGTGGCTGTACCCCGTCACCATGGGCGCGACGACCATGTGGGAGCGCTGGGACAGCATGCTCCCCGACGGCAGCGTCAACCCGGGCGATATGACGAGCTTCAACCACTACGCGTACGGCGCCGTGGCCAAATTCATGGTCGAGCGTCTTGCCGGTCTCAAGAGGGCGGACGCTGGGTGGAAGAGAGCAAGGACGGAGCCAGAGATTGGTGGAGACTTCACGTGGGCGAGGGCAGAGCATCTGACGCCCTATGGACGGGTCGCCAGTTCGTGGCGGCTCGAGGGCAAGGAGGGCGATTTGACGCTTACCATTGACGTGGTTGTGCCGCCGACCACGGAGATGGAGGTGGTGATCCCTGGTGACGAACCGAGGACTGAGACTGTCGGCTCGGGAGAGTGGTCGTTCAGCGTGCCGTTCACGAGGCGGTATGAATGGCCTGTCAAGCCCATCTCGGCCATGCCTGTCTGAGAAGCGGTGATTTACGCGGTGTCTCATTCCGATGATCCGGCAGAGTTTGGGCTCCTCTCCCAAGGTCACAACTATCTCGGGTACCTTCATGGCGCTCCAGGTTGGTCATGTTGAGTTTACCGAAAGCCTCTGTAGATATATGCACGTAAATAGGAGGGACCTCATCCTTGTTTTGTCCATGAAAGCCCATGCTTTGCATGCTGCAGTCATTGACACCATTCGGCGACCGGAAGAACTACCTCGTGATGGCTGCCGCAACCTGGTCAGATCCTCCAAACGAAGCCCGGTAGGTCATCTTCGACTTGAAAAGGCAAAGTCACGTAACAGTAAAATCGGACCCCCACGGGCGAGCCGGATATGCCCCGGTGTTCAGGCAACGCCAGGCCGTCCGAAAGCCGCGAGACGGAGCAAGAGAACGGCCGCGCTTTCCTTTCCTCGAGGCGCTGGCGAGACTGCTGAAGCGGCTCGCACCATGGTCGACGTCGCCCGAGCGCCGCGGCGGCCTGGCGCTGGACCTCGCCGTGCACTCGCCCAGCGACACAAAGCAGACATCCAACGCACTTTGCCTGACGGCACGCGACCCGTCTACGGCCGGCGTCACGGTGCCCACGCAGCACGTCCCGTCCGCGAAGCTGCGTGCCAGGTCAGATACAGCATCTGGGGCAGGGGTACGGCAGGAGACCGCGGACCTTTGCCACCGTCGGCGGCCCGGGGCGTTGCACTTCGATCGGGAGCATCCGCGTCACTGGAGAGTAGAAAAGACGTGCCCCCAAGTGTCAGCGTCGTCATGACGCTTGTCATACGGCGCCAGTCCTATCGCGCCGTCGGCTCGGCCTCCATCGTCGGGCTCATCAGCACGCGCCCTCGCGAACCTTGACACGCTGCAAAGCGAGCGCTGGCACTGCAGCGACGCCTCCGATGGTGGCCCGGTACACGGCGAATCCTTCAAGAGACTGCATCTCTTCAGCGAGGCGGAGCCCCGAAACTCATTGGATGGGTGCTCCCGCCGGCCCCTTCGGCCTTCACCCTGCGGAGATGCTCTGCTAGAAGGCGTGGACGCTGCGAAGCCAAAGGGCGCCCTCTTCCTCGACGCGATGGCCTTCTTCGCGTACCTTTGGTTCAAGCCGGCGCCGCGGTGTCCCAAGCTCGAGGACCTCGTTCTGACATCGTCCCTTCAAAATCGCCATAGACTATTGTGCATGGTGGACCTTCCCGTTACTATAAAGTGGACGGCCAGGACGCACATGCCGAGGATGAAGAAAATGAAGATCCGGAATGGAAGCACCTGGGCGGGGTTTGTGCTGCGATACTGTCGCATCAACGATGGTGGTTGTGCCGAGAAGCGTCGGTTCTTGTTGAAGACCGCGCTCAGCTCGGACGTTTTGGAATCAGTTTTCTCGCGATGGGCTTGTTAAATCTCGATATCGAGCTTCATATTGAGGACATGTCACGGACTACCAGTGTCACTTTGATATATCGAAAACCCTGGAGCTGGAGGATCATGTGCTGGACCCGTTGCCAAGGTTCCAAAAGGTATGGGAACACAAACAGTGGTGTAGATAGCAGCCAAGGCCAAAATAGTGACGGAATATCCGATTGCTCTTGGTGGTCAAGTTCACATTACGCTTGAAACACTTTTAGACGCGGGGCGGATGGCCAAACCAGTTAAGTTATCTCTGAATATGTGCCGAAAATCGTGGCCATAAATTCCTTTTTATGCTCCCCAAGCCATATAGTTATCTCATAAATCATAACAAGTACCCTTTCTGGAAGCTAGAGTCCGTGACTCGGGTAACTCGAAACCAGTAGCTCACCAGACCTCCCATTTTGCATGCTTTCCAATGGCACACAACCTATTGAAAAGGGCATCCCGATATGGTAAACTAGTGACAATATAAACAGCCCCTTTTTTGTCGACGATCCTGAGTGCATCGTATACTGGGCCATCCGTCGCCCATCCGGCAGCCAGCTTTGCCTTCATGCCATATCCAGAGTGCTTCCTGAGCTGCTCAATGTCCTCAATGTTCACTACCCAGAGCGTCTTCAGGTCCTCCTTTTTCGAGATGGGCGTGCGGATGCTGTGCTTATTGAATGCCAGAAACGGCTCGTCAGCTGCCGAATTGACGTATACGTACCCAGCTGTCCCCTCATATCGGGCGCTGAATTCTACGGGGCCTACGGTCTGTGACCCTCTCTTCTCCTTTTCTTCTTTCTTGTCTGACGGCAGCACACCAACGCGCTGCTTAGCGTGGGTGGCACCCATCTTTGCGCGGATCTTGTCGACACCTGCGGCAGCCTTGACGGCTTCCTTGGCGCTGCCCTTGAGAATACTGAAAACTCTCTCACGCTTGCTGCCGTGGCCCACAGCCTGCTCGACTTCTGTGTCGTCGCCGCCGGCGTGGTCTGCCTGCGCAGCATCGTAATCGGCTGCGTGCTGCAGCTCATCGGCGGAGACACCGAGGGGCTGATCACCGACCGAGGCATCAATAACGGTCTCATCGATATCGATGGGTTCATCGGGCGGAGGCTGGTGGACACGCGCTGGAGGTGGGAACGGGGCTCGATTGGCCTCACCGAGGCGGAGCAGCGTCAGAGCGAGTTGAAGGTTGGTGGGGACGCCCCTGAAGATGGTGCTGGAAGGCTTAGCACGGGCTCCGGAGTGTGAACTTGATCTGAGACGTACTTGTTGAGGTGAAAGTAATTAGTCCAACCGTTGCCCGCCAAGTTTCTGAGGGCGCGGGAGACGAGGGGTTCGCCGAATAACAAGACACCAACGACAAAAGTCAGGCTCCTGACAGCGACATCGCGTGTAACCAACAGCGACAGTGCAGCCAGGGGCACGAGGTACCATGCCAGTCGAATGCGGTGGTTTTGTCGATCAAACGGAGGGGTCGGTACCAGAATGCTACACACAGTTAGGATTTTCACGGCGCTCAGGCACGGGAGAATGATGTACTTGGCCAATCTCTCCCAGGTATCGGACATCAGGATAAGGAGATGCAAGAGGGGCGTCATCTGGTGCCAGACCTGTGGTGCCTTTAGCAACAGCACCCCAGAACACGAGCACGCGTATTAACGCACCACCTCCTCAATGGGTGCCTTCGTCTTGTCCTGAGACGGCCGGTCCATACCCTCAGCCTTGTCTTTCACGACGGCCATGGTTGTCACATCAAATTGCGGCTTGAACCCGTCTCTGCTGCCGCCCTCCTGCTCGAAAGGCGCGCCGTGAGGGTCTTGTCCCATCACCAAATTGGTAGCGATCGCGGCGGCGCTCGTCACAAAGTTACTCGCTTCGTTTTCCACAGCTTCACCCTTGAGGTTCTGTGGGGCGCCGGTCGCGGCATCGGTCGAACCAAGGGTGCCGGCCATGGGCTTCGCCACGCCGCCGGTGGTCATGTCGACCATGGACAGCGGTGCCGGCGGAAAGAGCACGACTCGTGCCCGGGGCGAGACGACGAGGGCAATGGTTGCGACAGTGAGCAGTGGCATGAGACAATCGAGTGTCCAGGCGGCAAAGTACGTCTTGGCGGGTCGTCAGCACTGTAACGCGGCCAGGGATACACCAGCATGGGAGTTTATTTACGAGTCCAAATGTAGCTGTTCTTGCTGGCTCACGCCATGAGCGGAGTCGAGCAAGAGTATTGACGAGCGCGAACAGTCCAAGCAGCTGGTGGCATTGCCCGAGTCAGTATAAATGAAAATGGCCCAGGACATGGCAGGGGAGGGGAGGCAATTACATACCATGCCCATGTACAGCCTCTCCACCTCACTGCGCAACTTGTTTGGCGAGCACTCTGAATCCCGGGCGACGACGAGATCGAGGCCTCCATAGGGGATATGATCAGTCTTTTTGAGTTCGTACACTTCCTGTCATGGGTTAGCACCGATGGTTCCCGTGGCGGGCAAACGGGAGAGCGCCAAGCGGCTGTGACCTTATTCAATCTTCGCACAAGTACCCAGACATCCTCGTTGTGCATGCCTTTGATCCAAGGTTTGGCGTCGTGCTCTGGCTTTTGATTCCAACCTAGGTCAAACACGGAACCATCATCGCTTGGCGCTGCGGCCGTGACCGCTAGGACGTCGGCTTTCGCCAGACTATGCGAGTACGTCTGTGTCTCACGGTGGGCCATGTTGCGAGGATTCGATCCATATGGAGAAAAAAAGTGCTATAATAAGCTACCCTGGCATAAAAAGCATTCGCGGCGTGCCCAACTTGGTTGCAATGCCATCTTGTCAACTGCACCTCATTAGAAGCTTATAAGAGAGTCGGCGGGCGAGAAGGTCCGGCAACTCTGCCAGCAGCCAGATTGAACCATCACTGAGAGTTTGGAGTGACGTCCGGGCCTGTCATCGACGGGCCATACGTTCCAGCGTGGGACAATTTTGTATCACCCAAGGGGGGGTTGGAAGCTGTTCCGACCCTGACTGCGGTGTGGAAAAGTAAATCGGGTCATCTGGCTCGCCTATCCAGGTTTCTCGTGTGTCGGTCGGAATAAGGGAACATTTTGGATCCAGGTTACCCCCGGCTTGCCACACGTGTATTGCACTGCAATGACAGGCGTCTGTCCGTCCGTCTGGTATCAGATCAAGTCCGAATGGCGCCCACATGCCATTTCATCGGGACTGAGTTTCCAGAAAAGACACGACGCCGCAGCAGGGGCAGCGGGGCCGACGACGAGTTCGAAACGATGATCGCCGTGGTCTGAGCCAGGGGGAGGGGAAGAGATGAGGAGGGATTGCCCCTCTCGAGCTCGAGGCATGTTCGAGGCCAAGAGGGGGGGGGGGGGGCGATGACATAAGCTTTGGCGAGAACATGGGTGGTGTTGCTGCTGTGCCTGTGTTCCCTACTCTGTAACGTGCTGCTGTCCCGGAGATGTGCTGTGCTGTCTGTGCTGTGCTGTGCTTTGCTGTGCGCTTTGGTGCTATGCGTCTGGTCGCACTCACTGTACCATGTACCTGCTGCTCCTTTCGTCCTGCTCGTGATCATTCCAACGCCATTTTTCTCGCTTCTCGTTTCTTGCTCCTCTGACCTTTCCTCTTTTGTTGCTCTTACCCCAGGTCATGATGCCGTCCAGGCCAGACGGCTGAAGGCATGTGCAACCAACGAACGTGGCGCTTTCCTTCCATTTAACCATTTTCAGCTCAAATCTCCCCTCCCGACCTCCCGATCCGTACAAGGGCTTTCTAGGTCGGTCGAGTCTCTCAATCGTCAAACACGTCCAGCTAGCAGCTAGCAGCCCAGTCGGCCATGTGACGAGAAGCCATTCCACACGTGGCTGCAGCCTCGCCTCCCCATGAAGATTAGAGTCGGGAGCCAGGGCCCGAGTTGTACCACGAGTGAGACACAGAAGCCCTCCCCCCCCTCTTCCCCTCCTCCACCGCTCGCTCGCATGCGAGGCGTCGAGGCAAATGTGCGAGGCAGGGGAATATGATCAACAAAAGTCAAGGAAGGAGGGAGAGGGGGGCAAGAAACGAACATGGGTGGGGCCAGGACCCAACCTTGCCAACCAAGATTTTCACTTGTGTGCGGGAGCGAGGCGGGCTGCGCCGTCACGGGCCTGCAGATGAACACGATTAATATGGCTCTTAAGCTGTTCTTGTTTTGGTTCCTCCACCCCCCCCCCCCTTCGTCCTCGCTCTCTTTCTCTTTTGCTGTGCGTGGCCCTGCCTTCCTTCTTAATCGAGATTGAGCCCGGGCCCCACCCCTCGTCGCTCTTACCCTAGCACTCGTCGTCAGACCAGTCGATCCCGGCGTGGCGGGTAGATGGGACGCACATGCCAATTTAATCAATTGCTGCTACGTTTTGGAAGGGAATCAAAGGGAAAAAAAAAAACAGGGCATCGCTTTCGACATCATCACCACCATGCCGAGATGATCAGGCTGGCTCCATCGGGGTATATCCCATCGCTTGATTAAGCTTTTAGCGTGCCGTCCCACCGTCTCTGATGAGAAGGGGTGAGAAGAGGGACCCCGTGGAACCACTGGCCGGCACGACAGGATGGGGCCCGCTCTCCTCCAGTGTCCTCTGCCAGGCACCGTCCATCTGCCGGCTGCACGCATCTGGAACCCTCTAGGCTTGGTCTCATCTGAAAGCGAGCTTTCGATTCGCCCGGGGACGAGGTTGAAGGACGACCGTGGTGGGCTGGCTGGTGGGGCTCGCCTTGGCGGTTGGTCTACCCAGAGGCACCAAGCAGGGGAGATCGCGGAGAAGGTCTCCATTCTTGGGTCACCGGCGGACGGGAAACCGTTGCCTCCTCAGTGCCAAGGCGACCAGGGAAAGGCGCACCTCCCTTCCTCCTCCACCTCCTCTTCCTCTTCCTCCTCGCTTCGCATCCAGGACCGGGGTGGTGGGAAGAGCGAAGCTTGAGAGTCAGGGCCAAACTCAGCACACACTTTCGCCTGTGGCTGTGTCGAGACTTGGCGATGGGAACCTTGGAGGGGGAGGGGGCTTTTCGTCTGATGGACCAGACCGTTCCTGTATCGGAATCAGTTCGATATTTTCTGCCCAGCACCTGCGATGCGCGCTAGATGGCAAGTAGGCTCATCGAGGGTGGGCAGGAGAGAGAGAGAGGGTTTCAGAGATTGGTCGGTTTCAATCTAGGTGCTAAGTGGTAGTGAGATCCGATGGTAACCTGCTAACGAAGCGTGACAGCTCGTTAAGGTCAGTAGTTCGCAGACGGCAGAAGGAAGGCTTAGATGGACGCTGACGGGTGCGCTCGACCCTTCTGAAGTGATCGATTGCCGAAACCGAGTCAGTTTCCGATGGGGATGGGCGTCATACTTGCTACCACACCAGGCGGGCGAGCAAGCGAGTAAGGGACAAGCAAGCAAAAGGCAAGAGAGCTCTCATGTTGGAAACCGACCTGTCGGTCAAGATGTGCCGCTGGGCCAACCCTACGGCACCGCTCGTCCGATGCTGTGTGCAATATGGCGTATAATATCGAAGCATAAGCAAGCCTTTCCTCGACAGTCATAACTATCTCCGCGCCACCAATCACCCATCACACACCAACAGTAGTGCAGGGGGGAGGGGGGAGGGAAAAAAGGTGAGGGGAGGGGGCCTAGAGAGATCGCCTTTACCAGGGCTTGGTAACTAGGCATGTCTTGTCTACCAGGCGTGGTCAGATCCTCCCCCCTGCTCGCCGGTGAACCGGGTTTCCTCGTGAAACTTTCGACGCTAATCAGAAGCCTCTACATGCAATCCCCGGCAGACAACATCACAAGGTGGACCTTCGGGCTTGGCTCACTCTACACTTCGCGGGGTCCCCGGGCCTGGATTCTCCCTGTGTGTCTGCTATGCAGTCTGCATGCTGTCTGCACGTTGGCCCTCGTGTGTGACTGGCAATTTGGGGCGTTCCCCTTCACTCTTAATATTCCCAGCGAATCCCCCTTCCATGCCCCTGTTCCCTTTCCTCTGTTTTGCCCATTTGCCTTTTCGACATCAGAAAGAGAGAGATCAAACTCACAAACTCTCCCCTTGGATCATTTCGCCCTGGCCCCGTGCCGTGTAGAGGGCGCCGCCTCCTCGCTACCACGCGTTGCCTCACCACCCCTGGTATCGTACTCGACACGGCCGCTATGTAACCATGTATCTCACGGCACGCAAAGATGTTGAAGAGGTTCATTCCTTCGTCAACCCATGGACTGAACTGAACGCTGGCCTCTGGTCGCTCTTCGCTGGTGCGACTATCTTTTTGGCCCTCCGACTCTGGGTCAAGGTGACCCGTCGTCACGGCCTCTGGTACGATGATTACATCTTGCTCGTTTCGTGGGTGAGTCGCGCGACCTCTCGTTTTCTCCAAACTCTCCGCGGCAGCACTGCCTCCGCACTTGCTGGATACGGGCATCTCACTGACACGCGACACCTCAAAGTGTATCTTGCTCGCCAACAATGCTTTGATCGTTCATCAGTTCGCCACGGGCTACGTGCTCGAGAACTCGGCCATGGAGTGGGACGACCGCATGCACATTCTCATCAACATTTCATCATGCGGTACCCTCATCGGCCAGGCCCTGACCAAGACGGCCTTTGCCGTGACGCTCCTTCGCATGAGCAATCAGTGGCAGAAATGGGTGCTGTGGTTCTGTATCGTCACCATGAACCTGTACATGGTCCTCAAGGTCTTGTTCCAGTGGGCCAAGGTGTGCGACAAGAACGGCTACGACAACTGGTACCGCCTTGATTTCTGCATCTACTGGAGCTTCCGGGACAAGTTCAAGGAGGGTGGTAACGGTACGTGTCTTGTACTTTCGGCCAAGCAAGATTCGTATTTGCTGACAGGAGGCAACAGTGTACAACATTATCATGGATTTCGTCTTTGCCTGCTTCCCCTGGTTGATCACGCGATCGCTCGAGATGCGAAGGGTTGAGAAGGTCGGCCTCAGTCTGACGATGAGCTTGGGCATGATGTAAGTCAATCCAGCGACGTGAAGCCTGGCGTACCTTTCAGTGCTGACATGGAAAACAGTGTTGCCATCGTGTCAGCCATCCGCGTATCCTGGAAGGACAAGGGCAACGACCGCGACGCGTACTACATCTGTAAGTGTGATGACGATTGCCGTCTCAGGCGACATTCTTGCTAACGACATGCCAGATCGCAACGGCCTGTCTCAAGTCTGGTACTCATCTGAAATCACGGGCACCATCATCGTGCAGTGCATACCGATCCTCCGACCCATCTTGCGCGACATCCACGCGACACTGACCTCGAAGCGGCTCAACTCATCGGCCGACGCGCGCAGCACTGGCGTCTGGGGCAGCAAGCTCGAGACCAAGAGGGCATCGACGGTGATCATGGACGCCGACCGCAAGGACAGCGAACGCATGGAGCTGCGCGAGATCCCCGAGGAGGAGTCGGCCGAGGAGGACTGGAAGGAGAGGCACACGTCGTCGTCACCATCAGAAGCGACATCAGCAACACTAGTATCGCCGCGGACTGACGCCTGGCCGTTGGGCAAGACGTCAGAATCCGGGCCAGCTGGGACGCCCGGATCGAGGAGTCTGGAGGCTGAGCCGGACGGTGCGTCGAACTACTCGAGTGTGGGATATGATGTTGAACAGAACGGACTGTCAGCGCCGCCACGAAGGATGTACCTGTAGTGTTTTTTGATGTATTTAGCGTGTTTGTCTGCTTATTCTTTGAGAGAAAAGAAGATTTCTTTGAACCCTGATCTCCTGGTCGGACTTGGGTGATTGCATAGCATTTTTGAAAGAAACCAAGAGACAAAGGACCCCTGGCGATCGATCTGCCAGCCGTCGTGGGATGGACGCAGTCAAGAACGGGAGGGGCCCGACGACAAGAGCAAGGGTTAGGTCAAGAGGCGAGGGGTTCCGATACTTTCCCATGACGCCAATCGCCATGTCCTAACCCCCTCCATTCCAGCTGATGGATGGTCGCCAAGATAGCCGAGCTTTGACGAGGGGGGTTTCATGCCGGAATGCTGCGTTGTGAACGAGAGGCTGAAGACGAAGGGCAGCAAGCGCCTGATGACAAAGCCACGGTCAGGAACGTTGGCGCCACAGAACGCCTCAACCTGACCAAGTTCGACGGGCTTGATTGGCCATGGCTTAACGACAAACGACAAACGACTCCCTCGACAATACTCGCCATGTCGAGCTTTGAGCAATACATCGACCCTTTGGTCGTGCACAATGAACGGGCTGTGGCCACATGAATAGGCCGAGCCCTCGAGGTTAACGCCTTGGTCGTATGCCGCAACATGAAAACCCTTTAAAGGGGTCCCGAGGTCCAGCCCCGTCGTCCATCGACTGGAATGCCGACGTTGCCAAGGCGAGACAGGGAGGTGCCGGAACCGATTAGCTTTCGCCTCAACGGAAGACCGTAGCCTGTCACTCGCGAGACTGGCATGTCAAGGGTCCTCCTGGGTCAGGGAAAACCGCATACTTGGAACTCCCCAGCCGTTAGACGCCTTCCAGGCGTCTCACCTTGCACACCTATTGCGGCCTCTGAGGCGCCCCTGTTTCCTGTTTCGGGCCGCCATGAGGCTGCCACGATGGCCGTTTTCTTCTCAGTAGGCCTCGAATGTGTAGTAGCAGCTTGGTACACAGCAGTTTGCATTCCCTGCGGTGGACAATGATTCAGCTGCTCTGGCCACCGGTTCGGGTTTGTCGTGCGCTGCTTCACTGCACCATCGTCATCCTCCATTTCATTAACTGCACTTGCCCAGCCTGCCTAGCGTCACGAAGCCTGGTCTTCAGCTTTCTTGGTTCCTTCCACACTCCCTGTTTTTTCACGTCACAGCTTTCTTTGATTGGAGCCTAGAGCCGTTGGTCTCTCTCCATATCGTCCCAGGCCAAGAAAAGTCCTACAGAATCTCCATTCTCTATCAGGTGGCCTGTCGACTGCACAGCCTCCTGTTTTTCTTTTCCTCTTCATCTCATCGTTCATTTAAGGGTTCTTCCATTCTCGTTCCTCCTTCCTTCCTACCAAGGAGAGCCAGAAGAGTCTTGTATTATCATCAGTGTCATAACACTACCACTGCGAGCATCAACCCTGAGGCGCTCGTCTTCTCACAGCATTCTTTCACCCGGTCATTGTCGTGTATACTGTCTGTTCTCTTGTCTCAACACAAAGCTCACCAACCTATCCTCATCGAGGAGCCCAACAACGAAGCAATATATCAAGCAATATGCATCTACAACATCTGACTCTCGGCCTCGGCGCCCTCGCCACCGTCACTCACGCCCAGCAGCAATATGTTCTGCACGACAACTACGACCGCACCAACTTTTTCAACGAGTTCGGCTTCTTTGACGCGCCCGATCCCACCAAGGGGTTTCAGCGCTACGTCAACGCGTCCGAGGCCAACGCCCAGTCCTTGGCCGGCTTTGCCAACGATGGCGTCTTCCTCGGCGTCGACTACACCACACCAGGCGACAACCGCCGTTCAGTCCGCCTGACCTCGAACAAGGCTTTTGATGGCGGCGTCTTCATCGCCGACATTGCCCACATGCCCGCCAACTCGTGTGGCGTATGGGGTGCATTCTGGATGTTTGGCCCCGACTGGCCTCACGGTGGCGAAATTGATATCATCGAGGGCGTCAACACGCAGGAGAGCAACAAGGTCACCCTCCACACGGGGCCCGGCTGCTCCATCACAAACGAAGGCACCGACCCCTCTACCACGCTCGACAAGAACAACTGCAACGCCGGCGAGGCCTTTGTCGGCTGCACCCAGCGCACGGCCAGCAACCTCAACTACGGCGACGGCTTCAACGCCATTGGCGGCGGCGTCTACGCGGTTGACTGGACGCCAGACCACATCTCGGTGTACTTTTTCCCGCGGGGCGCCGTCCCAGCCGACATCGCCGCCGGCACGCCGAACCCCGGCGCCTGGGGCCTCCCCGTCGCGCGCTTCAACGGCGGCGAGGGCTGCAGCATCCCGGACCACTTCAGGCAGAACAACCTCGTCTTCAACATTGCGCTGTGCGGCGAGTGGGCAGGCAAGGTCTGGAGCGAGAACCCCGAGTGCTCGGCGCTGGCGCCGACGTGCGACGACTTTGCGGCGAACCACCCGGGGGCCTTTTCCGAGGCGTACTGGCTGATCAACTCGGTCAAGGTGTACCAGCCGGCTGTGTGATCGTAGCGGCTGACTCTGGGGAGACATCCTGTTCGAGTCTTGGTATTTGGAACACTTTGCATCGCAGCGGCTAGGGGGCATGGCATTGGGAACTCGGCGTTTTTTGATGATTATGATGAGGGATACCCCGTACTTTCGTTTTTTATTTTCTTGGCAGGTGCCTGCCTCGGCAGAAGCAAGAGGTAGTCAATCAACAGTTCAAATATTGAAGTCGCAACAGCAAAAAGCAAAAGCAAGATAGCGCCTCAAAGTGATAAAATTGGTGAAGATTGCTATGATCATGTTCGATTCTCACGCTTCAGACTGTAGGCAGCAACACGGTGAAAATGTGACCCGCACTGTGTCACTGGACAATATTGCCGGGTTTGCCACATGATCTGAGTAGGACGTACAGTGTTCAGTCCTTCTCTGACTGTACCTTACTCACGGCAACTGCATCCCAGCCTTCCAATAGCACTCACTCACCTCAATAAGCCAACCTCGTCTGGCAAGCATCGCTAATCGTTCACCCATCGATTCATCATCTACCATACTTCATTTTTCATTCCTTCACTGTTGCAGTTGCGCTAGCGTGGCTCGGAAGATGGCATCCCGCTTTCACGGGTACATCCCAGTGGGATGCCTGATTGGCGACGACATCGTCAATCCATCACGAGATACAGCGCCAACAGTCCTCCACAACTGGCACGTGCCAGGAGAAGATACGCCAGTGAAGAGCAGGACGCCCGAGGGCTGCGCGGTGCCTCCAAATATCCGTGCTAGGTTCTTGATCCGAGATGGCCTCTTACGTCTCTATGAATCAAATTGGATCAAATTGGAGCACATTGCACTATCCGGTTCAGCAGAGGTTCTCAGGATATACATCCTTCCCGACGACGTTGACAACAATAATGTCCCGAGATCAGATGTAAAGCTGCAGAAGGACCGTCGAGCCCTCTTTACTAGGCTCGACTTTTCTCCAGAAGCGTGGAGTGGCAGACCTGGGACAACCCCTCGATCAAGTCCAGAGCCCGCAGAATCCACCACCGAAGAAGAGCTTTCTTTGCTAGACATGTTCAACAACATTCCCTCTCCTGACCCGGACCCAGACACGATTGTTGACCCTGCCAGCCGGGAGTCAGTCGATCAATTACTCGCCAGCAGAGTCAAAGGTCTCGTAACATCACTCTATCTCTACCAGCGTCAATCAGCAGCCTTGATGGCCATGAGGGAAGCTCAGCCTGGGGAAACGCTTGACCCTCGACTCCTCCGAGTGAAAGATCAGGCCGGAGAAGATTGGTATTACGATGCCGCGGCAGGTGTTATCCTGCGAGAGCCGCGCTACTACGACGGCGTCCGAGGCGGCATCCTCGCCGAGCAAATGGGCGCCGGCAAGACCCTGATCTGCCTCGCTCTGATCCTCGCGACTAAGTCCCTGCCGACACGGGTTCCTGCCCATTGCCTCCGCGACCGCACTGAGACGGGCCGGATCAGATCGCTCGCTGACATGGCCGCTGCCAAGCTTACAGCCGAAGGTATTCCGTGGAGATATCACTTTGGTGCAGAGTCGGGCTTGGAGCACTCGGCATGTGTCAAGGTACTTACTCGCAACCCCGGCTTTTACCGGCTGCCCTCTGCCAACACTTCCCGGCGAGGTCGCACCAGCACCGAGCCAGCGTACGCAAGAAGAATCGCGATCAGCCATTCTTCGCTGATTGTTGTACCAAACAATCTGCTCAAGCAATGGCAAGGGGAAGTCAAGTTGCACACAACGGACAGCCTCAGTGTTCTTGTTCTGCACGACAAGGGTCCCGTACCTGCCGTCAGTGAGCTTGCGCTCTATGATGTGATATTTCTCACGCACTTTCGTCTGGAAAGAATGGTCAGAGCTGGCACTTGGGAAGAAAACCCCTTGGGAGGCATCCTCTTCAAGCGATGTATCGTAGACGAAGGCCACAAGCTTGGCAACTCTACTCATAACGCCCGGAGTGATTTCCTCCTCGGACTTGACAACATTCACACATCGTCCAGATGGATTGTTAGCGGTACACCCTCGAAGGGGCTCTACGGAGTGGACGAGCAGAACCGAGAAGATCAAGGAGTTACCAAGTCGACAGCGGAGCAGTCGAGAATCACGGAGAAGGGCGACCTGGCAAGGATAGGAGCGATAGCGACCCTCTATCTCAAAGCCCGCCCATGGGCCAACAGCGGCCTCCATGGCAGCAAGTCACCCTGGTCCGTGTACGTCATGCAGCCAAGACACCTCGCCAGTGGCGCCGGCAGCAGCACGGCGCTGCGGGCGACGCTCAATTCGCTCATCATCCGGCACCGTCTCTCGGAGCTGACCCATGTGCTTCCGGAAGTTGACGAGAAGACCGTCCTCCTCGATGGCTCCTACCAGGACAAGCTCTCTCTCAACATCTTCTCCATGGTGATCGTCGCCAACGCGGTGCAGTCGCAGAGGACGGACGCCGACTACTTCTTCCACCAGCGCAACCGCAAGTTCTTGCTTCAGCTAGTACACAACCTCAAGCAGGCGAGTTTCTTCGGAGGGTCTTTCTTCTCGCATGATGATATTGCCACATCTCTCGATACAGCGGTCACCTTTTTGCACGATGGCAAAGTGCCAATCAGCAGCGATGACCAGGCCCAGCTCCGTCAGGCTATAGATGTGGCGAAGCTGGCTCTAGAGAATCCTCTCAAAAACCTGAGCAACGCTTTCCACGAGATGCCTGTCTACGTCCGCAATTTCCTTCCCGACAGCGCAGGAGCAGGGTGGTCTATTGACCACACGGCGGACGACCCAGTGTGCACAAACGCCCCGCTGATCATGGCCGCGCAGAAGCTCATCCGCCCCGCTCTCAGTGATGAGGCGGCCCTCAACAGTCTCCTCAACGGAGGACTTCTCGCCGCAGGCCGGCGGCACCGCGACCAGGCCGAGTTGGAGGCCAAGGAAGACAGCATCCCTCGCGGGTCGGCGGCGGAGGCGGCGAGAAACAAGATGCTCGCGGGAAACACGAAGCTCGGCGACGACCAGAGCGTCAAGAAGCTGCGGACGAACGCCGTGAAAGCCTCGCTTGGAGGTGAACAAAAGCGGGGTGATGTTGATGTTGTGATCCCCGAGGCGTTTGCCAAGGCGGAGCTCGTGGCTACAGCGTCGGCGAAGATGACTTATCTACTCGATGCAATCATTGAACATTACGAACACGAGAAGATCATTGTCTTCTACGAAAACGAGAATACGGCGTGGTACATTGCTAGCATGCTGGATGTCGTTCGTTTCCCCACGCCTGGATGACAACAGTACCATAGACACACTGACTGACATGTAATAGATCCAGATCGAGTATCTCATCTACGCCAAGACATTGACACAAAAGCGAAAGGCACAATACATCAACACTTTCAACAACGACACCAAGTTTCGGTATGTTGGCTGACACTCTTACATACCCGGATGCTAATGGGAATGCACCACAGCGTCATACTTATGGACATAACACAGGCTGCATACGGCCTTGACATGCGGGCAGCGTCGCGCATCTACTTCCTGAACCCCGTCCTCAACCCCCAGGTAGAGGCACAGGCCATCGGTCGAGCGCGTCGTATCAGCCAGCAGAAGGCCGTTTCGGTAGAGACACTAGTACTTCGAGGCAGTCTCGAGGAGGTTATTATAATGCGGAAGCACAAGATGAGCCAAGCAGAGCACATCAAATGCAAAAGCATCCTCGATGATCGGCCATTATTCAACTACATCCTCAATTCTGGATTCCTGCCAATGCCAGAGGGCCAGCATGAAGGGCTAGCGCAGACCGCATCTCTGAGGCATCCACAGCCAATTTTCGGCAGGGGCTTCGGACGAGCTGTGCACCCTGATGAAGACATTTGGGTAACCGATGGGGCTATACCCCGGGCGACGGTATTGGACGAGACGCCTACACGTAACGGGGCCACGGGGACAGCAAATGGACTGGCAAACCGAGCGAAGCGGCCACATGGCGAGGTTATGAGTCCCGGGAAGCCGGGTGAGCCAAAGGGGGAGCAGGCAGAAGAAAGCGAGCCGGTCTCGAGGCGCATACGCTTCGCCTGAGCTAAGAAGGAGAGGCAGGGTTGGTTGGTCGAGCGGTTGGAGGAAGAGTTGGGATCCGCGATCGCACCGTGCTGTCTATGAGATTAGAATGCGTTTGCAAGCTAGGCGTCTGGCGTTTGCTTCACAACGAGCCGGGGGCGATGTCTCGAAAGAGGCTTTCATCTGATGAGTCTGATTTCGCTTCCGATGGCAGAGCAAGTCGCGACTCGCCCCTTCCACGGATAGGGGCGGCGAATCCCAACAGGAGCAGCGGACCCTCCCAGCCTTCCAGATTATCGGGGTCGTCGACTCCACTGTACCGCGTACCTGCGTTGACGGGCGATACTAACCCAGAAGCAGAAGCGCCGGCGCTTTGCCACACAGACTTGGGAGGCAGAGGGCACGCCTTGTCGACGGCTAGGCTGGCATGGGCGAGAGTGAGAAGAGTGCGAGATAAAGATGATTCGGTGCAGCCTGTCCGTCGAATGAACGAGCACATGGTTTGGGGTTGGCCGCCGGTTCCAAATTTGGCGTGGCCGGACCATGGGTTCGTGATGAGCTCGCTAGAGGTGCGATTCGCTTGGTGGGAAGTCTGTGAGGCATGATGCAGGTCGTTGGGTGGGTAACTGGCTGTGCAGGAGGATGGGGCTGGCTGGTGCGTAAGCTCGCCGCATGGTTTGGGTGATGTGCATCCGCCTAATGGTTAGCGCCGACAGCAGCGAAGAGGTTGGGAGCCTGGGTCTGTCCCTGAAAAGACCGGAGAAGAAGATTGTGGTGGAAGGGGGGCGGACCACAAAGGGGGACGTGTTCATGACCACGGTGAGCATCGAGTCAAGGGTCTTGGCGGAGTGCATGGGCAAAAGAAGAAGGTGATTGATTGTCTCTAGGTAGGAGCTGGAGGAGATGATCTGGGAGGATGAGATTCGAGGGACTTGAGACTTGCCCCAGCAGGCACGACCACCTAGATGCAAGGTGGAAGGAGCTATCAAGTCCAGTGCTCGACTGTGACTGCCTTAGGTAAGGCATCGGTTGCCCGGCAGACCAAGGCAGGACCTTTACCAGGACCTTTACCAGGACCTTTGCCAGGTACCCCGCCCTCCACCAGAGCTTGCGCCCCCACTTCGTCACAGCTCCTCTGTACGCTTCGATGGCGCGCCTCACGCACCGCGGTGGATATCTCTTCCAACATCTTGATCGTCATCACGATGTTCCAAATGCCATCACATCATCCCATGTCATGGCCCCATCTGTTGCCAGGGCCAACCCCGCTCTGTTCTACGCCCGGACTCGCAACTCGGCCTATATACAACACGCCAGTCTATGAGTGCAGCGCTACATGTTGGACAGGTTGCGTTTCAGAAGGCATGCCAGAACAAGAAACTCTCGCCGGTAGCCCGCCCTGGCGTTGAGGACAAGGAGGGAGAACTACTGCTCATGGCCTTTGAAGCTTTGAAGGGCACTTTCTTTGAAGCTCTCGAAGCCCAGCACTAGACGGCCTCCAACACGGCCATGCCAGAAATTGCTGGAGTATCCAGCCCTGAAGCTGAGCAACGCGCCCGTGTTACTGAGCCGTGCTGCCATGATCCACAGCATCGAGAGACAGGCTCACGAGGAGATAGATACCTTGTTCATTCATAGCGCCCAAACACGCACATGCATGAGACTGCATCGAGAAGCTACTTGGGTCACCCATTGTCAGGTCAGCGGCAGAAATCGTCTTTGCCCCATATCGCAGCTAGGGTGGCAGTCCCAAGCGCCGGGGTGAGAGTGGGATGTAGACGCATCGCGAATCGGCGCAACTGGCCTGGCCAAACCTTCCAGCCAGCCTCTCTTTTTTCGGCCTCTCCACACCACGACCCTGCTTTGACTGCCCGGTCCTGCCAACCCTTTGCCATCACCGCAAAGGCTCCGCCCCGTCTGTCGTCTTGCTTTCATGCTGACGACATCTGCCTGAAGTCGGCATGTGGACGGGTCTGGGCTGTCATCCAAACGCCGCAGTCGTTTGAAGGTATATAACTCTTCGCCCCCGGCCTCTTATTCAAGCACAGCTGAGACCCGCCGATACGACCCTGTCATTGAGTCTGTCCCCAGACTGTCCATCGGCGAAACCGTTCAGTCATTCATTACTTTTTTTTTTTATACTGCCAGGACGTGTATGCCAATTGAAAGAATCGGCCTATCATTTCTTTACTCACCTCGGCTGCATCGCCCAAGCTGATCGATGCCTATTTCACGAGTGTGTCCGTAATAACACAACCAGTCAGGGCGTTCTGCCCACAAGACGGCGCAACGACAGGTCATATCCCATATCCACCGCAACCATGAACGGCCACCCGCAATACTACCTTCACGATGCCCACCGCCAGTACCACCAGCAGATGGAACAAAAACGCCGTGGCCACCAGGCGGTGCTGTACCGCAACTCGCTACCTGTACTCGACACGCAGCAGATCGAGGAACTACAGCGGAACATCGAAGCCGGCTCATTTGGTCTCAAGAGCGGCCAATCATCGGTTCGGTAAGCTTTGTGTGCTTCTCTTCTTGTCTTGCTGTCTTGCGAGTGCTTCATTGGCTCTTGCCTTGCTTTCGCTGTTTCGATACTTTTCGTCTACGCCTTCACACCCAATGACCTGCCTGGTCAGGCCGTGGTCGGTGTCGGGCCAGTGACCGGCCGAGTACGACCCAGATGACAGGAGGAGGCAAGACTGTGAGGATCATGAAGCCGGGGTCAACAGAGACGCCAGGGTGTTTAGTTGAGATTGGCGTCTCTCCTGTTGTCTCTGCATCCACTCACCGCTGGTCGCACTCCAGCCAACGGTTTCCCCATCAGTCTAATCACGAATCCCGTTTCGAATGCCGCCTTCAGCACCTGGTCTCGCGTTACATTGCATTACTTTTCCTCCGGGCGGGAACCACCTAGCGACTACCACGTCCCTGGGGTCTCACTTGCACTGCCCGTCAGGACGATCATTACACTCGACTGTTTCGCCTCATCTGGAGGACATCAGAACATCGACAGCATGCAGGCAAGCCAACTCATCATGACTGCAAGAGCGACGCGCACGATGACAGCGTGAGGGACTTGTTTGTCCAGCCATCCTGGCATGCCAGACGCCGAGCGAGAAGGCCCAAAACTTCATGCAACTTTCTCGTGTTGCTCGTCACCCGCCCCCTCTACTGGGCCGCTGGGCCACTGGGCGAGCGCGCCGAGCGCCGAGTCCACCCCTGAAAAGGGGACCAGGCCAATACGGAAGCTCGCAATTTCCACTAGCGACAAGGGCTGCTTCGACAGTCGAGCCAAACCTCCAGCCCCCACCCCAGAGCCTTGTGCTAGGGCCGCCCGATGCCTACGATAATGCCTTCGCCAAGTGGCCGCCACGGAGCTTTTCGCTCTGCTGTGCAGGGTTCCTCCGTCGTCCTACAGGCCCTAAACTGCAACGGGGACGAATCTCAGAACATCTCAATCGAGAATCTGAGCGCCGGTCCCCGGATCCTTTCCTTTCCTGCCCCCCAGGCGCGCTACCGCACGTTTGCCAACACCTACTAGCATGGGGGTTTGGCCACGCGCCGAGCCTTGGGAGAGATGGGATGGCAGAAACGTGCACGGCAATTTGCCTGTCTTGCTTCTTCTTGTTCCCTTTTAAGTCATCGAGGTATCCCCCTGCACTTGTTGCTGTGCCGGCACCTCTGTCTCTACTGACGCTGGCGGATGACTGCTCCGCGAGATATCTTTCTACTTGCCCTGCTTTTTGATATCCTGCCTGCTTGTGCTTGATGATACCATCTCTGTTTTTGCATTGCAAGCACCAACTCTGACATTACATCTTGTGCAGCAAGCCCCGCAAACTTCAGCACAAAAGACGATATTCTGCCTCGCCAGCCACCTTTTACAACCTCAGAGATGAGAGCCACCTGAACGTGCCCCCACAATCACGAGATTCCATCATGGCTACCACAACCATGCCCAACCGGGGTGCCCCATCATATTACGGTGCTGCCACCGAGTTCTATCCCCTCGAACTTGACCAGCCTACCACAGGCTTCATGACAAGGTCACAGCGCCCGAACAACAGGGTTCCAAGATCAGCTCACCCAGGTTTTGAAAACTCGCCTTTGCACCACAAGAAAATGGGCGGCCCCTATGATCCAGCAACACTGAATCGGCCGAGGAAGCTGTCGTCAACCGTAACAGTCACGCCAATCATCACGCCCAACAGCGACGACACAGGGTCGAGGAGTATGCCAGGTCCCGAACAGACCAGTGTCCCAGCAAAGGATGCAACACCTTACACAGCATGGCGGCCGGAGTTCCGACATCAGCAGAGTCCCGTTCGGACCATTTTCAGGACGCACAAGAGACAGCCCGGCGAGCTATTCGCCGCGCTGCCTGAGGAGGTCTTCGGCATGGTCCTGGGCCAGCTGAAGGGGTCTCACCTAGGCAAGGGGAGCGAAAGCTGCGCGACGTGCTGGATGAGAGACTTGTCATCGTTATCAATGGCTTCGCGCAAATGTCTTCAAGCAGCGAGGATAGCATTGTAAGCGTCTCGCGCAGGTTCACATGATGACCGTCAGCTAACGGTGCCAGGTATGACGACATACAGTTGAATGGAACAGACTCGCCTGCCATGAAGAAGCGACACAAAATTGCCCACGGCGCCAGGCTGGTCCTTCTGCGCCGTACATTGAGGGCTAACCCCGAGCTTGCTGCCACTGTCCGCACATTGAAGGTGCCCAGCCAACCTATCAGCTCCACCAAGGAAGAATATCACAACCTCATCGCCACCATCATTATGGAGTGCCCCAATTTTGAACGTCTCGTCGGCCTCCACCCTCGCTACGACCACACCTTTAGTCGCCTCTTCCATGCTCTTTCCACGCGAGTGAACCTGAAGCAGATGGACTGGATCATCGACGCACCCGTGCTCCAGGCACCACAGCGCCCAGGATCGCGCCCTGGCTCTAGTTCTGGCAAGTCAGCTGGCTTGAAAATGGAGCGCAGGATAGGACCCAATGGCATGCTG